AGCAGGGAAGGAAATTTGCCGTGGTCGCCAAGCGGGAATGGAGAGATGAGCGTGCTGCTTCCCTGCGTCCTCATCTCCCGAGCCGCTGCCTCGCCTTTTCTTTCCCCTTCAAAGCCCGTGTGCTGCAAGAGAGCCACTGTGGCCGTGGCTCAGGGTGCAAAAGCGAGGGCCGCATCCAGCCCTCGGGAAACCTCCCGGAGGATGCATCCTTTTATTGTCCAACATCGGGCGACCTCTTGCACTTTCTCATTCTGAAAGGTCCAAATGCAACTTCTGACCCTTCTTCTGAGCCTGCAAGAAAAGCTTTGAGCTGCCCTGGATGTAATTTCAGCCCCCTTTGGGATCAGCCTTCCCTGGAAAGCGGCCCCCAAAGGTTTCTCTGAGGTGGAATCCGACCCTCAGAATAAAACACTTTGGGAGTGGTCAAAGCCGAGCAAAGGAATTCGCTTTTCGTGGGTCCAGCAGAGCTCACAAGAGGGCATGCACAGGGCAGGAAAGCGAGGGATATAATCCTGCAGCGTTGGTTTGTTTCATAATTTATTACTGAACTTGTATTCTGCACTAATAGTCCCATAGGACTCTCTAGGAGGATTACAAAATAGCAGTTGTATATTGTGGTTCATTGTTGCCAATCAAATAACAGCAATATAGCAATGATGTACATAATAGAGCAACAATGTGCAACCGTGTGTAATGATACACAGCAGGGAGTCGCAAACTGTACCCACACACGGTCTGCAACAGAGCACCCTTGAGAGAACTCTGGGCGCATGAGTGTGAGTCAGGAGTGGGGAACCCGCTGCCTTCCAATTCTGATAGTTTTTTATAATCTGAATATCTGTGCCGTGCTCAGCATCCTACCAAAGTGTGCAGAGCCGCTTGCATTTCCCAGCCGTCCTCTCCTCCTTCCGGTCTTGAGCAGGCTGGCCTCACCGTCAGAACTGTGCCACCTGCCCTGGGCTGGCTGGACCGTGCCTTCCCAGCCACCTGACCTGCAGAGGCCAAATTCTGAAACCCGTTGCCCCAGCCACGTAATAGTTCCACGCTGGCATGCTTTGCATCATCACTCGCAGACGTAATACTTCCTGCTCTGCAAACCTCCTGGATGGGTTCAGCAGCACCCTTTTGCAGGGTCTGCGTTACACTTGTGCAAGCTCTCAGTGCTGTCTGCAGATTATGAAACGCTGGCTGGGGATGATGCAAGTTGCAGTCCGGCGCTTCAGGAGTACACAGTGTTGGGGAAGGCTGGATTATGAAGTTGTGTTTTGATCTGGGGCAGGGACAAGAACAAGCCGTCACAACCGGCTGCACCAGTTTGCTGTTGTTTTCCTGGCCGATTGCGCTGCTCTCCGTTCCGTGTTAGCAGCAGCGATCTTGGATGCACTGGAAGGCACAGAATGTGCAGCGACGCGATAGGAGAGCCGTAGCCCAGGAGGCGGCCATTTTTGCTTTCCCCATCCAGTAGCCTTGGCTGAAAACCCGCCGGTGGAGGGCAGTTGAACTATCTTCTGAAGACAGCCTGTTACCAGCCTGCAATAATGAAAGCTTTGGAGGCATTTCATGAAAACAAGGAGAGCTGTGCTAGGTCAGACCATGGGTATAACAGCTACCTCCCACCCGTGTTCCCCAGCAACTGCTCTCTGTAGGCACACTCTCCGTGATACTGGAGGCAGAAAAAAAGCCATCAGGGTAAACAGCTATGGCCAGCCCCCTCCTCTTGCCACTGGTCCCGTTTGGTGGTCTTTGTTCTATCCTGTGGCAGGGAGTCCCATAGATTAACTATGCGCCGTTTGAAGAAGTGTTTCCTCTTGAATTGGTCCTGAGTGTCCCACCTCTGTTTTCATGGGATGACCACTTTGGGTCCTAGGACAATGAGCGAGGGAGAAATTTTAGAATGGTGCAGGGTGGGCAAAGGGAACTGTGCACAATTTGGGAACTGTCCACTGATTAAACGCTAAGGTTTCCCCTTGACGTTTCGTCCAGTCATGCCTGACTCTAGGGGGCGGTGCTCATCTCCGTTTCCTGCCCGAGGGAGCCGGCGTTTGTCTGCTCTGTGGTCGTGTGGCCGCATGACTAAACACCTGTTTACCTGCCCACCGAAGTGGCACCTTTTCATCTCCTTGCATTTGCATGCTTTCGAACTGCAAGGTTGGCAGAGCTGGGACGGGGACTCACCCTGTTGCGCAGACTCGAACCGGCGACCTTTCGATCAACCAGCCCAGCGGCTCAGCAGCTTAAACCACTGCGCCACCCGCAGCCCCGTCCACTGATAGGGGAGAGGATTTTTCCCCCGGATTTTTCTCGCAGGCCTGAGGCTCCCAATCCCTTGGAGAAGACGATCCAGGACTAGACAGTTAGTCTGATTCAGTGCACGGCAGCCTGTCCCGCCCCATCTTTTAATGCCTAGGATTTGAACCCAGGACCGTGCTGCAAGCAGTGCAGGAATCCTGCTGCAGAGCTTTTGGAGAAGGCTGGGGCCCTGAGGTATAACTGCTTCCATTCCAGAGGCCCGAAAGAGAAAGACACATCCACCAGTTATCCAGGCTGATACAGCTCATTTTATCAGCAGTACAAAGCCTGGTCTGTGGGCACTTTATCATTTGCATAACGGCTGACTAAATTCCCTTCTTGATAACGGGCAGGGTGTGGTGTATGTTTGCTCTTGGAGGAGTGAATGGCATCCCCTTTAGGATCCTTTGTCAGGGAAAGCCAGAGCACCCCACACTGAGGGCAAAAGCGGGCGTTTTCCTTTTCCCTCTTGGTGCCACATTTTCACTTTTGCAAGGAATCAAAAGCTGCTTCCACAAGCTTTCCGTTTAGTTCCATTTTATCATCCCAACAACCCTATGAGGTAGGTTAGGCTGAGAGTTGGTGACTATCCGAAAGCCATCCAGTGACCTTCATGGCAGACTGGGCACTAGAACTTGGATCTCCCAAGTCCCAGTCCAGTATTCGAACCTCTGCATAACACTGGCTCTTAATGCCTGATTAAAAGAGGAGAAACGTATTCAGACACTAAAGCCCATGGGAAATATTAGACCACAAGTTCCTCGGGCTTCTGAAATAGCCTTCCAAGGTTCTTGGTCAGCAGGACTAGAAACTTAAAAAAAAAAAACCCATCCTGAGGTGACTTTTTTGTGTGTGCATTCCCACACAATCACAGCATAATTTCCACAGTCTCTTGCAGAGGAGCTGGTGGTGGGCGCTGGGTGGGGGAGAGGCACAGCTAACTCTTTCGACTGGGGAATGTGACCGTTAACCATTTCCTATCTGCCAGGACTTCCTCTTTCATCCCATCCTGTGTTTGAACATCCCAGCAGTTTTGTTTTCCTAGAGGCCCAAGCCATCTGTTTCTCCCCCTGACTTCTTCCAGCAGTCATCAAAATAAAAGGAAGCACACCAAACCGGGGCACCTGGCAGATCCCGCAGCCTGCCTACCGAGACATCCATTGCCCTTTTTCTTTCAACAACCGCGCAGCAACAGACCCTGCCAGGTTCTCCCCTTCCCTGCGCAGTTCTTTTTGTTATTTCATCCGTGTGCAGCCGCATGACATCAGTGCCTCTGAGTTCCAAGTGGGCCATTTTTGCCAGCAGTAAGTGCCGTCTGGGGAAAGAGAGCACGGCCTGCATCTCCAGCCCCGTTCCAGACTTTCATTCCCTCTCACAATCTGAAAGACACTCCCAGTTTTCATGAGCTTTGATAGGGAGCTGCTGGTAGGCACCCAGCAAAGAAGTAACTTTGATTGTTTCAGTAACTTTTGGTCTTGGCAGAACTTGAATCAACACACACACACGCATGTATACACCCTTAATATTGGCGAGTATCCCTCAAGCAGCTGGGCATTTGTTTGCCCACATAACGAACTGGCTTTCTGAGTTAACAGGCAATATAGAAGGATTAGTTCTGGTGTTATTTGTGACATTTTTGTTCAGCTCTTCTTCCAAGGAGCAAAGGACTGCAAACATAGTTCCTTCTTCACTATCCTGCTCCATTTCTTGTTTGTAGCATTTCTGGGAGGCCAGTGGTTGGCTGAGGAGTAGAACTATTTTGTGTGTGTTCAGTGTGAGTTGCAGCAATGGCATCACTTCTGGGTGGCCATCTAGCACGGCGGTCCCTCACCTGGGGCCAGGAGTGCCACCAGAAAATGGCTCCCACAGAGGACAGCCAGTCCTTTGACGGCTTCCTTGGGCATCTGGATAGCCAGGAGTTGTCCAGGAGAGGAAAAGCCAGGCTGGAGGCTGGACAGGAGAAGCGACTTCCAGGCCCACCCAAGCTGCTTCCCTCCACCTAGACCTTTCCCTTTTACTCTCTCTCTCTCTCTGCTCAGCCCCTGTCCCCTTGCCTTGCTTTCCTGTCTCTGATCGGTGGCACGTTCAAGACAAGAACCCAATGCCCTAATGTTTCTCAACCTCATATTAAAAATACACCGTTTGCGGCACTTGCTGCATCGGGCACCCCTGGCCTAACTTGAACTACCTCCTGCAAAACACCTCTCAGGGCAATCCTCTCCATGGCTAAAGTTTCTCCCAGAATCTGCTGCCCTGCAATTTGTACCCAACAGTCCTATCCCTTCCCTCTTTGGCGTGTGGGTTTCTCCACACAAGGCAGTTCTTGTGCATTCCAGATGCCTCACACACAGCCATGTGCAAGTGCTTCACACAACATCTTTTCCTGCACAGACTCTCCTGTACTTTCCAAATATTTCTGCAGGTTTTTTGTTTATTTTAGCTCAAGGAAAGTCTGGCTTTATGTGGAAATCATGCTTTGCAAGGCTTGTGCATTTTGCACCTCTGTTGTGTGGCAGCACCGGCGTGTGCTTATGGGGTGAAATGCATCGAAAGACTGAGAGAAGATCCCTCTGAGGGGGGCTGGCAAAGTTGCTGATTTTAAAAGGGTGCATTGAGTCTCATCATGACGAAACGAATGTAACCCAGCTTGCACAGGTTAACCAAGCAGCTCTGGATCGGAACATTCATTGCAGGGTTTTTATGTTTTACAGCTGGTCAGCGAGAAGGTTGGAGGTGCTGAGGGAACGAAGCTCGATGAGGACTTCAAAGAAATGGAAAAGGTGAGTGCAGAAAACCAGCGTCAGAGTTTGTGCTAGGAATCGCCCTGCCCGTGTGCCCATGCATCCATGGGGGATAGACCTGTACAGATGAGGCACTTTTTTTTCTTCTTAAATACATGTGTGTATGAGAGAGATTCCATTAAAATACCTTAATAACCAGTGCTGCCAAGACTGTATCTTTCTATATTGGTAGCCACCCTGAGAACATTTGTAGTTGGGCAACATGCCAATAGGGCCGACAAACAAGTGTTAAAAATACACCTGGCATTTGTCTCAGTATGTGATAGGTGTGCCTGCATTCTGAGAACAATAGCTGATTAGCTCTCCTGCCTTCCCAGAATCTCTCATTAACATGTAACTTTTCTTCATTAGCACAGTGCACTGCAGTTTCCTTTTCAGCAGAAAAAGAGTTTTTCTTGCTCCCCGTACTTTGCAGTTAAAATCCAAGCAGTGGATTTCTTTCTTTCCCTGGGACTAATATCCCCTAGAAGCAATAGAAGTGGGCATTCCGTGCTTGTGATCCCTTCTGTATCAGGGAACATCTTTCGTCCTCCTTTAGGGATTGGCCTGGTTCTGGCTCACTTTAGAAGTGGCACTGTAGCATAGACCTGGCGTTTTATGCAGAAACATTTAGTATCATGAATGTTATATAAACCTATAACCATATGGTATTAACTTATCAATTGCACACATGCTATGTTCCGTATTTACCTAGCCATCAAAATGTTTAGACCTTTTTCATTCTGAGCTTAATCTTGCTTTACTCTTGGTATGTTTGTTTTTATTCTGTATGCCCAGACAGCAGTAGCTGTGGGACAGTGTATCCCCCTGGAGAAGGAATAATTCTTACCCTCACCACCTTGGCAATATCCAACCATTGCCAATCAATTCCCCATTTCTTCTTCGACTGCCTGCTTTCATGTTGTCAACTGCATTGCTTCCATTTCTGCAGAAAGTCGACCTCACCAGCAAGGCTGTGGCAGAAGTCCTGGCAAGGACAACAGAATACCTGCAGCCCAATCCTGGTAGGTGAAGTTTTTCCTTTGGGCATGATCCAAAGTAACTGTCTGTAACCCTCTGTAGACAGAAGAATATAGGAATCTGAGAGTATGGACTGCCTCCTTTCCACTCTGCCCCAAAAGCTTGTCAGATCCGTAGCCAGCTGTGAGGACAGTGGGAAAACACTCCAAGTTTGGAGTTCCAGCAGCAATCCCAGTTTCCAAGGTTGGCTTTGGGACTCCGAATCAGCCCACAGCTGATGAGCCACACTAAGATTGGACTGCCCATTTTAGAAAGAAAGGGGAGGAAAGAAAGTGCAGTGGCTGTTTCCCTTGCACACGAATTCTGTCCAAACAGGGAGATCTTAAAGAATCGATGCAGGGAAAAGAAGACGGTGGTTCTTGCTTGGTGCTGGATGTGAAGCAACACACTGGAGGAGGAAAGCAGTGGTGGTTACGATGCAAAGCATCAGTTTTGGAAGATTTGGGGCTTAGCTGGCCTGGAAAAACAGGCAGAGACAATTTGTGTCGTCAGTTGGAATCCTCGCCAGGATAATTTTGTCAGCCAATAACCTCATTCCATTCCTCTCTTCCAAAACTGCTGTTTTGTAAGTGCTCAGCGCAACACAAGCTAAAGATCAGCAGCACTGTGGGAGCTGGATGCCTTCTAAGAACGTGGTCCCCACAACCCGCTTATGTATTTACCTGAACTAGATCTTTGCCACTGGTCCTCAAAGTTCCTGGGAAGGAACAAGAACAACAAAGCAAACCTCCCCCAGCAAAGTCAGCACAATGTTGTGCTTTCTAAGCCTCCGTTGCAGTTTGTCACTGCATTTCACCCGCACATGGCAACTTTCTCTCTTCATGCTCTTTTTTCAAAAACAGAAATGGGCTATTTAGAGACATGGGCGGGGGGCAGTACTGTCCACAGCACAAAAATGGATCATACTTTTTTGCTCTGTCAAGCTGAGCATAAAATAATTGGGTGAAAATTGGAAGGAAGCTGACTTTGGCTGATTCTTTGGGCAAAATTCCTAGCAGTTCCTGTTGTAAGCTGCCCAGAATGTTTTGGCTCTGATATATATGGAAGATATTATTATATTAATATATCATTATTGTTGTCATTATTATTAATAATAATAGCAGTCAGAACTACTTACCACATTTTCTTGCAGAACCCACCTGCTTATATTCTACTACCCTGCCGGGCCACTCATTCCTAAAAGTACAGGTGAAAGGAAGTGCTCCCCTTAAAACCCATTTCCTATGCAATGATCCTTAGCAGCTAAAGCCAGAGGGGGCCATAGCCACAGTGTAGATGTTACTTAATTAGAAATATGTACCCTGCCAACTGGTTTCAAAAGTCCCCCAAGGCAGTTTATGGGACAATTAAAACGCAAAGCATAATAATGAAGCCATAAAAATGCAGGGGGAAAGCCACACACAAGAAACCAAGAACCCAGGAGCTGCACTGAAACTTCCAGTAATAGCAAAGAGGAAATTAAAACAGGTCAGACACATTGCTCAGTAAGGAGGTGTTCACCATTTACCTAAAGGTTGAAGAGAGGACGCTACCCATACTGCCCCAGAAGCTGTATCCCATAGGCCTGGTGCCATGCGCATTCTTGGTTCGTTACATTGACGTTCTGCCTTTCTACCATAAATGGCACTCAAAGCAGCTAGTGGTAATAAAATGGCCATGAAAAACAAACTTTTAATTAGAAAAGCAGGTGCAATAAAAGACAGTGCCAAAATCAGGCAGTAGCCTACCTCACGGGGCTGTTGTGAGGGTAAAATGGAGAGGCGACAAAGGCTTATGGAAGCCAGAATGCAAGCTGTTAAAAACTCCTTGAGCAACCTGGGCTCCAGGCCGGCCGGCCGGCCTCGGTGGGGAGTTCTAGAGCCCACGCTGGCCACCAGGAAAGCCCTCACCAGCATCTCCACAACCAAGCCTGCCCTCAGTGGGAGTGGGGCTGAGAAAGGGGCCTCTTTTCAAAGATCTTAAAACCAGCATGTATAGGAGTCCTCTGTCTATAGTCTGGTTGAAAGAAGGCAGTCCATTAAATAATTGGGCCACACATAGTTTTTGACCTTTATACATAGTAAGCCAAACCTTTTGAGTTGTGGATTAGAATACTACCGAGAGGAATGGCTGTTCCGCATTTGCCAAAAGAAGCTTGGAAAAGGAGGTAAAAATGGACTTAGAGGGCCACCTCTGGGAAGGCCCCACCCCTTAGGTTGTGGATGCAGCTTGCCTTAAAACTGATCTGCATCATGAGCTGTGGTGCCTTCCCATTATATGGTGTGGATACCTGCTTAAGCCTACCAGATTCCCCGAACTGTACTCTGACCCTTTCTGAGCAGGCATAATCAAACAGGGCTTTCCTTGTGCTGCTTCCGAGCTTCCTGGGTTAGGGACATTTTATCCGCTGCTGAGCTGAGCCAGCCACCTATTGCCTCGCAGAACCTGTCAGCATTCCAGCATCCTTCCCGGTACTCTTTCTGAAAAGAGCACTCCAGGGATTACTTGAGAGCTGGCAAGAAGGTCAGAGAATTTGTAGATTCTCTCCCCCAACACACCTCTCCATGCCTTTTTTCTTTTCTTTTTTTTTTGGCAAGCTTCCTATGAACCTGTTTCCTGCTCACTCTCTTGGAAAACAGCCCTTAGTTAAAAGCAAGTGGTATTTCTGGCTGATTAAAACAATAGGTTTCTTGGCACAGGTGTCCACTTAATGCTCAGCCTTGCCTGCCTGCCTTCAATACCCCACAAAATTGGTAGAAGCAGCCCGAAGCAGGGTTGTGGTGAGAGATGGTGAGCTGGGAAGACAGGAGTGTCTGAGAGTAATTCCGCAGAGTTTGAGGAATGGTTGAGTCAAGTTTCTTTAATTTAAAACATATTTTTGTCAACTCACTCCCCCTAGTGTCTTTACGATGTGTGTGTGTCTCTCTCTCTCAATGCAGACAGTTGAATTAAATACAGCTGGAACTGCCTCTCTTATTTCTGGGAACATTTTTTTTGCGGCATTTCTGTTTCTTTCCTCCCCTTTCCCAGTGGGATACTGGTTTGGATTCAGCATGGGGAAGGTTGCTGGACCATGACTTGGCACATTCTCTTCAACCCCTTTGTGCCAAAACTTCTCCATGATTTCTGGCTGCAGCGTTCATTCCTTTCCGTTGACCACCCCCAAGAGATGGCTCCTATGCTTGACACACACACGATATTGAAATCCCCACCTGTTGTTGTTGCTGTTGTTGTTGTGGCAGTCACCTAACCATTGGCAACAATGTCAAATGGAAACTCAGGGGTTTTGGGTGCCTCTTCTGTTTCCCTGCCTGAATGCACACCAGCATCCCGGGCCAAGCTGACGATGCTGAACACCGTGTCCAAGATTCGGGGGCAAGTAAAGAATCCAGGCTACCCGCAGTCAGAAGGCCTCCTCGGTGAGACCATGATCCGGTATGGCAAGGAGCTGGGCGAAGACTCCAACTTCGGTGAGCCACCCCGCCTTAGCTGGGCTGCTTAATCCTCTGAGGTGCTTTGCAGTGAAAGGCCAAACATTTATTTATTTGTTTGTTGCATTCACACATGTGAAGAAATGCAGGAAAGCTGAAGGAAAGCCAGTGTAATGTGTCCATGTCCTGGGCTGGTTCAGTCTCCCGGAGTGACTTAAGACATTTCCTTCCATCAGATTGGTGATCTAAAAGGCATAACACACAGGGAAGATTGATGGGGAGGGATGAGGAAAAAGACAGCAAAGCTCAAGCATCAGTGCTTAGTTTCACAATTTGCATGGGTGAGGCAAACTTCCTGCAGGTCTTCCTTCTCTGACCATAGTACAGGGCCAGGATGCTCTCCCCATTGCTGTTTTATTTCCTGGGAGGCTCTCATCTTGTTCTTTGGGCAATGGATGATGCAAGAGACTCAAGTCCCAGGGAAACATCCACTGCGTATTTGCTTCTTGGAGAAGATGGAGCAAGGTCCCTACTACATACAGTCTTCTTCCTGGGAGGCCACATTTGCATTCCCAGCAAAGCCTAAAGGCTGTGCATGCCCTTCTCTCCTCCTCCTGAATTTTAGTCAACTTTCTCCCCTGACTTTAGAATCATCAGTTACATACAAACCAGGAATGGCAGTTTAACCACAAACTCTGCTTTGCCGAAGAAGCCAGTGAAGCAAACCAGAGTTTGCTCTTAGCTCATTTAGTGATGGTCCCAAGCAGTCCCTGATTTGCAGATGTTTTGAATTGCATTTCTCAGCATTCCTGGCCATCGGCCATGCTGGGAGGTAGAACTCAATCTTGTCTAAAACAGCTAGCAAGAGTTCTGCAGGATTTCAGGCTGGAGGCCTTTTCCCAGCCGACCCAGAAGTTACAGGGATGGGCCGTCCAAGTTCTTCCAGATGGCCTGCAGGATTCCTTTACCCCCAGGGTGTTCAGCGCAACACCTGTGAAGCCCAGTGTACCCCTGGGCCCCTCCCGGGATGCCCCACAAACTCACTGCCCATCCAGATCTGTCTTTCATTCCCGAGATTTGCTGTGACTTCATTTTTAAAGCTGCAAGGCAAGCAAGCTGCAAATGGAAGGGGCTTCCCTCCAGTGCGGTCTTCCTGGGCTTGAGAGAGGAGAGGTTTGTTCCCATTTGCAGTGCGGGCCCCACTTCCGCCTTGCGCAGGGGACGTTTCTCTCTTCCTTGCCACTTCGCCTTCTGGGAAATGAGTGTTCAGGAATTGGCTGTGCCTCCTGCAGAAACCCTTCTTGCTAGAGCAGACACTAACCCTGAGCAGCCAAGGCACTCGCTCATAATGGCACATGTGCCACCAACCGAAAAGGGCTGGAGACCCCTCCCTCACACGCCTCCCCCCCCACCCACATACCTTCTTGCCTTGTTTTTCACTGGCATTCTGTCTTTCTCCCTTCCTGACCCTCCGACCGCCCACCTGCAAAGGCGACGCCTTGCTTGATGCCGGGGAGTCGATGAAGCGCCTGGCGGAAGTGAAGGACTCACTGGACATCGAAGTCAAGCAGAACTTCATCGATCCCCTCCAGAACTTGTGTGACAAGGACCTGAAAGAGATCCAGGTAGCCTCCGGGGTCAGGCAAGGTTTGCGGGCCACTTCCGGGGCAGGTGGGCCGGCGGTCTTTCAGCAGAGACCATGCGGCCTGCCAGCCAGGCTGGTATAGCCGCATCCTGTCTTGAGCATGAGTTGAGACTAGCTGACCTGCAAGGTCCCTCCGAACTGAAACTGTGCTTCCGGCGGTGTCAAGAAGCTTCCAGATTGGGTGGCAGGGAGATCACAGGATCCATTCTGGAAAGTTGAAGGCGACAAGGGGACTCTGGAAATGATTGATTTCCCTTTTTGAACAGGAAAATTTCTGTGAGCACTCAGATCTTGTCCAGGAAAAACAACAACAACAACAACATCATCATCATTATTATTATCATCATCATCATTATATTGGGCAGTTTGCAGAAATCCATAAAAAAAGACAGTAAAACAGAGTAAATTCGGAGAAACATCAAAAACAGCTAGAACAAGCCAAACAGACTCTGTAGAACTGCCTGGCATAGCTAATCCCCTCCAGCCCCTGGTGCCAAAAAGATGACACATTTGGAGATGCTCAAAATAGCACCCAGATTTTGACCAGGGACCTTTTGTGGAGGGAGCAGGGAGGGAGCAGCTGGCCAGCAGTCCACCCTCCCTGGATTCAGATTGCTTCAGTGGAAGGAGCCCAGCCTAAATGGAACATGGCCACCCTGGCTGACATATTTTAGCTTCATGCACCTCCAGCTAGTCACTAAATTTTAGGAGAGGCACTTCAGCATTTTAGAATGGGGGTGAAATGCACCAAAACTTTTGGGAAACCCCCCAGAATTGGTAGATAGGGATGCACCAGACTGCAGCTCCAGGAAGACTGGATTTCGTGAACAACCCAGCCCACAAGCGGCAGTTTCTTCTTGAGACGTTCCTGGTTGGCAGCCCTCAGTTCACACACAATGCAGTGTTTGCTCATAGTGACAATTCCTTCACAACTCAAGCCTTTGCAAACGTTCTTGTTTTTGCATGTTTTTGGTATGCATTACTGTTTTTCAGACTACACTATAAACATCGGAATTAAACACATTTCAGCAACCCACCACGTTCTGGTTTGTGATTAATTTTGGGAACACACAGATGTCATGTCAAAACACTGCACAAATGAATTTCTCACGCATTCCTATGGTTGATGCACTCCTGGACTGAGCTGCTTCAAGATCCCAGTTCTCATGGTTCTGGCAAAAGGGCTGCTCTGAAGCAGAAAATGACAGCTGTCTGGAACAGCATCAAACCAACGTAATAGCATATATGCAATGGACAACAACCATGCTCATGCCGGATGAATTGGACCAGCTCCCAATAGGCATAGAAACAGAAACAGGTTGAGTCAGAAGGGGCCTCTCGGGCCATCTAGCCTGACCCCCGGCTCCAGCCGGCTCTGCTCACGACATGCCCACCGTGTGCACGTCCAGCCTATCCTTGAACAACCTCACTGATGGGGCCTCAACGACCTCCTGTGGAAGCCCATTCCACACCCTCGGGGTCCTCACTGTCAGGAAGGACTTTCTGGCATCCAAGTTGAACCTTGGAATAGGCAGCATGGCCAGTGCTCAGGGATTATTTTATGTATTTAATACCTTTGTATCCCACCTTTTTTTCCTTTCAAGGAACGCAAAGCAGCTCCCAAATTATCCCCCTCCTCTTAATCTTATCCTCACAGCACCAATTACACGAATCTCATAATGTCATCCTAACTTTAACCTGTCTCTCTCGCCCCCAATAATAACAAAAAGCACCACCTGAAAAAGCTGGAGGGGCGGCGCTTAGACTTCGACTACAAAAAGAAACGCCAGGGGAAGATCCCGGACGAAGAGCTACGGCAAGCCCTGGAGAAGTTCGAGGAGTCCAAGGAAGTAGCAGAGACGAGTATGCACAACCTTCTGGAAACAGACGTGAGTGTGCTGGCTGCAGCCGGGTCTGCTGCTTTCGTCGCTCTGCTTGTTCGCCCGTGCTTTCCAGCCACCCAGGAGCCTGCGTGGTCTGAGCGGTTTGGAACGGGGACAGCCCCCCAAAATAGGCCGCATTATTGTATTTATTTATTGCATTTATATACCACCCCAATAGCCCAGAGTGATTTACAGACATTAAAACCCCAAATGCAATATCCAGTCCTAAACAAACAAACAAATTGGCTACACCACGACTGAGTATAAAATAACATGGTTAAAATGAATTAAATGAATAAATATACAATTCAAATTAATTAACTTTAAAGTATTGGTCAAATACAAAGGTCTTGACCTGGCGCCAAAAAGGATATAATGACTGCGCGAGGCGAACCTCTTGGGAGCGCATTCCATAGTCGGGGCGCCACTGCAGAGAAAGCTCTCCTCCATGTACTCTGTCTCCTGACATTAATTTTCCAGTAATTGGAATAGGATTGTATTGCTATTAAACCACTAGTTATAAACTGTGTTTTAGATGCAGTTTAATATTAATATTTTAATATTTTTCTAATTGGAGTAGTTTTTTAAATTGCCTATTAAAGGTGTTTTCATGAGTTTTAATGTGGTTGTAGTATTTTAATACTATTACTCCTCTAATTGAAATCATTTTAATATTTTAAACGTGATTTTAAAGTTAGTATTTGAAATGTGATTTGGGTATCAGTATTTTAATATTGCTCCTCTAATTGGAATTGTTTTTAAATTGTACTTTGAATGAGATTTTAATAGGTATATGTAAAATGCTGAGAAATTTTTTAATGCTTAAGTAGCATGCAAATATGAGAAATGAATAAAAATACAGTACAATAAATCAGTACGAAACCTTCAACATGCACAAACATGGGAACAGTTTTAGACTTTTAACAGTAACATCCCAGCATTAGTTTAAAACTCAAATGTTGAGCAAAGTCGTAACCTGGTGACAGTGGAGCCTCGGTGGAGAAACTGGAGGGGCGGCAGACACCCCTGCTGCAAAGGCTGTTTCTCCAAAGCGGCCGTGTGTGAGAGTGCTCTCAGCACTCTAAATATACCCCTGCCCAAAAAGGCCTGGGAGCACTTTTGCTGGGAGTGAATTCAGCACCTCCCTGCGGACGTCGAGCAGGACTGTGTAGCAGCCGTCTTTGTCGTGCTTTCCTGCAGATTGAGCAGGTCAGCCAGCTGTCAGCACTGGTGGACGCCCAACTGGATTATCACAGGCAGGCGGTGCAGATCCTGGATGAGCTTGCGGAGAAACTCAAGAGCAGGTAAATATATCTATAAAACTCATACAACTTTTGTATGAGTTGTGTAACGTCTCATTTTCAGCATCTAGTAGATTGTTGTAACAAGGAAACAGGACTAAACAGGACCCAGGAAAAAGGTGTGGGGGGGTCACCCCTGGGTTTGCCATGGTCACATTCTGCTTCTGGTTTGCTTTTTCTGTCTTTGTTGGATTTGTTCACATTTATGCATTAATGGCAAAAGAAGTTCTTCCTAGATCTAGAATATTCTGTTCCTAAAGGGACTCTCTTAGAGCACAGTCCTTTAGCCAGAAAACATCCTACAATGGTATTCCTGTTTAGGCTACAAAGAGTCCTAAATTCTGTGCATGTTTGGACAGCAAAACATCCTGCGATAAGATGCAAAAGATTCTGCCTTGGAGAACTGGATTTTTAAATAGAACAGTGGAGTTTGGTCATTTGGTTGAGCAGAGCAATTGTACCAGTCCTTCAAGTGTGTTGGACTGCAGCTCTCATCAACCCCTACATGCATGGCAGTAAAGCCAAGAACTACACCAAGAATTGAGATTCTCTCTCTCTCTCTCTCTCTTCCTCTCCCCCCACCCCTTTCTCCAGAGTGAGGGAGGCATCCTCACGCCCCAGGAGGGAATATAAACCAAAGCCCAGAGAAACCTACGACCTGGGAGGGAGTGACCAGTCAAATGGCGGCTTTTCCTGCAACCCTGCCTCCAAAATTTCAGGTGAGGGCAGCTCAGGTGTGCTGCTTAGCCGGCGGAGCAGGTTAGGCTTGGAATGTGGCACATAGGGAAGCAACGGGCTTCAAGTTGGCCCCAAAGGTGCAGACAGAGGTTGACCTTCCGCAGTCCCTAAGCGGGACCCTTTTTCCCATGCTGGGTCTTTCTCTGTGTTAAAGGAGGTGGGGGCTTAACCCTGGAAAACGCGCCCAGATCCATCCCTCTGGCATCTGTGGGCTTCTTTTCATGCTCAGCCCAGTCTTGCCAAGCCGGTGGAAGTCCACGGCCACTCGTGGGACAGACTTGTGCAACCGGCATCTGCCTTGCATGTCAGCTGCAGCTGCAGCGGGGCAAGGGCTGCGGCTTGTGGGGCAGCCTCACAGGGCTCCATCCCTGGAAAACCCCATGCGAACACACCTCGCATCATACTCAGCAGAAGCCCCGGGAAGCAGGGTTGTGCGGGGAATCTGCTTGGGAACGAGAGTCCGTCAGTTCCCTGGGCTTCACTGAGGTGGCTCGGCGTGCCCACTGCCCCCTTCCACATCGCGTTAGTTTGCATATCCAGTGGGGCAAATGCTGAGCGGCTCCCCAGGGACTAGGACGCAGTGGGGCAATGAAGCGTCCTAGAGTCCTGGGAGCTGAGCTCAGGGACCCCCAGCCCCGACAGGATTCCTCCACAGCTGGGGCTTGGCTCGCAGAGTCCAGGGTCCTGTTCCGGATGCTGCCCTTGTGAAGAAATGGAGGTGGCTTCGGAGTGGGGGCAGCGAGGGGCATCTGAGGAATGAGGGACGGCCAGCCGTGGAAAAGGCAGCTGTCATTTTAGGTGGCAGTCCCAGAGTGCCGGGGCCCTTGGAGAAGGCTGCAGGTTTGCTGGACAGAGCCGAGAAGGGGCAGGTAAAGGCGGTCTGGAAAACAAGTCCCACAAGGCAGGGCGGAAGGAGCTGGGTCTTGCTGAAGCTGGGGAAGGGAAGAGCCCTCCTAGGTCCCAGGAGAGCTGTCAGGCTGCTGTGGGAAAGCCTTGTCTTCTGCCCCTGCCACAATGAGCCTTGGTGGCAACCAGGTAGATTTTGGGTGGGAAATTCTGGGGATCCCAGCACTTAGCAAAGTCTTATTCCCCTAGAGCAGTGACGGCGACCCTTTTAGAGACGAGTGCCCAAACTGCAACCCAAAACCCACTGATTTATCGCAAAGTGCCAACACTGCAATAAAACCTGAATATGGGGGTTTTAGCTTAGAAAGAACAACTCACAGCCAGTCCAAGCAAATATATCCTCGGCAGCGCACTAACCGACCATGCGAAAGCTCAGACGAGTCACGGCTAATGAGTCGCGGCTCGTGACGTCATCGCCTGGCCCCACTGCTCCTTTCTGAGCATGCGCATGGTCCCTGTGTGCGCTGTTATCTGGTGCTCTGCTGCTGGGGTGATGCTGGGGCGACTGGGCTCGCGTGCTGACAGAGAGGGCTCTGTGTGCCATAGGTTCGCCGCCACTGCCCTAGAAGGAAGGTCTTGAAGGAGATGCCTGGCAGCTCATTTGTTGGGAGCGTTCTGGCACTGAATTCCCTTCCTCAGACAAGAGGGTGGTCCGACCAGAAGTGCCCCATTTGCAGCCCCCCCAGGTGTTGCTGGACTGCAACCCCCATCTCCAGCCCTTGCCAGCACCACAGTGGGGGTTTCAGTCCAAGAATTTCATTTATTTAATTTATTTTCCCTGTTTATTAGTTCAGAGGACTCTAAGCAAATATTGGAAGGGTTTTCGGGTTGCCCACCCAGAGGCCGAACGCTGGGCAGCTAACTCGGACCCTGTGGAGACAGAATTAGGGGTCCTTCGCAGCGGCCATGCCTCTGTTCTCTGTTGTTTAAGCATCATTCCTAAGTGTGTTGGACTTCAGCTTCTTTGTGGAACAACGAGATACTCATGCAAGAAATCTGGGGTGTGGGGGAAGACCTGCCCCTGCAGAACGGACCTGGCCCAGGCAGGCGACCCCTGAGGGTGGGAGGAGAAGGCAGACCTGTTGCAGCTGAAAAGACACCTGCCGCCAGATGGGACCCGACTTTACTTTTGCACCGTACTAAAAAAGACGTTGCTTTTTAAAAAGTGCTTCTCACAGCCCGAGGGAGGGGGGCTTCTAAAGGCCAGTCCTGCATGATCAAAAACTGGGGAAGGGGGTGCCTCCCCGCCCTCCACAACTTTGGACTCGTGCCCTAGTGCACGCTTCCAGAATCGCTCGCCAGACTTTCCGTGCAGCGCTGGATCTCGGTCTCCACCCCGGAGGGAAATGCTGTCTGTCCGCGTCCGCCCCGCCACCCCAGTAACCTTCGCCCGCTGCTCCAAGCGTTCTGGTTTGTTAAGGCTAATTTGGGGTCTCCCGAGCTGCCACTCTCCCACTGACTTTCCTGCATGCCCAGTTTGTTCTGCGCTTCTCCGCAAGAGTGCTCTGTGTGTCCTTTCATGGGCTTGTTTGTTTGTAAGCATGTCTTGTTTTGACTTTTATTTGATCCCCCCCCTTTTTTTTTTTGAATCAGCGTCCTCCTCTTTCCGATCCGAAAAACCATCCCAGACGCCAAGCAGGAATTTTTGTGAGTGTCCCGACCTGCCTTGACTCCTTTTCCTCTCTCCATCTGGCTCGCACTCTTCCTCCCCACTGCATGGGGCATGGCTGCCTCCCCTCTTTCCTCCGTTCTTTTCCCTTACCTTTTTTAAGTGGCTGATATGGCCTATTCTGGAACTAAGCCGATCTTCCTTCTGGGCACGTGCCTGCAGTTGGGGCTGTGTGTACTTTCTGACTCTGTTTGAGGCCCTCCCAGCGTTCTTCTACTGCAACTCCCATCATCCTTCACCTAGGGCTTACGCTGCTCCTCCTCCTCGTCTCCATATAATCTTCACAATAGCCCCGTGCAGTTGGTTAAGCTAAGAGGCAGGGACTAGCCCAAAGTCACCCAGCCAAGCAGGGACGAACACAGATCTCTCAAGTCCCGATCCAGCACTCTAAACCATGATACCACACTGGCTGTCGTCTTGAGGGCCAGAAGCAAGAACACAATGTGTAAAAATGCCCAGAAATCACACACAGACACAGAGAGAGAGCGAGCTGGATTTTAATACGCTTTTAAAGAAGCAAGTTGCTAGCCTTTATGATCATAAAAGAAAGTAAGCATTGCCAATTGAAATCTAAGAAACTGGGGTGGAAATGGAGTCTGCCTGTCCTACATCAGTAACAGAGCACCTGGTTTGCATGGGGGAATCCTACACTGGGACCCTGGTATTTCCAGTAAAGACAAAGCAATCTGGTAACAGTCATAGGACGCTCCTACCCCACCTGAGTTAAGGAGACAAGACTGGACTAGATAGACAACTGTTTTTACCCCGAGTTGGAGGCAGTTCCTGCAGTTAACTGCAAGTTGAGTGCCCTTCACAATCCCAGGCTGAGAGGTATTCAAGTAAATTTCTAGCAGAATGAACCCATCCAAAAATTAGAGACGTACAGACTTGATAAAATCCATTCTGCCCCCATTTTGTGGGTGTTCAGGTTCTTTTCTGAACAGTTCTGTCGTCCCTCATAGACAGAACTGGAGAATTTAGCCCAAAAAAACCCAAAGATCCCGGCAAGGTGCATGTTCTCTCCTTGTAGCCTATGTTGGGGGCCTTGTGCTATTATTCATATTCCCCTATACCTAATTTTTGTAACGTCTCAAAACATTTTAAAAACTGGTGACTTCAGAATGGCCTGCCCACTGCAAAAGCCACCGGTCAAATTCTTCATTCCAGCTTGTGGCGGATTTTGATTTTTCCGACACCCCCACTGTGAAGCACCCTTCACCCACCCTTCCAGCTGCGGGGAAGAGATCGCCTGAACCATGAGGAACCTCCATGGCTGGTTGCATGTACCTGGGTTCCCTTCATGAGGCAGCATTCTAGCCATAAAGATCAGCCACGTTCTCTGGTTCCACGGCAGAGATCCCATCGCCCTCCCCATGTTGCCAGACTGTATTGCCTTGGCATTGCCTTGATATCCCCCTTTTGGCGCCTTGTGAGGCATCACTCCACTTTATCCTCACAACCACATCCCTGTGAGGTAGGCTGGACTGAGAGCGAGTGCCGAAATGTCACCCGGTGAGCTTCATGGCGACTCGCCCCCCAGTCTCCCAAATCAAGGCCACCCTGACCCTCCCTAGCTCCCTAGCTGTTGGCTGGGGCTGATGGGAATCTGAGTCCAGCCACCGGGAAGGGCCCTGGTGTGTGTCCACCCCCCCCGGCAGCTCTGCAGGGGCAGCAGGCCTCACGAGAGGTCGGCGTGCCAGCCCCACTGACTCGCTCGCCCTCTCTCCCTAGCAGCCCCACTGGACCAGCCGTGCTGCAAGGCGCTGTACGACTTCGAGCCTGAGAACGACGGCGAGCTGGGCTTCAAGGAGGGCGACATCATCACGCTGACCAACCAGATCGACGAGAACTGGTACGAGGGCATGATCAGCGGCCAGTCGGGCTTCTTCCCGCTCAACTACGTGGAAGTGCTGGTCCCACTCCCTCAGTGAGGCGGCGGCTCCCCGTCCTCCTCCTCCTCCTCCTCCTCTCGCCTCGTTGCCCCCATGCACTGGCTGCTGCCCCCAAGAAGGAGCGAAGAGGCCTGCGGGGCAGCCGTGGGTGCCGGGGGGCGGGGGGGGGGGCTTTTCCCTCACATTCCGCGTGGTTTGCCCAACACTAATTTCCCGTCCAGCGACTTGGGATCGCGTTGGCGCACGAGCTGGTGGTGTAGCGGGTGAGGGGCCAGAAAAGAGCACTTCCGGCTGCCCCCCAACACCTCCCCCTTCCCTCCCTCCCCCTCTGGTGATGCTGGAATCGAGGACCGCCACTCCAAACATGGCCCATGCGTCAAGCGTTTTGTGCACTTTGCGCGCTCGGTTTTTGCCCAGCTACGCCTCTCCTTGCGGCGTGTCACCGCTTCTGTGTGTCCTTCGCCTCGTATGCCGCACCACCAAGAGGCAGGGCGGAGCACTGGGGTCTCGGCTCCAGCGTCACCCTGGGCTGGACACACACGGTCCCGCCCCATCCGTGTCGCTGCCTTGTCCTTCAACACTAGGAAGGGCTTGCCTCACTTTGCACAGGCCTCTCTTGTCGCAAGAAACGGAAGCACTTAGGATCTGTCGAATTCAAGCCTTCCGGGTGAACCCTTTCCCTTTCCCCTCCCCACCTCACACACGCAGACACTTTCTGTCGCTAGTGCTCCTGCCGGCCAGGCTTCCTGGGAAACCAGGCGTTGGGCGTGAGACTGAAGACAGGAACGTCCGAACCGGCACACGAACCCCCTTCAGGTGTCTCTGAGAGAAGCACTGGGAGGGAAACACGGAGGCAGTCGCTGTGCCGCACGCACCTCCTCGTCCTTAGGCCGCCTCGGCCTCAGCATCTGTCTCCTCTGCCGCTCTGCGCTGAGCTGGTGGCGCCCCTGCTCCAGCCACCGTGGTTCTGCGCAACGCTGGCCATGCAGCGGAGCGGAGCGCGCGGCAAGGATGGCGTGGCGGGAAGGAGGCCGGATCGGGCTGCTCTTTAAAGCGTAGGGAAGCCTTAGATCAGCAAGCCTCCCCTGGCAGCCCAGTAGACACTTGGCATGAAGTTGGCACCTTTCTGCTCTAGAGGTTTGGCAGGTCCGCCTCCAGAAGATCCTGGACACGGGTTTCCTCTGCCCTTCCTGACGTGCCTTTGGAGTCTGGGCTCCAGTTTCAAAAGCAGGGAGTGAAGCTGCTACTTTAGACCATTCCCATGTGCAGGTGCCACTGCCTCTTTATTCTAATCCCGGCCCTCCTCTCACCTGGCCCTCACCTTTTGGGACACTGATTCCGTTAATATCTACCAGGATGCATACACTACAGATGGAAAGCAGCATTGCTTCTCAGAGTTTGCCACCACAACTGGCGGGCCCACACATGGTCACGGAGGCGTGAATGTTTGCGAGAAATCCCCACATGAAGTTCAGCATCCGTGCTCACAACCAAGCGGCCAGCAGCATATGTGCAAGCGGGTGGCAGGGCAGTTTCCCCAATAATTTATCAAGGATGCACCTGATGCTCAGCCCTTTGCCTGATTTGCTAGCTTTCTCCATGCAGGGAGGTTTTTTTGTATTACAGAGAAAGCTACTTAAACATCTGTGGGCTGGTGGTGAAAAGGCAGGGTTCCTCTCCGTTCTGCGAAGCATTTCAGAGGGAAACTTGAACACTTCATACTGATGCATATAATTTTCAGTTGCTGCCGTCTCTCTATTTCTCAGATGGCACTTTCCCATCTTAAAAACCTATCTGGTGTTTCCTTTGTTGTTGTTGGCTAAGCTGTCAGTTTTAAACCTGGGCGGACCCTCGGCTGTGATCTTGCAAAGGATGCAAGTCCAGTTCTGTTCACCGGTGCTTTCTTGTAGAAGCGGGGTCACAGAAATCTTCACCCCCTCCCGAAAGTGACAACTCAGTCTGGAATTTCTCCCTCTCCCCACAGAAAACAACTGAAATGTCCCATGTAAGATTTGCACCCACTCCTGGCCTTGGCACAGCGCAGGGTTTCTGTGAATGCGAGTCGTGCACTCCTCTGCCCCGCCCCCACCCCCATTCCCTCCAGCCTTGTATGCAAGACTGGATCGCAGTGCAAGATTGCAAGCCTTCCTCACTGGTTTGAGTTCAGGAGAACAGTTAACTTTTCTCTAGTTTGAAAGAGGTGTTTCTGCCTCCACCTCGCCCCCAAATCTTGTGTCTTTAACAATGCCACTCTCCCACTGCAGGCAGTGGGTTCCTAAGCACAACTGAGGCCACGTCTCCTTTTTCAGGGGTGGGGTTTTGTTTTTGGCAGCACTGCCATTTCTTCCCTCCCCCTTCCCCGGGGGAGGCACTGGTCGGGGTCCAGCATGGGGAAGGTTGCTGGGCCAGGACTCGGCACCTTCTCTCCAACCCATTGTACCAAAACCTCTCCGTACTCTCTGGCTGGGATGCCCATTCCTTTCCAGTTGGTGGTCTCTTGCCCAGCAGTGGCACCTGTCTTTCATAAACACATATTTATATTCATGTATATCTATATAGCTATATCTGAACCAATTTATTTTGTAGTTATTCTCCTCCGCCGCCTCCTCCTCCTGCTCTTCAGCGTGTGTGGGCACCAGAGAGGGACGGATTTCCTCTGTAAATCACCCCATTCTAGAAACTTACATTTTTTTTACCCCTTCACTATCCCAGCTTTGTGTCTTTCAGTTCTTATCTGTAAAACACCCCACACTTTCCCCCTGCCCCCAAAGTGTTCTTAGAGACCACTCAGGTATTCCATCTCTGATGTGACTCCCAGGTGTTCTCTGACTGGAAGGTAAGCTTGGTCATTGCGGGTTTAAACACTTCCCTGTTGCCGGCACGTTTCACAAGCTCGCCAGACAGAACGAACTTTGAGCATGCAGATGAGACACTTTGCACATGCGCAGCTGTGACACCTGGGGAAGTGGCAGGTGCATAATTGTTACAGCATGTGCAGTCCACCCCCGCCCCGCTTTTTGAACATTTCTTCCACTGTGTTCTTTCTTCTCTCCCATCCCACATCAACTAAGACCACATGAATAAAAATTATACAGGGCTTTTGAGTGGAAGGGGTAGTTGGACTTCTGTAAATATTGGCAGCAGCTGTGTCGCGCCACAGTATAATTTCTTGTACCTTTTCTGTTGGATGAACTGAAACAAATATCTTTGTTTATTCTGGACAATTTATTGGGAACGTAAACAAACAAAACCCACCCTTTTGTCCTGGTTTGTGGATCTGTTTCCCTCCCCTCTTTTTTGTTTTTCAATAAGAGAAAAACCTCATATCTTTGAAATAAAAAGTATTACATGTCTCCAGGTTGTGCTTGTCTGTTTCTTTCCTAAATCTAGGAGGCAGGGCTTGGTGGCCGTGGGTGTAATTGCAAAAGCTTCACCCAGCAGCTGTCAGTGGAAAATCTGGCAAAAGCGGCATGAACGCCTTCGATAGGGGTCACTACAGAGAGGAAGCCGAGGAATGGGGGCAGAAAGTAAATTTGGTGGGCATGTAACACTTATTCTCCCACCAAAACTACTTCTTCAAAGTTGCTGTTCCCATTTCGTTTCAGGGGAAGCTCTCTGTGGCAACTTCCCTTGGGCTGTTTAGAATTTTTATTGATAATAAATACTGTTTTAAAAATAAAATTCTTTGGCGCATTCCTCTTCAACTGGGTACCGTCCCAAGGTGTTGGGCTACAATTTCCGTGATCACCAGGGTATATGGCACTTGTCTGTGCTGGCTGGGGTTGATAGAAGTGGTAGTCCAGTGCCCCCCAAAGTTGCTTGGTTTGGAAGAATGGCTTGTGGGAACCAAATTTCCTCCCTTCTTTCCCTTACCCATTTTTTAAATGCAGGCTTTAAAACAATCATTCATCTTTCTCATGCACCTCATGCTTTTCAGTAAAGGAAAGCATCCCTCGTGCAGTTTTGTTGAAAACCCTACCCCTGTTGCCTGCTTCCCAAGAGTTCAGACCCATAAGTAGAAGGTCACAGGTGCCTTGCCCCCGTTACCCTCGTATCAGCCAGCATCGTCGTGGTTCCAGACCACTAGCGGGGCTGCCAAAGGGTTGCATCTCCAGAGAGTGGTGAAGCGGCAGGACTGGCGATCAGGCAGTTCCCGTTTTCAATGGTGTGTGGACTGGGGCTTTCATATCCAGTCACAGGTGCTCAGTAAGAACAACAGGAGAGCTGTGCTGGATGAGGCCCATGGCCTCTCTAGACATCCCAAAAGGAAGTCCCCAGGCAGGAGAAAAGCACAAAGGCCTCCTTGGATGGCCCACAGCTTTCCAGCACGATTCATCTCAGAGAGGCCAGCAAGAGAATCTCAGGGCTTTGAAGAAATGGAAACACCAAATAGAGCTGTTCTCTTGAATATCTTGCTGCAGCTTAAGGTTCAGGTAGTTGGGGGAAGACAAGTGGTCGGGAGATTCTGTCCCACAGCAATCGGTCCCTGTGCACAGGCGAGGGGTCCTTTGAGCATCTCATGTTAACCATTGTGCTTCAGGATGCTGAACACCTGCTCCAGGATATGCCCAAAGCCCTGGTCCTTGGGCATTCGGGACACTAAAGAGCCCTGCAGGGACGAGACCAGCATGTGTCATGGGTTAGGGCTAGGATTTTTCATTTGCAGCAATGAAAATGCGAGGCACACCTTTGCCCCACCCTGATCTGGCTTGGAACCTCAGTCAAGGGGCTCCAAAGACTGAAGGCCCTGCTTGCACACTGGGTCCTTCTCTGGACGGGGTCTTGTAAACTTGAGAGTAAGGAAGAACACCTTCAAAGTCACATGTAGTTTGGGCCTGAGCCTTAATGCTCAGTGGCCTACCTCACATGGCTGCTGTGAGGATAAAACGGGGCAAGGGAACAGGGCTGCCCTTCTGGACTCCTTGGTGTGAACACACACACACACAGTTTTTTGAACTACACGGCTGAATTTTGGAAGCGGACACTTGCAAGGGTACAAGGAAGGCAGAGTGGAGAACACAAGCCCCACCAAGTGCTGAATCTGGGGCCACTGCTCACAGCCTCCCTCGCCAGCGCCCGTCTCTGGACAGGCAGCTGTCAGTCATGGCCCCAGTGCAGGGCCAAAGGCATCCCTTCTTCCCCAGCCCAGGAGAAGATTATTATGACATCGTCCAAAGGGCTATGATGTCAACAGAAGGGCTGTTGAAACAGCCAACCAGCACTCTTTCTGCTGCAGCTCGTTTGCATGCATCCATTCCATTGGTTGGACAAGGCCAAGCTGGAAGGCACTGGATGTCCTGGGGGGCAGTGATGCTGAGTCTGAGTGATGCAAGGGCTGACCTTACCTTGAGCTTTTCCAAGTATGTTTTCTCCTGGTTCCACGTCTCTTGGAATTTCACCATGTCAGGGGCCCCTTTGTAAAATTCCACCAGCAGCATCTAGAGGGGGAGAGAGGAGGCAGATGCGTATGTATGTATGTAAGTATGTATTTTTGGATTTCTATCCTGCCTTTTTTCGACAAAGGGCTCAAGGCAGCTTGCATCATTCTCCTCCTCCATCTTATCCCCACAACAACAACCCTGTGAGGTAGGTTGGGCTGAGAGTCCGTGACTGGCCCAAAGTCACCCAGGTGGCTCCATGGCTGAGCGGGGACTAGAACCCGGATCGTCTGAGTCCCAGTCCCATGCTCTTAACCACAACACCACACTGGCTCTCCTTGGTCGAGTCCATTTTTGGACACCTGCTCCAAAGAAAGGAGACTAAGCACCCAGAACCCCAGCCATGGCTGGTCAGAATTTTCATTTCATTTCTCTACTGCCCAACAGCTGAAGTCCTTTGGGCACTGAGCAGCGCTTAATAAATGGAACAACTATAAACAAGATTACACTAAAAATTAAAACCAAGATTTAAGTACATGAACAAAAATAGTTAACCTGGAAGACCAACATCATGGCTTAGCATCAGGCAGAGTTTAAACCAGTCTTTTTAGAACCATGAGGACTGGAATCTTAATTTATTTGAAAGGTACCAGAATGCCACAGTAGCGTGCAGAAAGCCCCAGGAGACTTGCAGGGGAGGCTGCTCACCTGCTCCCCAAAATAGATTCACCACCATGGAGAGCTCCAATCAAACTGAAGAGAAAAGCTGCAGTGGAAAAGGACCCCAACTGCCACAGGAGTCACCTGCATTCCCTGTACAGGGCCTCTGCTAAAAGGAACAGGTAGAGGAGGGGATGGGTGGGGGGAGGCTTGTCTCCTGAGAGATGCTGTTCACCCATCCTGCATGGTATCAGAGATCTATGAACCCAATCGTGTCTAAGGAATCTGTCTTCCATTTGGTGGAAGCAGCAAGATTCTAGCCCTCATGGATACTGGCTGGTGAGCATGTATAGGAAACCTCTGACAGCAAAAGAGGAACTTATTTGGCTCTCTGTCCTGCTTCATTACCCAGGACTTTGCCAAAATATTTCTAACTGCAGAGGGAGTAAACCAAACATGTTTCAGATCTGTAAACCAGAAGTAGCATCAGAGCATTAGGAAAAAAATCCACCATAACATGCAAAGCTCAGCTGCAAAAAGCTAAGCAGAGTAGCCAAGCTTAGGACAAATGTTTTGGGGCTTTGATTCCCGTGGAAGAGGGAAGGCTTTGCTCAATTACTATCCACACGTTCATTTGTTTTCAAGCTTATTATCAATATGAATGCTATTAACTTTATTTCTATCCTTCCCAGTAGCCAAAGGCAGACTCAAAGAAAGTATAATTTTACCACCCCAAGAGACCAATGCAGCAGGAAACCTGTTACTAAATTGTAAAAGAGGGACAAAGCGACGGGAAAATCAGAGGTCTGTAAAAAGTCAGCAACTGCAAAATCTAAAAACAAGTACCATTTCATGGAGAACATCATTGGTTAGAAATCCATCTTGGATGTAGGTGACTTCCACTTCCATGGGGATCCCATAATCATATGGCCGTTGCTGAAAGAGGAGAGAAAGAGGAAATTTGTGACCATTTTGGATTCTTTTCTTACTGGATCTCTCCAATTCTTTTCACGTTTTTTCTCTGAGTCTTTGGATCTCCTTTTCTTACAAGGAAGGAGCAACGTATAGGCTGGGGAAGTGAGAAAGTTCTTTCTGGGTTGGGCCTTGGGAAGCCTCCACAGTACACAATAAAGCGAAGCTTTTTTTTCTTGGAAAGAAAAACTACAAGAGAAAAATCCCTGTTAGCATATTGTATTAGGGTCAAATTCAAGGTCCCAACATAATATACAAGCTTTGGAGCGGATGAGATCTCCTAATCGGTCTAAGATGGTAAAGTAAGGAAAACACGGCAGGCATGAATTTAAAATGCAGTTTTAATTATCAGCCAAGCTTTCCTCACCTCCTTTTTTGCTTCATTTACCATTTACCCAATAAAGAGTGTTGAATGACTCGAGGGTTTGTGGATGATTTCTGTGAGCTTTGGGTTGGTCTAATATCCTATGTATATAAGGATTTGGGCATTTCTCTTCCAGGAATCTCTAAAGTCTGTTGCATTTTGGAATCTCAGTCTGCCTTTTAAACGGATCATCGTGCAGAAGGTTCGCCCTTGTTTCCAGCAGCCCTGCAGAGTGGCGGGGGGGAGCGTATTTGGATACTACCAAAGTGGCCACTCCAACCTGCTCTCCCTGCAGAAGGGCCTCTGGCCCCTCTCTGATGCCGAGGATATGAATTCCTCTTTCCAGCACCTCATTCGGAGCTCAGGGTTACCTGCCGGCTGCTCATTTCGATTTTTCAGTGGCTGGAAGCTGGAGAACACTTGCAAAGTTTCCTCAGTTTGGCAGGGCAAAAGAGAAAGACAACGAAATTCACTCGCCCCCACACACCATCACTCCCTCTCCTCACACACAGCCAGGTGTTACCTTTACTAGAACCTTCACTTGCAGCACTTACTGAAGGTCACAGGGTCACCCCTGCCCCTCCCCCATCAGTATTTCCAGGCTGGGCTGGGAGCAATTCCAGGGCTGGAAATCCAGGAAAGCTGCCAGGCCAGGGATCACGAATGTGCAGGCCTCCAGGCTGTGGGGGATGACACCTCCCATTATCCCTGCCGAAGGGCTGGGGCGGATGGGAGCCATGCCTGAGGTTCACCACCCCTGCGGCAGAAAATGTGTATTTATAGGGCTGAGAGTTTGCAGTGTGCAAGCCCATGTGGCGTCATGCTTAGCACAGCAGCATGGGACTTCTAGTCCCACTCTGCCACAGCGATCACCGGGTGACTTTGGCCCAGTCCGTGACTCTCAGCCTCACCTACCCTGCACGCTTGTCATGATCATAAAATGCTGAGAATGTGTATCAATTAAGCCACCCTGGACTCCTTGGAATTAAAAACTGGGCTAGAAATGGAACAGAAAAATGCCATGCTTTCTCACCGCCCCCAGCCCCCCGGCAAGTGCTTGGAGGACCTACCTCTGGAGGGGGCATAACCCAGAAGGGTGCAATCTTCGACTCCAGGCCTTGGTTGCCGTGGAAGTAGGGACCTGAGAGGGGAAGAGACGAGTCACTGGAAGCAGCCACATTTGTTTGGGTGTTTCAAAGCCCGAATGGTACAGCCCTCCTTTTCCCACCTCCACAAGCAGTCTGGTTGAGGGTCAGACTAGATGGCCTGGGAGGCCCCTTCTGACTCGTTCTGCTTCTACATTTCTAATTTGCAAAATGAAGAATCCAGGACACCATTGCACAGAGGGGCTGCCAGGTCCCTGCAAGGTCAGCATCGAAGCAACCCCCATGGATCGATGCGTTGGATCCACATGTACCCACATGTAACCACGCTGGATCCACATGTACCCACGCTGATGAGTAGAACCATTGGAGCAGCCAGACTCAAGTGCTGGCCAGGAGCTCCTTTTTCCCCCAATTTAGTTTTCCTCCCACGGGTTTTCATATTTCTCTTCCCTTTCTATATGTCCCATTGCATAGTTGTTAAATGGCGCTGCCATATAGCAAGCATCGCAGAGATCCGTGAGCATTTCAATCCATAATTTCCAAACAGTATCTCCCTTTCCTGGATCTGAAAAAAGAGCAGTAGAAGCACTTGGAAAGCATGAGAGACGGCGTGGAAGGTGTGCGGTGTGCAAAGCACCCACAAACTACCATGGGAGCGCAAAGTAAATGCGGCTGGTAGAAAAATTTCTTGAGGAATCTCTCCACTTGGCCAGATCTGTTATCTAGGCAGCATCCCAGCCTTCAAAGACAGAGTCAGACTCCATTGAGTGGGACGCATGACCCTGGAGGGAAATTCTGGTGGGAAATTCCTTCCTTCCTTTCCCTTTTAACAAATTGTGTCTAGCCTAGATTCCGTGGACTTCAGTGGCTAAATCTGGAGTGACCCATTGGAAAGAGGTACTCGCGCGTTTCTAGACCTCATGAGTACATGGTGGGGGAGGGGAGGCTGGAGAGGAGGCAGCCTCTCCTGCTTACCGCAGATGAGAGCCAGGCAGGGCTGGAAGCTGTTGCTCGTTCCCTGTAGCCTCAGCTGGTAGTCCATTTGGGTGTCAATGTCCTGCAGCGACGGGAGAGCATGGCTGAAGGGGTGGCTGTGGTACCATCCCACCAGGGACAGCCCGCGCATGAAGAGGTTCTGGCAGATCTGGAGAGGAAAGAGCGATGAGCACCATGCCCCCATTTCCCTAGGAAGGGAAGAAAAAGACCAAGCAGACAAGGCACCCGATGTATGTGTTCATTGCGTTTCTATACTGCGGCTGAAGCTCTCCAGGTGGTTTACACAGTCCATAAAAACAGAGGATGAAAAAACAGAGGTAAAAATATCACTAAAGCAGAAAAAATATTCGAGTTTAAAATAGATAATAAAAACAGACAATATCAAGGGATAAGAAAATGAACACGTGACCCAGCAAAACACCGAGCAACCTCCCCCTCCCCTCTCACTGATGGGGCCTCAACCACCTCCCGAGGAAGCCCATTATTGACTATGCCAAAGCCTTTGGTTGTGTGCATCACAACAAATTGTGGCAAGTTCTTAAAGAGATGGGAGTACGTGACCATCTTATTTGTCTCCTGGGAAACCTGTATGTGGGTCAAGAAGCAGCAGTGGGAACTGGATAAGGAACCACTGATTGGTTCAAAATTGGAAAAGGAGTTCGGCAAGGCTGCATACTGTCGCCCTGCCTATTTAATATATACGCAGAGCACATAATGCAAAAGGCTGGACCAGATGGATCTCAAGGGAGAATTAAGATTGCTGAGAGAAATGTCAACAACCTCAGATGCTTTGTGGAAGCGGAGAGTGCAAAAGTTGGCTTGAAACTTAACATTAAGAAAACTAAGATCATTAAATCCAGACCCATCCCTTCCTTGCAAATAGATGGGGAAGAAATGGAGGTAGTGACAGATTTTATTTTCCTGGGCTCCAAGATCACTGCAAGCAGGGACTGTAGTGAAGAAATTAAAAGAGGCTTGCTCCTGGGGAGGAAAGCTATGGCTAGTCTAGACAGCATACTAAAAAGCAGAGGCATCACCCTGCCGACAAAAGTGCATATAGTCAAGGCAATGGTTTTCCCAGTTGCAATGTATGGCTGTGAAAGCTGGACCATGAGGAAGGTCGAAGAATTGAGGCCTTTGAATTGTGGTGCTGGAGGAGACTCCTGCAAGGCCCTTGGATTGCAAGGTGATCAAACTGGTCAGTCCTAGAGGAGATCAACTCTGACTGCTCTTTAGAAGGCCAGATCCTGAAGCTGAAGCACAAATACTTTGGTCACCTAATGAGGAAGAAGGACTCCCTGGAGAAGAGCCTAATGCTGGGAACAATTGACGGCGGAAGAAGAAGGGGAAGGCAGAGGATGAGGTGGCTGGATGGAGTCACTAAAGCAGTCGGCTCAGCGTGAGCTTAAGTGGACTCCAGGGGATGGTGGAGGACAGGAGGGCCTGGAGAAGTGTTGTTCATGGGGTCGCAATGGGTCAGACACGACTTCGTGACTAACAGCCACAACAATGCTGCCCCATAGCCCAAAGACTGTCCAGGTGGCTCGCAAAGGCAAAGATATCCAAAATAAAATCAGCAATTTTAAAAATAACAATCCAACATCTTAAATGAGTTTCAGCTGTTGTGGCCTGAGGATGTGGACAAAGTGCTTGGATTGGTCCATCCCACCACCTGTCTGCTCGACCCTTGCCCCTCGCGGCTGCTCGTCAGTTCCCAGAGTGGGATATGTACCTGGGTCCTGGAAGTCATCCACGCCTCTCTGAGGAAGGGCCGAGTCCCCACCCCTGTGAAGGAGGTGGCGATCAGGCCAGTCCTGAAGAAGCGTCACTGGACCCAGAAATAGCCGCCAATTATAGGCCAGTGGCTAATATCCCATTCCTGGGCAAGGTGCTCGAGCGAGAGGTGGCTGGACAGCTCCAGGCACTTTTGGAGGAAACTGGCCACCTCCACCCATTTCAATCTGGCTTCAGGCCTGGCAATGGAACAGAGACTGCCTTGGTCACTCTGTATGATGGATGACCTGTGCAGGGAGAGGGACAGGGGGAGTACATCCCTGTTGGTTCTCCTGGACCTCTCAGCGGCTTCCGATACCATCGACCATGCTATCCTTCTGGATAGGCTAGCGGGACTGGGGGTCGGAGGCACTGCTCTGCAGTGGTTCCGCTCCTATCTCAACGGCCGATTCCAGAAGGTAGTGCTGGGGGACTATGGCTCTGCGCCATGGCAGCTATGCCATGGAGTACCGCAGGGCTCCATTTTGTCCCCCTTGCTATTCAACATCTACATGAAACCGCTGGGAGAGGTCATCAGGAGGTGTGGGCTGCGGAACCATCAGTACGCTGATGACACCCAGCTCTACGTCTCTTTTTCAACCGATCCAGGTGAGGCAGTGGCTGTACTGAACCGGTGCCTGGATGAAGTAATGGGCTGGATGAGGGCCAATAAACTGAAACTCAATCCAGACAAGATGGAGGTCCTGCTGGTAGGTGGTTTGGGCTCCGGAGTGGGGGACCTGGACCTGGCCCTGAATGGGGTTGCACTCCCTCTTAGGGACAAGGTTTGCAGTTTGGGAGTGCTCCTCGACCCGGAGCTGACTTTGGAAGCTCAAGTGTCAGCGGTGGCAAGGAGTGCTTTCCTTCAGCTTCAGTTGATCCATCAGCTGTGTCCCTACGGAGAATGACTGCCTGGCAACAGTGACACACGCATTGGTCACTTCCCGATTAGACTTCTGTAATGGGCTGTATGTGGGGCTACCCTTGAAGACGGTCCGGATACTTCAATTGGTGCAGAATAGAGCTGCCAGGCTACTGATGGGGACTGGGCATTACTCTCATATAACCCCAGTCCTCCGTCAGCTTCACTGGCTCCCCATTGAAGTCCGAGCCCAATTCAAGGTGTTGGTTATGATCTATAAAGCCCTCAACGGCTTGGGACCTGGTTATCTAAAGGAACGCTTGCGTCCATATATGCCCTCCCGGCCCCTGAGATCGGCAGCTGAGACCCTTCTCCGGGAGCCCTCCGTGAAGGACATTAGGAGGGTGAGTACCCGGAGGAGGGCCTTCTCTGCGGTGGTGCCCCACCTATGGAATGCGCTCCCCAGAGAGGTCTGCCTGGCGCCGTCGTTATTTGCTTTTTGGCGCCAGGCCAAGACATCATCATCATCATCATCATCATCATCATCATCATCATCATTATTATTATTATTATTATTATAACATTTCTATGCCGCCCCTTGCCAAAACCTCGGGGTGGCTTACAACACGATAAAATACAATGAAATACAATAGCACATAATAAATTACCATTAAATACAAAATACAAAAAATACATTGATTTACAAATATAAGATTAAAATTATCAGTATAAATTAAGTAAATAAAAATATAGGAGGAGAAAGAGAAGGAAGAAGAAGTTGCCCTGGCCAGATCATATGTTTTAACAATTAAAATGATGTTTAAATAAAAAGGTCTTTACCTGGTGCCGAAAAACCAGTAACGACGGTGCCAGGCGGACCTCTTTGGGGAGTGAATTCCATAGGTTGGGTGCCACCGCAGAGAAAGCCCTCCTCCGAGTACTTACTCTCCTAATTTTTTTCATGGAGGGTTCCCAGAGAAGGGACTCTCCCGCAGATCTCAAAGGGCGGTCAGGCATATACAGACGTAAGCGCTCGTTCAGGTAGCCAGGACCCAAGCCGTTTAGGGCTTTATAGGTCATAATCAACACCTTGAATTGGGCCCGGGCTTCAATGGGAAGCCAGTGAAGCTGACGGAGGACTGGAGTCATGTGAGCATAACGCCCCGTCCCCGTCAGCAACCTGGCAGCTCTATTTTGCACCAATTGAAGTGTTCGGACTGTCTTCAGGGGAAGCCCCACGTAAAGCGCGTTACAGAAGTCTAGGCGGGAAGTCACCAGCGCGTGTGTCACCGTCGCCAGGCAGTCGTACTCCAGGTAGGGGCGCAGCTGATTAATCAGCCGAAGCTGAAGGAAGGCGTTCCTCGCCACCGCTGTCACCTGAGCTTCCAAAGAAAGCTCCGGGTCGAGGAGTACTCCTAAGCTGCGGACCTTATCCCTAAGAGGGAGTGTTGCACCATTCAGGACCAGGTCAAATCCACCCTCTCCAAAACCCGATCCGCCAACCAACAGGACCTCCGTCTTGTCTGGGTTGAGTTTCAGTTTATTTGCCCTCATCCATTCCCTTACCTCGGCCAAGCACCGGTTCAGCACAGCCACTGCCTCACCTGGATTAGTGGAAAACGAGAGGTAAAGCTGGGTATCATCAGCGTATTGATGATTCCGCAGCCCACACCTCCTGATGACCTCTCCCAGCGGTTTCATGTAGATGTTAAATAGCAGAGGGGATAGAATGGAGCCCTGTGGTACTCCATGGCATAGCTGCCATGACATAGAGACATGGTCCCCCAGCACTACCTTCTGGAATCGACCATTGAGATAGGAGCGGAACCACTGCAGAGCAGTGCCTCCAACCCCCAGTCCCGCAAGTCTATCCAGAAGGATACCATGGTCGATGGTATCGAAAGCCGCTGAGAGGTCCAGAAGAACCAACAGGGATGTACTCCCCCTGTCCTTCTCCCTGCACAGGTCATCGTACAGGGCGACCAAGGCAGATTCAGTACTGTACCCAGGTCTGAAGCCGGACTGAAAAGGATCCAGATAATCAGTTTCATCCAAGAGTGCTTGGAGTTGTCCCGCCACCACTCGCTCCAACACCTTGCCCAGAAACGGGATGTTGGCCACAGGTCTATAGTTAGTGGCCATCTCTGGATCCAGTGACGCTTTCTTCAGGACCGGTCGTATTACCGCCTCCTTTAAAGGGGCAGGCACTCGATCCTCCCTCAGAGAAGCGTTAACCACTTCCAAGATCCAGGTCCCAATCCCGTGCTTGGAGTTATTTATTGACCAAGACGGGCAAGGATCCAATAGGCAAGTGGTGGGACGTACTCGTCCAAGCACCTTGTCCACATCATCGGGCCGCAATAAATGAAATTCCTCCAATAATTTTGGACCAGACGGTAGCATTGGTGACTCCTCAGAGACCTCCAATTCATTAGTGGAGTTCAGCTCATGACGAATCTGAGCGATTTTCTCCCTGAAATGCCTGGCAAAGTCGTCACAGCGGGCCTTTGAGGGTGGCATCGGATCTTCCTTAGGACCCGGGCGAACCAGGCCTTGCACCACTCGAAAAAGCTCCGCCAGACGGCATTGTGAGGAGGCAATGGAAGCGGAAAAAAACTTCTTTTTCGCCGCCTTCACCGCCACAGCATAGGCCCAATAGTGGGCTCTCAAGTGTGTTCGGTCAGATTCATCCTGTGATTTCCTCCACCTACGCTCTAGCCGTCTCCCAACCTGCTTCATCGCCCTCAGTTCAGGAGTATACCAAGGGGAAGAGCGGGCTCTGCCCGGTGGGAGAGGACGCTTAGGAGCGATCGTGTCCACAGCCCTGGTCATCTCTCCGTTCCACAGTTCGACCAGAGCCTCGACAGGAGCACCCGACTTGTCAGCCGGAAACTCCCCCAGGGCCTTCAGGAATCCTTCCGGATCCATCCGGCTCCGGGGGCGGACCCACACAGTCGGGTCCGCACCCTTACAGAGGGAGAGGTCGCTCTCGAGCACAAACCTCACCAGAAAGTGATCTGACCATGACAGGGGAGTCAAACATAAATTCCTCACCCTCAGGTCATCCTCTTCCTGCCCCGTCGAGAAAACCAGGTCCAGAGTGTGTTCACGTTCATGGGTCGGGCCGATGACGTGTTGAGACAGGCCCATGGCCGTCATAGAGGCCATGAAGTCCTGAGCCGCCCCGGTCAGTCCAGACTCGGCATGGAGATTGAAGTCCCCCAGGACCAACATCCTGCGGGTCCTCAACACCAGGTCCGAGATGGTTTCTGTCAGCTCAGATAGGGAGACTGCTGGGCAGAAAGGTGCACGGTACACCAACAGAATCCCCAATCTGTCTCGGTCGCCCAACACCAAGTAGAGGCACTCCAGCCCTGGTCTCAAAGGGACCGGAAGTCCTATGAGAGAGATGGAGGCTCGGTAAACCGAAGCGACCCCCCCTCCCCTCCCCTCTGGGCGTGAGCAGTGCTGAACCAGATACCCAGGCGGGCACACTTGGGAAAGGGCCACATCCCCCCCTTCTCCCGCCCAGGTCTCTGTAATGCAAGCCAGGTCGGCCCCCTCATCCACAATCAAGTCATGGATGAGGGAAGATTTATTATTGACCGACCTGGCATTGAGCAGCAGCACCGTCAGACCCGAGGGGTGGTTGACAAGGCTACCTGGCGCCCTCTGGTTGGGGGCAGGACCAGAAGAGGGACAGGTGTCAGCCATCTGTCCAACCTTCTTCTATGTGGACACGTTAAGCCCCGATTGTTGTAACGACCATTGCCCGTTTATTTAAACGCTATTTTAATTGTTAAGGTTTATTTATTGATTTTAAACTGACCAGGCTGTTTCCACTATTTTATGTATTCTTTGTATTTATATGTGGGATTTTAATGATTGTAAGCCGCCCTGAGGCTTATGCAAAGGGGGCAGCACATGAGCTGTCTAAATAAATAAAATAAATAAACCGATCCAGGCGAGGCAGTGGCTGTCCTGAACTGGTGCCCGGTCAAGGTAATGGGCTGGATGAGGGCCAACAAATCGAGGCTTAATCCAGACCAGATGGAAGTCCTGTTGGTGGGCCAAGGTAAGTGATTTTGGCCCTGTCCTGGACGGGGTAGCAAACCACCTAAAGGACAGGGTCTGCAGCCTAGGAGTGCTCCTTGGCCCAGAGCTGTCCCTGGAGTCCCAGGTGGCAGCGGTGGCAAGGAGCGCGTTCCTCCAGCTGCGGCTGATCCATCAGCTGCGTCCTTACCTGGACGAGCAGTGCCTGGCAGTGGTGACCCACACAGTGGTAACCTCCCATTTGGACTATTGCAATGCGCTCCAGGTGGCGCTACCCTTGATGGTCCAGATAGTTCACTTGGTCCAGAAGAGAGCTGCCAGGTTACTAATGTGGATCAGCAGAGATTTACATATCACACCGGTCCTCTACCGTTTACACTGGCTGCCAATTGAAGTCCGGGCCCATTTTAAGGTGTTGGTAATAACCTATAAGACTCTAAACGGCTTGATCCGGGATACCTGAAGGAGCACCTGCTTCCCTATGTGCCGCCCCCCCCCCCCCCCCCCCCCCCCCCCTGGAGGCGAGGGCCTTGTCCGGGAGCCCTCCTTGAAGGAGACCAGGAGGATGGCTGCCTGGGGAAGGGCCTTGTCAGCGGTGGCACCTCAGCTGTGGGATACGCTCCCCAGGGAGGTTCGCCTGGCGCTGTCGTTCTGTTCCTTTTGGCACCAGGCAAAGACCTTTTTATTTTCCCAGTATGTTAATCATTAATCTGGTTTCATTCCTGTTTTTATTCCTATTTCAGATGCAGTGCAGTTATTTGGGGGGTTGTTATTATGGGTTCTGTTTTTTGGTTTGCTCTTTGTAAGCTATCCAGAGACAGTTTTAGTAATTGGGACAGCATGCAAAAACCTAAAACAAAACAAAACAGTCAGCATGGGAACAGGAGACAATGAAGCATGACCAAACAAGCAAGCTAAGAAAATCAATAACACCATAATTAAACTAAAACAGGTACCAAAAAACAGCCTTCACCTGGTGATGGAATCATGAGGGTGCCAGTCATGTCTCCCTGGAAGAGCATTGCAAAGGCAGGGAGTAAGAACAGGGGAAAAAAACCTTTTCCTGGTTGTTTCCCTCTTTCCCTCCTTTGGGTGAGGGGCTCCATAGAAGATCTTAATGGGCTCGGAGGGATATTCGGAGACAGACGTACCTACAGATATCCCGGCTGCAAGCTGTTTAGAGCTTTGTAGTTAATGCACGCACTTTGACTCAGACCTAGGAGACTTTTGATTGAGATGCTGTTTGAAGATGCTGCAGAGCGATTAGGTCCTGCTTTTTCCTGTGTAATCCTCACACGTTGAGTCCTGGCCTTCCTCCCAGTCATCCATGGGGCTTGCTACCCCACTTCTCCAGCCCCACCACCATCTCCTCACCTCCTCCTCGATCACAGCTGCCTGCTCCCCGTCTGCGAGGCGAGACCGGCAAGGAAATGCCCGGAGCACCGTTAGCACTGAAACACAGAATCCATGGGTGAATCAGGACAGGACTCCCCAGCTGGCCTTCCAGCAATGCTGGACCTTCAGTTCAGCCACTGGGGTCCCCCTGTATGGCCACACACCCCTTTCCCCAGCAACATCCCTTCCTGACTTGTATACATTTCCCAGACTCCCCATTTCTTTCTCCAGCCTCCTCAAACTGCATCCTTTTGGGGTTGGACGCTTTAACAAAAACAAAGATGACAGGGAGTTTAGTTTTCCCATGCTAAGCCCTCAAGGACTAAAACCTTTTAAAAAGAAACTTGGGTTTAACTTTGGTCCTTGTGAATTAGAATCTTTTAAAAAAGAACCCAAATATCCCCAATATTTTAGTCCTTGTGGACTAGAACCATTTACTTTGAATGACCCAGATTTTCCTGTAAATGTAGTCCTTGCAGACTAGAATCTTTAAAAAACAAGAAACTAAAGACTTCCTCAACTGTATTCCATGTGGACTAGGGCCCTTTAAAAAAGAGACCAGGATCTCCCTGAACTTCCTCCTTGTGGACTACAGCCTTCAGAAGGAAAAGCAAACTGCATAACCATTCTTTTGACAACCCTACACCAAAAGAAGGCATATGGCTGCCGAAGTGTTTCTATGCAGAACTTTGTTGAAAAATAAGGAAAGACTTCTGATATTTCATTTATTCCCTCCCGTCGCTCACACACAGAGACATGCACACATAAGCGCTAGCAACTCCAGAAGAACTTACATTGGGTGTTAATATCCCATCTGCCTCCCAAATAACCGACCACCTCGCTCTTGGTTAAGTGACTGTGGAAGTCCTAAGAGCAAGGAAACATTTGCAAGTTTGACTGATATTTGGGAACCACAGTGAAGATCTCTTATCAACTGGGACAGTTCTGCTCCTAACAGAAGCCGGCCTCCATTCAGATTACCCACAGTGACCCACTAGTGTCGCTGCAAGGCATTGTGGGGAACTAGGATACCAGGCTGCTTGCAGACCCAGCTGTTTGGGCCAGAGACCTGTTCATGGGATCCCCAGAGGTGCTTCGTATCAGCAATGCAGCCCACCCACCATTTGGCTCTTGGTATTTTGACATGCCAGATTTCAAGGGGAATGGATGCCTCAGGGACACATGCTGAGAGAATGTTAAATGGAATTTGACTGGGTGTACAAAGGCTCAGGCCAGGAGGCCAAGTTTCTCCTGGGTAGTAGATAGGGCTAATGACTGACAAGGGGAGAGAAGAGAGCTTGTGCAGTTACAAGCAGCCAAATCACACCTGGCTGTCCCTTACTGGAGAACAGAGGGGGACACTTAATGGGTACCTACCAGGAGCAGAAGTACATTGCTAGAGATGGCAACATTAAAAGGCTGGAATTTGTTAAGGGCTGTGAAAGAGGTCACTTCCACCAAGGTATGGGGATTCCTAAACAAAAGCAGGGGAAAAGGGGGAAAATCACCTTGCAGTCATGAGGACTAGAAGCATTAAGAAGACACCCATGAAAACAAGGAAACAACTTTTAAAGATGTCCTAAACACATCTGGCAGCAGAAAATCCCACAAACAAATCAGGTCTTTCAGAAGTGGAAAATTCCTCCTATCCAAAGAAGATTAGCTGGATAGTTGTGTTTTTTAAAAAATTAAATTGTTTTCTGAAATTTTACTTATATAGACCAAGAGATTAAACTGCCAGCCTCATATTGTAAATGGCTTTTGAAAGAACCCTCTAAAGCATAAAAATATGCATGGGGGGGGGGAGATTTACACATTTTGGGGATTACACAACACAGAACCATGGGTGTACACAAATGTGTGCCAATATATTCAAACAGAATCTGATTCTGTCCATGAGTGGATAATAAGAAAAGGGACCCCACAATCCAATTATTGAGAGTGGGATGGATTTTGCAGCATCCAAGTATCCCTAATTAAAAGCAGGTAGCAAAGAAGATACAATAAAATCCACAAAAGCCTATTCAATAAAAACTATAAAAACCAGATCCTCTGCAATTCCTATCAGAATGCTTACCCATTAAAATAAAACCAAAAACACACCTTAACAGGTGGGTCTTCAGAACTTCTCTGAAGACCTGAAAGAGCGGTCCGGAGGTGGAGGACTGCCACTGAAGGGCTCTTGTACTCAGCAGCCCGGCTGCTCCGGCAATTCCCTTGCTTAAAGTGAACGGAGCTTCTCCTTCAATGGCCTCAAAGTATGGGCTGGCGGGCATGGGCCAAGGGATCTAGCTCAGCCCATTCAGGGCTGCAATCCTACTTTGGAAGGAGCAGGCTTGGAAGGAAGCACAAGCCCTAAGGCTGGAGGCGCTCTGACTCCAAAGAATCTTCTCTAAAAGCTAACATAAGCATAAGATCCATAAAACCATGTCAGATGCATCATAAAAAGTACCTGGAGGAATCCCGACTGCCCAAGTTGCAATAACGGACCGGGACGCGGTTCCTGCAGTCCAGACGCTTGCTGTTCTCTGGGGCCAGGAGAGAGAAAAAACCAGCCACCCATCAAGCATTGGGAAAACCAGTCCACACAACAGCAACACATCAGATTTAACTTTTCTTTCCATTAGCATTTTTGTTTACCTGCAAATGGTTTTTATTTAACTCCAGACATGTATTTCCACCCTGCTTCTTCTGCACAAAGTGGAAACAAGCGTAAGCATGTTTCATGTATGTATATATCATGTATGTACTACATGATACATACTACAAGGGTCGGGGTGGAGGGGAGGAATGAAAGATCACATCAGTTCTTATCCTTTGAATCCAAGAACTGTCTTTGGGGAAAACAGACAAAGAAGCAAAGCCCCAGGTTAGGAGGGTTGCTAAGTGGGCCCCTGTTCATAGAGGACATGTAATACCAAGGAAGGAAGGAAGGAAGGAAGGAAGGAAGGAAGGAAGGAAGGAAGGAAGGAAGGAAGGAAACGGATCATAACAGGCCAATCTCTTTCCAATCCAGTTTGTAAAACACACCATGATGTTGCATGATTACCCGCACTGTGCAGCTCCACAAGAGATTTGGCTTGCTGCCTCCGCGTCTTCTCCTCCAGTTTCTTGGCCAGCAGGGACTCAGAGACGGCCGACTTAACGCCCTTAGATTCCTCTTCGTCCTCTTCTACCAGCTCCTCCTCTTCTCCTTCACTCGCCAAACTCTGCAGGGAAAGAAGTGACAGACACGCAAACAGCAGTCAGCTGAGATTTCGTTTCGTGGTGCCAAGCTGCATCGACAGCAGAACCTGCCTGGAAAACCTAGAATGTTTCTTTATTGTGACATTTCTATCCTGCCCTTTCTCCCACTTGCTGGGAGTTCAGAGCAGCTCAGGCTGTCATTTTCTGCAGCATGGTCACAACAGTCCTGTGAGGTAGGTCAGACTGAAAGTCAGCAACTGGCTGCAAGTCACCTAGTGAGCTTTGTAGCCAAGTGGAAACTCAGACTTAGGTCTCCTGAGTTTCCAGTTCAGCACTGTCAACATGACACCACACTGACTCTCCAGGATGCAGTTTTAATGACAGTTGACTTGATATGGGCATAGCCAAGATAACAAATGTAAGGTTACAGGAGGGTACAGGAAATGGAGAAACACACAAAAAGCAGTGAGAGCTGAGATTTGGTTCAGACAACAAAATTGTCCACATTCAAGAGTCAAGTGTGGGGTGTCATTGAAAGCTGGGTTGTGCTGTCTGAACCAAACTGCACCAACAAACTATGGCTTGTTAATCACAAACAGCCCATGGTTTGTTGCTGTGTTGTTAATTATGGGTTTTCCACCATGGTTTGTCATCTCAGCCAGGTTCAGGCAACACAATAACACACACCCGAGGGATGAGTGTAGATTGTTGGTGACATATGGCTTATCTTTTTATCCACCCCCAGATGCAGTAACAAACCATGATTTGTTAGCAGCTAATAATCCATAAAGAGAACTGTTGGGTTGTGAACTGCTGGCTATTGTGGTTAACAAGCCATGTTTGGTTGGCGCAGCTGGGCTCACGGACAAGCCACGCACAACCCATATTCACCCTTGAGTGCAGGTTATCCGTGGACTGAACACAGACTCTGTTTGTCCCAATATCCCATCGGAACATGCCGGAAAGGCCCTGGATGTGTGGGAAGATGGTCGAGAGAAGCACAACCCACCTCTTCGGCAGGAGTGGCATTGGGCTGATACTTCTTCAGCCAGACAGCTTTATACTGGTCTAACTTCTGGCCTTTGTACTTAACGGAGGCCCACCCGCAGCCGGACTTCTTGGCTGGATTCACCAATTTTTTGCAATAAGTTGCCCAGGCACTGGGGGAGTTGAAGACTTGGCCGGTCTCTTGCCAAACGATCTTTCCATCCGTCAGTAGGTCTCCCAAGAATTTCTTTCCCTGGGACAGTAAGAGAACGATTGAAAGGGGAACTAATGGAAAGTCCTACAGTTTTCAACTGGCGCCAAGAAGACGGTGAGATCAGCACCAGGCAGGTGGCAGTGGGGCGCATGCTCCAGAACTGGAAGGCCCCCACTGAGAAGGCCCTTCCTGCTGCCATGAACTGAGCAGAGGCAGGTCCCAGATCCCACGTGCAGTGTCCAGATAAATGGTGATCCAAAGAGGGATCCATCAGAATATGGGATCAGCTCCCGTCTGGCATGGTACAGTCTCATGACAACTTGACAGGTGTCAACCGGATATAAACTGAGCATTCCTTCTATATCCAGTTTCTAAGCCCGGAGTGCCATTCCTTGGGAAGCCAAACCCCACTCACAAAAGGGATGGATCCACAAGAAACACACATATACATTTAGGAGAATAAAACTCTGAGAGAAGAGAGCACTCGGAATTGGACTGAACATGTTCAGAGGCTGCTTTGCAGAGCAGAGAAAACTGGTTCGAACAGAGGTGGGAATGGAATATCTGAGAAGAGGTAACAGGGTAGGGGCACTCTGTACTGCAACGTTTTGTCGCAGATGCATTTCGGTTTTATTGTGCTTAACGACGGTGAGGATAATAGTGCACAGAATTTAGGGTGGGTGAGGAGGACACGACTGCTGAGCTGGAACCCCACTGGCACCCGGGACTGGCAGGCCTCACTCACCAGGTAGTAAATGGACAGCACTCCTTCTCCCGGCTCGATCAGCCCATCCTTGAGGAGCACCCGCAAGGTGATCCCACGGCGTGTCAGGATGCAACAGCCGCGTCCGCCTGGGATGAATTTCCCCATGCTCTCGGGATCCTCCAAGCTTGTGTCAAGGTCCTCCTCGTCTTCCTCCATGCATTCATCTCCACCGAGGGAGTCGGCATCCAGGGCTGAGACAGGAAGCGAAAACAGAGTGAGCTGGACGCAGGGAGGGGCCTGGAGGGCGGGGCTTGGTCACTGCATTTTGACTGCATCCATTCATTATATTTATAGCCTGCTTTGTTCCTTCTGGGGACCCTGAGAACTTGGTCCTTCTCCAATCTATGCTATCTTCACAACAACCCTGTGGGGTAGGTTAGGCCTCTGTGGCTGGCCCAAAGTGAGCTTTATCACCCAGACTTCTGAAGTCCCGCTCCAGTCCTCTAACCATTACACCACACTGGCTCTTGTGCTGTGTTGTGTTGTTTCAGGCAACAGAGAAATGTGCAGAGCCTCTGAGCAACTTGGTGTGGGGCTTGTGAATTGCAACCTCCCCCCTCCTTTGTGGCTCTGGATTATTTAGTGCAAAATTCAGCAATTTGGTTGCCATTCTTTTTAAAGCCTTAAGATCCTAGCCCTCATGACTGGTCTGGCTTGGAAAGGAGCAGGGGAGAAATTCCAGGGGGAAGGTGAGAAGGGCAGGCTGCTCTTGCAAGCAAGGAGTGGAGGTTCCCTTTTGCAATAGCCCCTTGTCTTTTTGTATGTAGAACAGAAGGGGACTGGAGACAGTCTGGTGCATGCGAATTTCCTAAAAGCATTCACTATCTCCTTAAAGAGCACTGCTTGGCAAAAATATACACGAGGGAAAGCAGGTGGAAACAAAGAGGTCCTGGGGCTGACACCTTTGGTCACTCTGCCTCTTTTGCTTGGATGGTTCTGGGCTCACATGGAACCGACAACCACTTGGGCTGTGCACCAAGCAGAGTCTTAATTCTGAGGCAGTCTGTGCATGCTCTGAGGTTCTCTCCCCAGCCTCCCTTGATCACCTTTCACTGCTCACCTGTGCTTCAGAGAAGCACGCAAGTGCACCGACAAAATTTCAGTTTTGTCCCGGGGCGATCTGGTGCGTGTCCCATTCAGAAGGGTACCCCGTCCCCGCCCAGTTCAGGGAGTCCTCCTTCCAGGTAAATGGGCAGCTTTTGCCTCCTCATCCCTGCACGGTGCCCTCAGGGCGCTGCGTGGAAAGAGACCTCCAGGCAAGCCGAGAAAAGGCGCAAGAGGGGAAACGGCTTGCGGTTCCCGGCGCGCTCTGGCCAGCGCGGAGGAGGAGCAGGAGACGAGACGGGCAGCGGGAGGCAGCTAGCTGGGTGGATGTGGGGCAGGCGGAGAGAAATGGATGCGAAGGGCAGGCGGGGCAGGTGGCAAAGTGATGGAACAGAGCGAGCTTCAGAACGGTGGCTGGAGGAGGCGGAGGGATGGAAAGTTCCAGGATCCACAATGGAAGGCGTGCGCCAGAGGCGCGGACCACAAATGCGGAGCTGGGTGACAGGCAGGTGGGCGGTGGTCAGCCCGCCCGCGCCAGCGGCACCATCACCCGCCTGCCCGCTTCCAACCCTCTGCACGCGCTCAGAGGCACGCTCGCGCAGGGATGCGCTCGGGAGCGGCAGGGACCGGTGCACAGCCGGGTGGGGGCGTGTGGCTGCGCTGCGCAGCGCTGCGCTGCCGCGAGCCCCCTCCGCAACTCCCGCTCCGCCGTACCTGCAGCCATTGGGGGTCCGCCCGGCGCTCGTCCTACGCCCGCCGCGGAGAAAGCATCGCCGCCGGTGCGCCTTGCCGGGCGCGCGTCACGCCGGCCAGAGTCTGCCAGCCCGTCCGCCTGTCGCCGAAGCCGCGGGAGGCCGGGAGAGCAAGCGAGGGAGGGCGGGCAGACAAAGGAAGGAGGGGAAAGGCGAGGCGGGGAGGGACGGAGGGGGAGCGAGGAAGAGGAAGGGAGCCGCGAGGAAGAGCGCAGGGAGGCTGGAGGGGAGGCGGGGAGGGGAAAGAGGGTGGAAGAAGGCACCCAAGGGGGAAGGACGAGCCCGAGAAGGGAGCAGAGGGGTAGAGAACGAGGGAAGGAGGGTGGAAAAGCGGAAGGGACGGGAATGAAGAATGGGAGTGCGGGGTGGGGGGAGAAAAGGAGGAAGGAAAAGGGACGTGGGGAAGGAAAGGGGAGGGAAGAGGTAACGGGGCGGGGGCGTAGGAAAAGAGGGGAGGCAGGAAACAAAGACAGGGAGGAGGAAGAATGAGGCTCTTCGTTTACTCTTCGGTGTTTAGGGGTGTGTTCAGAAATCAGTTTAAATGGATGGAAGACCTTTTGGGTTTAAAATGTCTCTTTGGTTCAAATCTGGCTACTTTAATACAGTGGGTCTGCCACATAAATCAAGAGCTCTCCCGACCCATATCCTGTTTATCCCTGTTCATTAGCTTTGGTAGTTTTATGGAGCCTCTATGTGTAGGGGCAGTCTACCTCTCAGTGGCAAATGCTGGAGCCAGGCTGGCTTGTAAAAAACATGCCTTTCTGGGGAACCCTGAGGACTAGAATCTTTCTTGTAACCCACTGGTGGAGCACACCCTTTGTGTGCAGCACATCCCAGACACTATTCTTAGCCTCCTAGGTAGGGCTGGCAAAGATCCACTTCCTTAAGTGCTGCCCCACTCAGTAGAGACAAAACAGAGTTGGACAGTCTGAGGCTTACTTTGCTGTAACACAGCATTCTGTGTTTTTACTTAAACCAGCCCCTTTCTTCAGAACCATGAGGACCAGAATCTTGCTTTGTCTTTAGGGGAAGAACCACAGGCAGAGCAGGGAGAAGGTCCCCATTCAATCCCCAGCTTCTTTAGACAGGCTTAGGCAAGACCCTTTTTTGAACCTCTAGAAAGATTGTTGGTTTGTTGTGTTGTGAATGGTGGCTTGGTCACCACAGGTATCTCAGCTGCATTCAGACAACGTAACCCATATTTTGAGAACAATTTGGTGGCAGCCCTTGAAGGGTGGAACTCTGAGGCTGAGCCCTCTCCCTTCCAATGCAGCAAAATTGCAGGTGCTGGGACTACAACACCCATCACTCCTTGGCACTGGTTGCCTGGTCTAGGGCTTCAGGGAGTTCTAGTGCAAAATATCTAAATGGGAACCCACTGCCCTCTACAAACTACCAGGAAACAGCCTCTAAAAGGGACTGATGGCTGGGAACCCCTGCTGAAATCCAGCTCAACCCGTGTCGGTTCCCTCGTCGGCTGTCGGTCCTGGTCCAAGGCCTCAGCAGCTGCTCCGAGCCGGTTGCCTTCATCTCCTGCGTGCCAATGTCCGCATTCCACCGATAGTATCTTGCAGAACAGCCTGCAAGCCTTTGTATTATTATTTTTTTCATCCTGAAACCCTAACCTTGAGGCATGTGTCAACCTTGCATCTATCAGCGCCACCTTGTGGGGAAACGAGGGTAGTTGTGAGTCCTAGCCTGACAAGCCTTCTCTTTGTGACTGGCATCCCGACCCTCTTGAAAGGGCTGCCTGGTTTAAAGACCAAGAGCACGCAGAAGGACCTTAGAGAGGGATGGATGTGCCAAACTCATCTGGTTTCTTGTTACATTTATACCCCACATTTTCTCCTCTATGTAATTCCTGGGCTGAGCATGTGCTCAGAGGCACTCTTGTTCTGTTATTCTGTGCTGGGCATTCTGAACCAGTGTTTTGCACCTGCCTCTAAACTGGTAGATCTCAACATTCTAGACAAAAGCAAACATGGATCCCATAAGCCATCTAGGAAGGCCTTGACAGTGTTTATAAACACGTGTATAAATAAATAAGTCTGTCCACCCCTGGGGTTAACCATTACAAAATTCTCTCAAATGTCATGGATGCCAATATTTCCTTTTAATTACTCTTATCTCCCATTTCCCCCCCTTGCAAGGAACCCAAAGCAGCTTGTGGGTTCCTGGTCCTCTGTATTCTGTCCTCACAACCTGAGGATAAAAGGCGAGGCTAAGAGGGAGGCCTGGAGGAATGTCGTCCATGGGGTCGTGATGGGTTGGACGTGACTTTGCAACCAACAACAACAACAACAGTCAGGGACAAGCCCAGAGTCACCCACTGAGGAGCAGAACCCAGATCTCCTGAATCCCAGTCCAACATCTAACCATTAGGCCCCTATACCATTTCCACATTAGCTTGTTTCCTTGTGGTTTTTGTAAACATGTATGGAAAATTTGCAAAGATTTATTTGCTGTGCATTTCCCCAGACTGTGTGGGCTTTTTTTTTTTTAAGCACAATTTTCCCCCAGCTCCTTGGCATTGCTGGAACCAAGTGTTGTCTGCATTTTTCTCCAACCTGTTGTGCACACCACTGGATAAGCATATTTACCAGACATTTATTAATTATTTTTCTATTTATTTTTCAAATTTGTCAGTCGCCGAATTGTCTGACAAGGCAGTCTAAGCAGCTGGCACCATTACATGGCACAGCACAAAGTTTGCACATGAGTGTATCTCAGTACACACCTTCCTCTCAACTCACTGAAAGGCACAAAACCTCAGGAAGTGTGGATGGGGAAAATCCGGAAGAAAACTGCAGATAATTTCTGATCTATCACTAGTTAGGATGTGGAGGCCTTGGCAATTTCCATCCCCTGAGGACAATATTGCTTACCAAGTTGCAGACTGGATTCAGACAACATGGTGACCGATATCCAAAGCACGGTTGAGTGTTGGCTGCCCCTGAACAGTAGGCTGTTGCTGAAAGACAGGTTACCATATTGTCGAGACCCAGCAATGCTAACAAGCCATGGGCTGTTAACCAGTAATGATCCTTAAAGTTAATGTGTGGTTTCTGGCTGAGCTGAGAACCATGGGTTGTTCATTGTGGTTTAGTATCTAAGCTGGGTTTGGGTAACATGATAATCGAGACCCAAAGGCCAAGGCAAGGTTCTCATTGAACCATGGGTTGCTGTTGAGATAAGGGTTATTTTCTGAACACAGCCAAGATAAGAGAAATCCAGGACTAATTACCCAGCACTCCCAACCCAAGAACAAGCCATAGATTCACTTCATGGGTGGCTTGAAAAGTACTCTGACCCCAACCTCTTATCTGGGGGTTTCCTGGCTTTTTCATGCCCTCCCTCCCCAGCCCCATTCCTAGGGGTTGAACTGCCCTTACTAACTGGCAGTAAGAGCTACGTGGCAATCTGCTAGCATTTTTAATAAGTTTTTACTCTCTGCAGCCTGGCCCCTTTTGATTCTGGCTCCACTCCCTTTGCATCTGATACCTCCCACTACCAAATGCATCCCTCAAGAGCTTCTCTGAAACTGAATTTACCTCTGGGGTGGAAAGCACATCCACTGCCCCCAACCCTTTTGCCTTGTCCCTGGCAGACATTTCTTCAATAGTCTGGGGACAAATATTTTTCCAACCAGTCTCTAGAATGCTTGGGTGTCGGTTTCTCCCTTCCCCGCAGCTCTGGCATTCAGTTCCTCTGAAAGCAATGCCAGCATGTAATGGGAGTCCATTTTACGGGTTCCTAAATTTGAATTTTCCAGCGTTCTCATCACCAGTTAGCTGCTTTTGTATGAAATCTAAAACCCTTTTGCAAATCAAAGGAAAATCATCTTTCCACCAGCCTCTACCTTTTCTACCAGCAGGGCCTGCAATTAATGTACCATGTCCCTAGTCTGGCAGTTTTGCTCTCAGGCAGGACAATCTGTTCCATTCCTCTGATTTCCCAGTGATGCATGGCAGAAGTACAGCAGCACCCATGTTCCCCAGCAACTGGCATACATAGATATTATCCCTCAATCCTGGAACTGGCATGGAGCCATCAGGTCTAGTAACATGGACACCCTAACCCTCCAAGAATGAATCCCATTCCCCTTTTAAAGCCATCCAGGTTGGTGGCCATTACTACACTGTGGCAACAAATTCTATAGTTTAATTCTTCACACTGTGAAGAAGTTTATTTATTTAGATTTAATTTCTATACAGCCTGACGGCTGAAGCTTTCTTCTGGAATCTGTTTTCAGTCTATCTCCCAATCCCATCTGGGATTCTAGGATTATGAAAAAGGGTGAATTATGAATCCTTGCATCAGTAGATACTAAAGAGGGTTTCAGTACAATGTGAGCCTTTTAGTAACTTTCTGCCCTTGAAGAAGTCAGAACTGGGCACTGCTGAAACATATGGTCAAAAGAAGCAAGTAATGTTATGCCAAAAGCTGCAAAAGTACTTCTCCTCAAGACTACCATCGGAGTGAGGCGATTCCTTTGTGTATTGCAATTGACGGGGAGAATCTGCTCTGTCGGAACCTCTCCAAAGTGCAAACACACAAAACAGCTCCTTTTCTACCCTAACTCGGCAGCCATAGCCCTCCCCAATTTCCTCACAGGACAAGGTACTATGGGGGTACAGTCACCTACTTCATATAATTCCATACAATTCCAATACATACATCTACATGCATTACATGTGCATTATAATTAGCCCATTGTCTATTCGAGGTGTGTGAGATAATATCCATCAACCTATTATGATGTCTGCGTGTTCATAACTACAAGTTCACTAGTTCACTCCTTTCTGGCTTCATCTTGCCCTACGACCCCCTGTCCCATAAAACTACTGGGAATGTGAGATAGAAGTTAGCCTTCTTTCCTTAACCCATTTGTCTTTTCCTCCCGTCCACATTCCTTCTGATAACCACTCCATGACTCAATTAATGTCCGCGCTGTTTCTCAGTCACTGTGTTCTTTTTTCAGTAAGGCAATTGCTTCCTTAAGGAGCCCTTGCAGCCTCCAGCGCACATGGAACAGGTGATCCCACTGCATGAGACACTTCCGGTTTTGGCCCACACGTGCTTCAGTCCCTCTGTGCAACCCCAGATCTGAGGTTTTCCCCTCTGAAATTGAATGCCTTCCGCTCCCTGTTTGTACAAAAAATTGGGGTGCCCCTGGGAGATAAGGGCATTTAAAGATATGCTGGGAGAGACTTTACAGCATCTGTAGATCAGAGGAGGAGGAGGAAGAGGAAGAAGATGGGCCTGAGTTTGGTAGCAGGTACTGCTTTGAGCCTGGCCTCATTCCTGTGGCCAATCCTTCAAAAGAGCTTCTGGTAGCAAAGGAAACACTGAAGGAACGTTGGAGAGGCCAGCCCCGGATTCCAAAAACATCACTTTTGCAGGTGCTGGATGGAGCTGCTACACCAAGACCCCTCCCTCACATCTTTAATTGATCCAAAGTTTTTTTTTTTTTAATCATCTTAATCCTTTTAAGTCCACCACAAAAACATATTCTCAAAATGCTTCCGTCTGGCTTTCCCGTCATCAGTTGCACAAGAGAAACTGGGCCCAGCTGTAATTCACATGAGCTTAGAGGCCCCTGTCTCTGCTGGAGGAACTGGTCCATTTTCACACGCCAAGACTGGGCGGCACCCATTTGGAGGCAGGAGCTGGCAGGGAGGCTCCAAAAGCCCCCTCTGAATTTTACTTCTCCCTACTGTGGCCACCAGCTTCTCTTCCTCTTCCTCCTCCTCCTCCTCGTGCGCACCTGCCTGGCAGGCCGGCACCCGGGAGCCAGGCTGCTCCCAGCTCGGCTTTCCTGCTACCTCTGTGGTCAGAGCCAGAAGCAGGAAGCCAGCAAACCGCAGCGGTGGCGATGGGAGGCCTTTCCAGGGTGCTGTGCCACAGCTGGGCCTCAGTTGCTCTCCAGAACTGCCCACCCTCAAGGACTGCCCTCATGCCACCCCGCAGCACCCAGAGCCACGCATACAAGTGCCTGAACAGCACCATCCCTCAGGCAGTTCCTCCACCTTGCCCATTAATCTTCAGATAAATATTGATCGAGACAGGAAGGCTGGGTCACCTTTCCCAGAAGGAAGGAACAGCACCCACAGAGCTGAAGTGCAATAAAAATAAACGCTTGTCTAACGTGCTCAGGGGTCGTGTGCCCAGGCGGTCCTGCTCGTCTGCCTTTTGCCCTGGAGGCTCCTGCTGCAGAGCCTCTGGGGTGGCATTTTGGGGGGGCGGGGTTGGTGGAATGGAGTCAAGTGTGGCGGCTTGCCAGTTTCTGCTGGTGAAATTCCCCCTGAAGGGGCAGGGCAGGAGCTGGTTCCAAAGCCGCTGACCCGGACTGGAGCTGCTATGACAAGGGAGGGCGGAGCGGGACCCAGATACCGCCATGGAATAAACAGATTAGTGCCCACCAATACTATTTAAAAAATAGGCTCAGTGGAATTAAATCAGCTCAGCATCATTTTCACACACAAAAGTAAGAACTGGCTGAGATGTCTCTTGTGTCCATCCTGCAATGTGCACATGGAACACTTTGTACATGCTCAGGGGCTCCCTTAGCATTATCTGCTCAGTGGTTCAAAAGTGATGGATTTCCAGCACTAACAAGAGCTGGTGTGGCACATCTGCAAAAGAAAGGTATTAATCCTGCCTAGAAGTTGCATCCTTTTGTCATGCCGAGATGGAGCTATAAAAGGCACTCTGCACATGCTCAGAGACCCAGTCTCCATTCCTCCCTCCCTGCTTTGCCAAGGTGCTGGCAGTGGAGGAAAAAGGCTGATCAAGTCATGGTATTCGGGAATTTTCATTTCATTTGGGCTGGAGGAAATGAAATCATTGCTAACCCACAGGGGTTTAACTCTCCAAACCGCGAGTGCCCTATTGTACCTGCGAAGGGGAGGATCCTGGGGGAATTTCAGGGAAAGGGGAGGGGAGGGGAAGCAGAATGCCTGACAGAAGTAAACACAGCCTTGTTTAAATTAGCGCTGCTCGCTTCCTGGTAGAGGAGACTGAACTCCGGGCAGGGAGTCTCTTCGCGGCCAGACCCTCTCAGAGGTGCAGGGAAGAGATGGCCGCGCAGCGCAGCTCGGCCGGCAGGGCGAAGCCCACGTTGCCGATCCACTATCACGAAGGCTTCTTGGAGAAGAAGGGCCCCAGGGACAAGGTAGGAGTCTGTCCAGCCACGGCAGCAGGAAAACAAGCGGCACATCTGGAACCGCTGGCTGCCCGGGCTGCAGGGAGCCGCATCCGCCGGCCACAGGACGGGGCTTAAGGGTTGCTGCACCAGCCCCATCCCCAGAAAAGCCCGGGGGCGGTGCGAAGCGGGGCCCGCGGAGCCGTGGCCCCGAACCCAGCGTCCAGTGCCCCAAATCTTTTCTGCGAAGCCCCGAACGTCCATTTCTGCTAATGGAAGCTTCCAGAGGAACTGACATTAACCTTCGCTCCACACCTGGAAAACCTCTCCCAGAGGCCAACGGAAGCCTTTCCTCGAAAGTGTATTCCATGGGGTAGAAGCAGTTTTCCTCCAGGAGGAGAAGTAAAGAAGTGGCAGGGCAGCGGGACAAGAAGATTTGCAAAATAATTGTAACGGACAAGGAGTTACTGATTTGGGGTGATGGGACAGGGTGAGAAGAAATAGAAGGATTTATTCTGTGCAGGCAATTTGCACTTTGTGTATTTATTTATATAAATGCACATAAATAAATATATTTATTTACATATTTTAAATTAGGCTAGCTTTAAGGGTAAGGCTTCCGATTTGGCTGACTTTGCTTTCTGTGAAATTGGCAAAAATCCTAGTAATTATTTCTAACTGTTCTAATGTTATGCTGTCTACAAGGACAGGGGGCTTTTGGGTTGGATGTTTCTCTGTGCGTTTTCTAATGTTCTTTTAGAAACCTAGAAATGTAGAAAAAGCCACACTGGATCGGATCCAAGGTCCAACTATTCCAGGAGTCTGGACACGCATGATCACTCAGACAGGATGAGTGCAAGGCCTCCTCCTGCCAAAGCATCTCAGGAATGGGTGCAGGAGGGAGCCCATGGCTAACTGGGCTAGTAGCCACAGATAGTTCCCTTCCTCGTGAATCTGTCCAGTCCCCTTTTAAAGCCACCCAGATTGGTGGCACCACTGCTTCCCATGGCGGTGCCTTCTGTATTTTGACTATAGAAACATAGAAAAAAATCATCAAATGGAAAGGCATGATATAACTTCTCTAAACAAATAAACAGCTAGAATTTACCATAATGTTTAGCTTTGCTGGCCAGATATTTGGAATGCTGCAGGTGGATGGTTTCAAGGGTCAGCCGAGCTTCTTATCAACTCCAGCTTTTACTCTCAGTGTTAAAGGAGCTGCTGTAATGCTACATCCCATCCCCAAATAGATTCAGGACTGTGAAGAGCTCTAAAAATTTAGAGTAAAAGCTGGAATGGCTAGGTGTCCCTGCTGACATTGGAGACGTCAACTTCCAAAAGGAGCAGAAAAAGTGCAGCCTTCTTCTGAGGAGGTCCTCAGGAATCTCCCTCTTTCTTTAATTTGCATGGGACGGAAATTCCCTTGGGTACAGACCTTTTGCCAACAGGTCAGCTTCTCCTAATTCTTTCCTCCTCTTGTCCCAGCAGGATTTCAAGAAATACTGGGCTGGCCTCTTTGGACTTAATCTCTATTTCTACAACACCAAGAGAGATAACCAGGTAATACGCATTGATGGCAAGGCAGTGTTGTCCAGTGGGTATGCACATACACAGAAAAGGGTATTCTTGGCTCTTGGAAGTACCCCAGTGCTTCCCTGCAAACCAAGCAGAGGCAAAATGCAGGAACGAGAGGATGGGGGATTTGCAGAAGTACACAAAAATCTTTAAGGAAGCACACATCACAAAGGGTTTATGACCCACCCCATCCCAAAATACCCTGGCCAGTGAAAATGCGCAGACTTGGTAGACACCAAGACGCGTTGGGTCAAGCCAATAGGCCTGGGTCAATCAGCAGGTTACATTTATTGTAAGTCTTGCATGAAAAACTAGATTCACTCCTAATCTGGGGCTTCTCTTTTGGTCTCAGTATTTTCACACTTGTATTTCAGGAGTCATTGTTTGGAGCTTGTCTTGTGATGTTTATATTTTGGTCCTGTATTTTGCAGCTTCTATGCTGGGGTTTATATTTCAGGCCTTCTCTTGTATTTAAATTTTGAAGTTGTTGTTTGGAGCTTAATATTTTGAAGTCTGCACTACAATGTTGGGTGTAGTGGGGAATTGTACAGTGGTGTTTGTATTTTGGTCCTCTAAGTCGGTGCTTCACCCTTGATGCGTCTGTTCTGCTGTTTGTCCTGTGTGTTCTCCTTGAGGTTAGCACCGTGTGGGTTCTAGTGCTTATGCCCATCCCTTTTACGATTCTACGTAGTGCAATGCTGTTTGAATGTTGCTGATGGCTGCTATTGCTTAATGTTATTGTCTATCAGTTTATTTATTTAATGGATGCTTTTCTCAGCTGCCCTCCCAGATGGCATCCCTCCCAGGGTGGCTTCCAATATAAAACATACAATTTCACCCTAACAGAACCAGAACCAGCGTGGCGTAGTGGTTAAGAGTGCAGGGACTCAGGCAGTCCGGGTTCGAGTCCCCACTCAGCCATGGAGCCAGCTGGGTGACTTTGGGCCAGTCCCAGACGCTCAGCCCAGCCTTCCTCACAGGGTTGTTGTTGTGGGGATAAGATCAAGAGGAGGAAGAGAATGATGGGATATACCTCTAACAAATAAATGAATAAGAAAAAATCCACAAAACACCGGGCAGAATGATCCATAACATGATGGACTAAGATGTTTTTACAGTGTTATAAAATGTATGTTTAATCTGCTTGTATATTTACTTTATACGTCAGGTTAGAACCACACTAAGCTCAGACCTGTCAAAAGCAACGGCATTCATTACAACTCAATTAAGTACAATTGATCTCTGCAAGCAGATCCAACCTGTTGGATCAGGGACGTCAAAACTCCGTCACCAAAAGGCCAAATTCTGCTTTAGAGAACTTCTCAGGGCCACATTCCATTTCTGGGCAGAGCCAAAGGCAAAGAGAAAGACCAGCATAATTTGGCCTGTTAGAAAGCTTTAAAGAGTGATATTTCAGGTGCCTGGTGCTGGGGGAAAATGCCCGACGGCAGGCAAAGCACCAACTGGGTTGTGGAGTGAGAAGTGAGCCCAGGGAAAGTACAAATGGTCATTTCAGGAACTCCAAAGGGTTCTGCACCCCATGTTATATACCAATAGGATTATTACCAGATTTTTGCACATTGTCCCATGAGCTCTTTTTCTTTAAAAGGCAGGATATTTAAAAAAAACAGCAAAAGTAATTAGAGCATTTTGGAGAGGTGGCTGCCAGAACAAAGAGAATCTAATCTTGCCTGGGGCCACGCAGGGACTGGGTGAAATCTGAACATGGAATAGCAACTTATGATGATCTCTGAAAAAGCAAATAGCATTGATTGTAATGGCTCCGTTCGAAGCATGACTGGAGAGGTTCCAGGGACTAGGGATGACCTGGGGGAAAGGTCTGGTGGCTGGTGCAGTGAGGCGCTTTGGTTACTAGATAGTGATTAGATAACTGGAATGCATACGTGTGTTTTCTTATCCTCTTATTGCACTGTTTTGGCAAGACGATAGAGAAGTCATAAAAAATTATTACTGCATGAGAGTTCCCTCTCTCTCTCGCTCTCTCTTTCTCTCTCTCTCTCTGTGTTTGTGTGTGTTTGTGTGTGTGTGTTTCCTGGATATTCAAAAGTTCATTGCCTTGGAGAAGGATTTAGAATTCCTGAGATTTACTTAACAAGACATTGTATTAACATGCAGGCTTGTAGTTGAGGGTCTTGCCCCCCCCCACCTTTCTTCTCTCACCTTTTTCTAAACAAGCAGACTATTAAAGAACAGTTTATAATTTTAGAAACATAGAAACATAGCAAGTCAGAATCAGCCTCCTGGGCCATCTAGTCCATCTTTTCTTGAACACCCCCACTGATGGGGTCTCCACCACCTCCCCTGGAAGCCCATTCCATATCCTGGGGGTCCTGATCGTCAGGAAGTACTTCCTGACATCCAACCTGATACTGGTTCCTTGTGCTTTGCCCCACTGGAACACATCCTGCCCTCCTCTGCAGGGGAGAACAGGTCCTGGCCTTCCACCACACGACATCCCCTCGCATGCTTATACGTTGCTATAAGATCCCTCCAGAGTCTCGTCTTCTCCAGGCAGAGAAGCCCCAGCTTCCTCCCTCTCCTCTCATATGGCTTCTCCCTGCCACCACCAATCTGTCCTTGTGACCCTGCGATGAACTGACTTTAACCTAGAATTTGGCTTTATAAGGTCTGCAAACCAGTAGAAATGCCCTCCCTACCTACCTGTTGCCCACCTCTGGCCCATTGACACAAAAGTGCCCAAGCTTACTCGCTCTCCCGCAGGTTCAAGCAGGTTTTGACAGCAACATTTTTTACAAAGCTGTATTAGCAACTCATCCAGCAGGCTGATGGGAGCTGTGATTCAAATATTTTCAGAGGGCACAAGGTTGGGAGAGATGGCTACAAACTACTATCTAACTTTTACAATTGCTGCTTTAGTTTGCTTGTTTTCCTCTGCCCTCCTCTGGTCCTTTTCCTTTTACCTCATAAACTGGCAGGAGACTGCTTTGATTATACTGAGCACCTGCCAGCTGCCCTGGGAACCCTTCAGGCTGAAGAGTCAGGGTAAAATAAAACCCAAACAACTTTAAGTCAATAAAGAAATAAAGATGCCATGTTACAAGAGATTATGGAAAGCCACTCGGTGGTCATGTTTGTTTTTTAAAGTTGTGTTTATTTTAAATTAGAACATGAAATATCCAGTTAACATTTAACCATATATACTGTTTTCAATCTAAGCCATATAAATGGTTGTTGTTGTAACTCAGCTATGGAACTGCCTGAAGGACTTTGAACCAGTCCCTGACTCTCAGCGTAAAAGGTTTTCATGAGAATTAAAAGGTGAATCCTGCAAGAGTTAAAAAGGCAGGCTATAAATGCAATGTAGGAATAAACACTACCAGGAATTAAGCATTAGGAAAAGCAAAGCAAACTTTTAAAGCAGGGGGAACTGCAGAAGAGGGGAAATCGCCCGAGTGCTGTTTGAGGGAAGGAGGGTATGGGTAGGGGAAGGGGAACCAGTGACACTCCAGGGGACCAGATTTGGACTGGAACCAATGTTCCCCACTCCTAGCCTAGACGGACAGGGCCAATAATCTGGCCCAATATAAGGCCTTCCTTCTCTTCTTATGAGGATAAAAAGAGGGCAGCTGCCAAGTGAGTGAGAACAGATTCAATAAGGAGACAACACAAGGGTGAGCTTAGCTATGGGCAGAGTGGGGCAGGGGAACTTTAGTCATAGGGACTAGAAACTTGAGGATTCACCTTTTTGCTCTTCCTCCCCAGTATGTTGAGAAAATCAACCTGGCTGACTTTGTCTCCCTTGCTGATGACAACCTCCCCAGTACCACGGCTGTCCGGTCCAGAGATGGGTCGAGGCTGAATCTCAAAATGAGAAACCAAGAAGTTAAACTGAAGGTAATCCATTTACCCCATGAAGGCCTGGCCAAGCGTATCTCACCGCATTAACTCTTTGGCTGAGTTTCCTGTGATCTGCATTTCTCAGGAAGTTTTTCTCGAGTTTCGCAATGTTTTATCGTGAGCTGGAAGGCAGGAGTTCCGCTGCATGATCTTTGATTGCACAAGGCAGGGAGGAAGTTTGATGTGTCTAGTTATGGTACCACCACCACCGAAGAAGGCACTTCTCTCTCACACCTCTTATCATTCAGAAGGGACACCCGTTTTGTTATGTTGTGGCCAGCTTGTGTGCTTTTACATCCATCAGAGGTGGCATGTATCTTTGTGTCAGTAAAAACCTCTCCCCTGGAAAGGGGATTAGAAGCAGGCCAGCCTGTGCGTCATTGGGCAGCTCTGCCCAGTTGAGAAGCCAGGGTGGAAAGGATTCCTTGAGGAAAGGAAACTCAGAAGCACACACACATATATTTTCCATCTTGGAATAATCTCTTTAAAGATGTTTAGGAGACTTGGCTGAGTGAGATAAGCTTTGCCGGAGATCGCATGCAAGATCAAGGCAGAGCACCTGCCAAAATGCAGTCCTCCATTGCCTTATTCATTCATTCATAAACATTTACCTCTTTCTCTTCCTCAGAAAGCTCCTAGCAGTTTATAGAAGCTCTTAATGCTTCCCACCCAGGCAATACTCAGTTCCTTACCTCCATAACTTTAGTTAAGAACTAACCTTTTAATATCCCTCCAAACCCCAAGCCTTTAAGGGGTCGACCCAACAGCCTTGTTGCTAGGGAAGGTAGTTATAAGATCTTGCAGAACCTCAGCTCTGTGGTAAAGACCCTCAGGGCTGAGTCTTCGAAAGTGCAGTCCTGTCCAATTGCCCACACTGCTAGTGAGGACGGTACCAGCCTAGCTGCCTCTCTGAGCTCAGACCTTGACCTTGGCAGGGTTAAAGGGGGTGTGCTGGGGAGTATCCAAGCAACATCCCAAAATCCTTCCCTCTGTGGTGCTTTCTAGACAGCCAAAATCCAGCTGTGGGGATTACCACTCCTGCCACATGCATCAGATGCTCATGAGCCTCCATGTCCAGTGATTTACAGGCATTGAGCACAGAAGATGCCGGATTGTGTCCTCACCTATACAATCATGGGGCGGGGAGTTCCACAGGCCAACAATACCTCACACAATGAAGTGTCCCCTTCTTTTGGTTCAGAGCACCTACCGTTCTGTGCCCATGTTGCAAAACACTTTGCTATCAGACCAGGGTCATTCTGACTCAGAACGATTGTTCTTGATTTGCTGTGTTCCGTTCTGCTTTCATCTGGTCTGCTTTCCCAATATTTAGTAAACAAAACACGGGGCAGTTTCTAGGGAAGAATGCAATTATCTGGAGATCTTTCGGTTGAGGTGACCTCACACAACTCAACAAACACCCAATGGGAATCAAGTTCCCAGAGATCCCTGGGTCTTTAGACTGGACAAACCTGCAAAACAACCAGCAGAGCCTTCAGCATACATGTATAAATTTTGGGAAAGTATCGACCTCTGAGACAAAATATGCTAATTCTTACATATTTTGATTAGATGAATTAGAAAAGAGGTGATCAAGGTGCTGGTTGGCTCAAGTTTTCAAGATATTGCACCACAAAGATTTATGCACAGGCGAGTACATTTGCCTACAAGGGAGGGAGGTGCCTGATGCGCGTGATGCCTCGTAACTTCTCGACAAAGTACGGCAGAACAGTGAAAATGGTACCACATGGAAGTGCATAAATATATCTTCTCTTTGAGACTAAAGATCATTACTTAACTCTAATGTATTGCTCTTTTATTGCAAGGTAGATTTGTCTTGGTCAGACCTATGCCTCGTACGGTTTCATCCGGTGTCTTGTGAAAGGGTCATTGCCCAGCATTTCCAAGGAACAATGGCGTGATATTTTCCCTCACAAGCCAAGATGCCTCGAAACTGTGTACACAATGCAGAGAACTTGTGCTACATTTGTGGCGAGGTGACATTTGCACCTCAAAAGGGCAGTAGGACAGCAGTGGTAAAAAAGCCAGACCACCTGTATTTTGGGTGCAAAATGGGGGACCAGGGCAAGAGTTGGGCCCTAATTATTGCTGTGTTCCATGTGCAACTGATCTGCGTCATCGGACAAACAAGAAGAAAAAGTCCACGCCTTTCACAGGCCCTCTGGTATGGAGGGAGCCACCAGCCACAGCAGCGACTGCTGTTTCTGCATGGTTCCCGCAGCTGCAAAAGGGATCTCGAGAAAGAAGAAGTGGACCGTGGAATACCCAAACATTCCATCCGCACTGTGTCCTGTGCCCCACGGTGAGGACTTGCCAGTTCCAGATCCACCAGAATCCCACTCTCCAGACTCCGATGATGATAAAGACGATGAGCAGGGTGCAGCTGATCCGGGGCCGTCAATGTCAGCGGACCCAAACTCTAGCCCACCGTATGCTCCTCCTGAACCACATCTAATTTCACAGAGTGAATTACATGACCATTCTCATTGCTATATCACATTTTGCAGAAAAGTTATAGAGCATAATCACACATCCCCCTCGTAATTTTGAATGATTTTGATGCAATTTTGACCTGAAGCTGCATCTTGGAAACTGGAGCCAAGAAATAGGACTTAATTTTCCTTTATTAGTGACCCAATTCTGGTAAAATTTAGCTACTTTCATTTCTGAGGCTTTCTCCTTGTAGACCAGTGTAATTTTTGCAGATTTTTTGCTGATCTTTGGACCAAATAGAACTAAGACCATTCAGCTAGCATATGATCTCAAGGTACTGCAAGATATCCCCCAAAACTCAAAACATTTTATCCAATTACCCTTTTCCAGAAATTTGGAGCTTCACACAACTTTGGCTGCTGGTGTTTAATTCATCAGTGCATGTTTTTGATAGCGTTATGATTAATATTAGTTTTTTCATTTCTATAGCTGAAGCTTTCTATGCAATAGAATCACCATGTCAAAGACTTCTCATAAATTGGGGATAAAGTGGGACTTTTTCATGCAAAGCCAGGCCCTCCTCCAAAAGATAAAAAGCCAGGTCCTTCATGCAAAGCTATGGTCATCCTCCAAAAGATAAAGCAAGATTCTAGTCCACATGGTTTTAGGTGTGGTTTGTCATGTTCTCTGAATCAAGTCTTCCTGACACCTCCCTCTTTTCTGAAATTAGATGGAGTGTCTGAAGTGGTCTTAGAGTTGCACTGCATGTTTCTGCTTTTCCAAGAAGCAAAGCTGTGAGGATAATTCCTGTGCAAGAGCATGTTTGGGGCTCTTGAACAGGAATTTAGATTTAAATTCAGTAAACAGGACTTAAGCTCACCTTCACAGAATTCTTAAGCAGTGATTGTTTGTGTGGTTTTTTTTTGTTTTTGTTTTTTGTTTTTGCGTTTCAGATGGAGAGTCTGGATGCTCGTGAAATGTGGAAAGGTTTTATTCTCACAATGGTGGAGGTAGGGCTTCTCCCCTTTTCTCATTCTCCTCCCATCCATTAAAAATGTCATTTTATGCTGCTTTTGCAATGTTAAAAAAACCAAGCAGGAAAGAAACTAATAGCCATGAGTCAGAAATCGAAGCCTTGCCTGATCACCACCTCCTGCATTTTCCCAACTCAGAGGAGAAACTTAAGGATAAATACTACATTATTCACCACCAGGAGGTTTCCTGTGAAGGAGCTCTTCGAAACTCAACTGGATTTAGCCTTTGAGTAGCTGCATCTGCTGCAAACCTGCAGACAGGAGGTTTCCCTTCGGACCAAGGGCCAAGCCAGGCAGCTTCATAAAAATGCGTCTGGCATCAGGAGGCATTCATGAGGCAAATTCCAGCCATTCCACTTTTGCAGCTGGTATTTGCCTTGCAAGATAATGGGCAATAAATTTTTATTGTTTTTTTAGACTCTTTCTGTAACCACAGCAACCACTCTTTAATCCTTGAGGGCTAGCCACATGAAAATATTTGTCTGTTTCTTATTGGTCACTTTGGGCTGGATAGATCTGAACTAGCAGGACTCCTTTCATATAGCTGTTAGCCAGCTTTGAGCTCCTTGATGGAAAAAGACCATCCATCCATCCATCCTGACTTGATTTAAATAGTGGTGAATGAATCTGTCTTCAACCAAGCCCCTCTAAATGCATTGGTGGCCTGCCTTTAATGCCTGAAAAGCAGTTTTATACATTTTAAGGTAAATTCTGGGTCAGGCCTGCGCTAATACCTGTTCTATTGTGCTCAGATGCAAGTCCCATCAAGGCTGAACCTGCTCCCTGGCCATGTCTGTACGTTGTCTCAAGCCCTCGAGAAGGAGAAAGAGCGGCGGTCCAAGCTGGTGGACCCCTTTTCCCTTGAAGAAGAGAAGAAGCTTCCAGAGTAAGTAGACTGTAAGGCCCCAGGGGGCAGAGACCTGTTTGTACCTGCCAAAGAAAATGAGGTACTCGGTATATTGATGAACACTTGTGCGTGGCAGTCAATAAATATTGTAAAGTTGGGGAAAGTACTGAGAAGGGCAGCTGGAACGATCCAGGGGTTGGAGTAACTCTTCCCGGAAGGGAGGTAACAACATCTGGGGTTGCTTAGCTCAGTGATACAGCCAGTACTCGAGACCTCAAGGAGGCAAGCAGAAGGTTCCAGTCCTCATGGTTCTCCATGAACAGGAGCCATCACTCAACCCATCTGGATCTCACCAGGTGGAGAAGGCTGCTGAGCTGAGCCAAGGAGGGTGGGGGGCCTGCGCAGGTGGAGGAGGAGGAAATGGTCTCACCGGCCAACAACCTGCAGTGCTGCATAAGACGCATCCCATTTCACAGAAGCTGGCAGAGTAGAAGTCACTCGGCCAGCCCAGGCCACGGTTTGCGAAAGCCTCGCCCTTATTTCTGCCCAGGTGTTTCTTCAGGGTCTCCAGGACGGAGGCCGAGATGCTCCTGGAAAAGAATGAGCACTGCGGCAACATGTTACTGCGCCCCGGAGGGGACGGCAAGAGCGTCTCGGTGACCACGCGGCAGAAAGCGAATGGGTGCGTTGGCCAGTGCTGGCTGCAGGCTCGAGGAGTGGGGGGCCATCCCACGCCGGATGGGCTTGCTTGGGTTTTGCTTGGGCTTTGGTTGGAACCCAGCAGCTGCCCCTTGAATTTCCCTCCATGCACCTGCCGGGGAAACTTTCCATGGAATTGTGGGAAAGTAACATGGTGGCCGCGTGGTATGGAAAAGAGGTGTTTCAAGGGGAGTTACTCACTTATGTGAAGCCCCCATAATTATGCCCCCAAGGGGAATCCTTAGCCCCTCCCCAAGGTGGTTCCACGGCCATATCCAAGGAGTAACCCCAGCCACACCCCAGGTAGAATCCGTAGCCGCTCCCCACTGAGAGTCCTTGCCCCACCGCCCTCCAGTATAGATAGACTTTTCCATTCCTTTTATCAAAGGAACTCACAGTCTGGTTTAAACACCCTCCTAAATTTCAGACACCCAAAGCAGACAAGTGAACAAACAAAGGCACAGAATTTCTGCTGCTCCCAGCTTGGTCAGCATCGCGTCCTGCTTCTTGTGCTTGTGGGTCCCCTAACCCTGGGGGAAGCTGTGGTGGGGAGCCCAGGACGGCACTCAGATCGGGCACAGAGATGCCCTGGTTCTGGGAAGCTGCGCTTACACACTGGTGTTCTTCACTGATGCAGGGCAGTGACGATAAAGCACTACAAGATCAACCTTTCTGGTGGAGAATACATCATCGACGTCGAAGAGCCAGTGAGTTTGCTGCTCCGTGAGAATCCCCAGAGGAATCCTGTGGGAATCCCCGAGGAAAAGCCTCCTCTGCCCCAGGCCCTGGTGCTGAACGTAGGTCAGCCAAAGGCCCAAATTCTGTCCCCAGCAAACCCTTAGGAGAGGTGACTGGCTGTTCGCCACGTGGGGGACATTCAAAGCTGGGGAAGCGCCAAGTGGAAGGTCCTTGGGGAAAGGGGCAGGCTGGCGGAAGGGAGAGGGGTCATCTGAGGAATCCGGAGGGCTAATGCTGACCACAGCCAGACCTTATGTGGCGCCCATCCTGGCTTTCTCCCCCGCTGAAGTAGGCACTGCTGGAGTAGGTGGACGACTGTTTGGACTGTCCTGAAGGCAGTGTCCTAGCTTCCCATTCCGAACAGCCCTTTCTTCAGCTCCATGAGGACCAGAATCTTTAACCGTGTTCTGATGCAAGGCAACTTTCTGCTTCCATCAGTCCTTCATTTTGAACCATGAGGACTGGAATCTCACCGCTCCTTCAGTGGAAGGACAGAGCACCTGCTCTGATCTCAGGATTAGGCAACGCTTCCCATTTCCCATGTTTGTGACCTTTTTGAGGGGCTGGGAATGGTGGCCAAGCCCCACCTTCCAGATGCATCAGGCCTGGATCCCATCATCCCCAGTCAATGAGGATTGGAGTCTGAGAGATATGTAGGGTCCTGGCAGTGTGATGTTGACCTTGAAGCATTCTGGAGTCTTCCCAAAGGCCAGGATGATGCTCATTCCGGATCCGCCCCATCCTCTTTCCTTTCTTACCAGTACTGCTGCTCTTCACTGTCAGATGTGGTGGAATTTTTTGTCACCAACAGCAAGCGTGTCCTTGTTCCACTCTCTCTCGATGAGAGCTATGCCATGACTCTAGGTAAGTGCGTGTCTCCATCTCCCTGAATGTGAGAATCCTGGAGCAGGTCACACAGTGGTTAGCTGTTGGGCTGGCAGTGGAAGCCAGTCCATGCAAAACAAGGGCTCTTATTCCCTAACGATTAAGTAGGATTCCAGTCCTCATGGTTCTGAGAGTCAGCGTAATGGATTGGGTATCAGGAGGTCTGCGTTCTAGCCCCCACTTGGTCATGAAGCTCACTGGGTGATGTCACACCAGTCCCTGCTCTCAGCTTGACTGACCTCGCAGAGTTGTTGGGAAGATCAAAATGCAATGGGAAGAAGGAAGATGATGTAAGCTATCAAAACACTAAATAAATACAGAGGCGACACAGGCTGCTGGTCTAGGAATCAGCTCCCTGCAGGCCTGGAGCACCTGTGAAAACAGCTGGCACAATTCCAAGGGTTGTGCAGCCTCCCCCTGAGCAGGCAGATCGGGTCTAAAAGGCCAGTGTTTCTAAAGCATTGTGCCAGGGCCACGCCAAAGTCTGGTAGATAAAACAGAGCTGGTCTGTGCTCTCCGTGTGGAGCTTGTGCGCCTCGCCAGCATGTTTAAAGGTCCTTGTCTGGTAAGCCTTCCCTGTGTAAAAAATTTATGGCCAGAAAGAGGAGGGGTGTTTGATCTCAGGAAAAAAACTCGGGGAGAGGGAGTGGGGAACCCCACGTGGGCCAAAAGCCGGCTCATCCCAGGATCATCTCGGCCTCTGGACTTTTACTTCAGCCTTCCTGGGCCGCAGGGGGCCGGGACAGGGAGAAATATGGGGCTGCAAACAAAGGATTCAGGGCTGGATCCCTAGTGGGCCGCCTGCTAACAGCACCACTGCCTCCCGTAGCCCAGAGTTCTTAGCGATGGCTTTGCCCTCCCTTATTCTGCGCCTTGCTCAATTGCAGAAATCCTGGAGATGGACAAAGAAAGTGGAGAGAGCACTTCTGTACCCAGGTGGATGGCAGCTCCCCCCCAACAGCTCCCCAGAGGTACTTGCATGGATTATGTTAAATCCCATTTTATTTTTCTGTTGGACCACTTCACTCCTTTCGAGTCTCCATCAGAAAAAGAGAAAAAAGGAAAGAAAAGAGGGAGGGAAACCTTCTAGATCTTCATGCAACCATTGGATTTTCTCTCATTCTTTATTTTGGATTGATTCTGTGTTAAACAGAAGCTTTTCATATTACAGTTTATGAAGTAATTAAGTTTTACGGTTTTAAGTTTTGTCCGGGGAAGCACCCAGGGAGCTTGGGTAAGCAGGCACTATAGACGTGCAATAAAAAAGAAAGAAATTGAAATGAAAACAAGGTTTAGTTTTGAAAGATAAACTCCTACTGAAAGAGGAGTTTCCATTCAACCATCATGACTAACTTTTTGCCTGCCTGCCCACCTTTATGCCTGATGTACATTCTGGAGCTAATTCCCAGGTACTGAAGAAAGGTTCTGGGGCTCAGCTTGACTTAAATTAGCTCTGTCCCTGATTGTGCCCGTTTGCCTGCATAGCAGGGGCCCCTGCAAGAAAGATGTTTTCCTCGGCCCCACAAGCCCGGCCGCCTCCTTGTCATCTTCCCCCAGTCCTGCCGGTCAAGCCCCCACTCCCGGGCTCAGCTGCCAAGGGATCCAACAACATATATGAAGAGGAGGATCTTCCAGACCAGACATACGTGAACAATGAAGGTAAGTTGAAGGTTCCCACTCTGAAATTTACGTGCCTCCAGAAATTAAACCTTGTCCATGCTTGTATTCTCTTTAGATGGCTGTCCAGGTTAAGTGCCAGGGAAGTGGGGGGAGGGGGGAAGCTGGGAGCCCTTGAGGACTCTGGGTGCATCTGCGGTCCCTCCCCCCCCACCCCCCCAGTACTCCCCTTTTACCCTCCTCCAAGGCACATTTCCACTCTGAGAGATGCAGGCCAGTGATGTTGGGAGGCAGTAAGGCTGCAGCCTTGCAGTTCCACTGTTTCCGCTTTTGCTTCTCAAAATAAATAACTAAAGGAAGGCTCTGTTTGCACCCTCTCCAAAACAGGTGAGCTAGTATCAGGACAAAATGAAAAGCTTTGCCATAATATGGCTGCTAAAAGCATGACCCTGTAAAGCCAGGTTTAGATTTAAGACAAGATCCATGGTGCAAGTTGCTTCCCATGTGCACCTTACAGGTCCTGAAAGGCCCGTCCCTTGGAGACGTGAACCCTTTACCTGTCCTGGCAGTTCTCCCTCTGCATTGTCTCAGTCCATATGGCTTAATTCTGCTCCACCGCTAGCAAACTGCCCGCTTCTTCCCCCACCTGGTTCCCCCACCCCCCCTCCAAACTGTGTAACTGAGAGGTTATACATGCATCTTGTTACAGACCCCATCTTGGGGGTCCCTTGGGGGCTGCCTCCATGTGACATGTATTCCCTGCATGTCTGAATATTCTTTTGATTGTACACCCCCAGCTGACTCTGGAAGGGTGTATTTTTCTCTCTCTTCATTTTCCTCGCTAGCCAGAGAGAGAAAAGAGATTAGCCCAAAGACACTGAACCAGTTTTGTGTCTCAGCAAGACTTTGAATCCAACACTCCAGTAATTTCTGAAAGAAACATTTTTATTGGGCTAGTTAATTAGGTCACTAAAAGGGCAGTTAGTGTGGGCTCTTCTCTTTTTTGCGTTTTGTTTTAAATAGGCATTTATTTATCTTGTACGATATAGCAAACAGCTGCTGTGGCTTTATTAATTATACAATTCCTGTTATTGATTAATCAATCGGTCATGGTACAGTATTTAACTACATTTCTAAATATTTGCATTATAGGGTTACTCTGTTCTACCATATGGCAAACACCCACACAAAGGTTTATGGAGTTAAAGAGTTCTGCCTTTTCTTCTGCTTCTGCTTCTTTTTCTTCCTCTCTTGTCAATGTATTTATAACCAGAACAATGTTTTAGCACCAATAATAGTTGAAAAAATAAAAGCAGGGTATTTAAAAGGAACCCTTCAGCTATAGAAGTTGGCATGGATTCATGTTGCTGTCAAAACTGTACTGGTTTATCACCGGTGAAGAGGCAAAGAAGTGGGGGAGAGGAGCCAGAACTGGGGTGGGGGGAGAGATTAGAGTTGAAGTGGAAAGAAATGCCAAATACCAAAAGGCAGTGGGAGGAAAGTCAGAATCCAGAGAGGGGGTTAAAGAAAAGCAAACTCCAGAAGTGGCTGAAGAAAGGCAGAATCCAGAAGGCAGAAGGAAAGTCAGTCTGGGGACTGGGGAAAGGAAAGCAAGGAAAGTGAGAATTCAAAAGAAAAATAGAATCATAGAATAGTAGAGCTGAAAGGGGCCATTAAGGCCATCGGGTTCAACTCCCTGCTGTGCAGGATACCAAGAAAAGAAGTATTTTCTGCTTTGCGATGATCCCAAGAGCAGCTTGTGACAGGACCCAGGACTCATTTCAAAACATCCGATGTGCCATAGGCTCCAAAAGTTTATTTTCCTCCTTCCAAGATACCACCTGACCTTCACCATCCATTTTGTTGAGAGCAAAGAAACATAAATTTTGCATCCAGCTGCAATTTTTGAACCATTAAAAAAAAAAGCCGCACACACCCCTTGGTCCATTGCCTCTTCAGTGCCCTTTTACATCCCTTTGTTTTTCTTTCAGAAGTTGCTGAGATGAAACAGACCACTTTATGCAGAGGTAAGCACTGAGTCTGGCATTGGGAAAGCTCAGAAGAAAAGCTGCAAAGGATCAGGCACCTCAGTGAAACAGGAGGTCCTGTGGAAGCAACTAACAGCTAAACTAAAGAAACACTGTTGAATGGATAGCAGCTTGGTGCAGAATCTGCTTTGAATGCTGAGCAAGAGAAATCTGTTGGGTTTAGTCTCCTTGGAAATATGTACTTTTCCAAATTTTGCAGGGGAGTTTTCCAAAATGTGGATGTTACTGGCCAAAGAGCCTGAAAATGGTCAAATTTTCATGCAAACATGCTAAATTTGATTCTTCTAGTGCTTCTTCACTCTAAAAGTCCCGTCCCCTATATTTCACTGCTCAGTGACAGGGGACAGATGCTACCAAGTGAGTTATGTCCAAGTCAGCCCCCATCCAAGATTAGGAGATCTCAAGTTCCTGGATCTGATGATGTATTAGCAATTCTTTACTTTTCTTTTGACATTTGCAATGCACGAGCCCATGGCTGCTATTTTGAATTGGATGGTGGTGTTAGGGGAGGAATTAGCAAGCTGTGGACGGTTCACACAGCACATTAAGCCATGGTGGTTTAGCGTGTTGCATGAACCCAGCAGTCTTCCTGTTGAGTGGTTTCTCTGCCAGAAAACAAAGGAAGGCTTGATCAAGTTGAACTATGATTTCTCTCCTTCCTGTGGGCAGTTGGGGATGCATCAAAACTTAGGGAATCCCCCATGCCTGGAGGAAGTGTTGTCCCCTTAAATGGCTCATTGCAAAACTGAATTGGGGAACCTGTGCTCTTTCATTTAAGAGAACTGAGCGCTCCCTTCCAAAAATTCCTGAGAATTCTGCTGCAAAGGGTGTTTTCCAAGACTTCCACCTTTAAAAAGCAAGCAAGGAAGCAAGCAAGCAAACTCAAAAGCTAGTTAGAAGTAGGCTGTGAGGTAGCAACTTGGCACGCATTCAGCATCCATGTAGGAAAGTGGCCATGCCGGGTTGCAAGTTGATAGGCTGCTGGAAATTGTATCTGGAAAAGGTTTGGGCGTGCAATAAGCATCCCTTGCAGTGGAGCCTTTTGTGGGTGAGGGGTGATCCAGCTCCTGGCTGTGCTCTCCTTAAGTAGTGCAAGGTTAAAATTCCCCGGGTGCTTAATGTATTGTGTGAAGGCAGCCCCTGTATCCACACACAGTGCTGTTTCATGTTGCTAGATTTTAATGGGTGTAAAAGCCTTGAGCCAAGTCCGTCCATGGTCAGGAGCGATCTTGGCCTGCTCCAGTCCTGAGGCTGACCAGTCAGTGCCCTTTCCATTCCTTCGCTCACAGAACTGAAAGGCATCCCTGCGCTTACAGCTCCAAGCAAACCTGTCAGAGGTTCCAGCCTCCAGAGAGTGATGGAGAGCCCCCGCTCTCACCCCTTAATTCCACCGAGAAACCTTTGCACTGGTAAGTGTGTGCGTGTGTGCGTGCATAGAGGTCCACAAGACAGGCTGAGTGACTGGAGGGATGCAATGAGGGGACTGGGTGTTTCCAGCTCCTAGACCTGCGAGCACCCACTCTGGGGCTGGGACCCATGCTTGCACCTCACTAGCACCCCCTTGTGGCCAGTGTGGAAAGAACCCCACTGGCTGCTGCTCCGAGGTTGAACGAGCAACCTCAGAGAAGATGCAGAGTATAGGGAAAGGAGATGAGTGAGGCCTCCGGGATATGACGGACCCTGGTCTTTGCAAGACTGGGAGAGCAGGAAAGCAAATCTCCCCTTGTTTTTCTCCGTCCTGCTCACAGGGATGCCAAGATTATCTGGCGTTGGGGGTTTGCCAGCCCCGCCGCTGGAGGGCTCACTCATTTACCCTGCTTTCTTAGTCTGGTGCTGCCAGATTTTTCAAGGATGCAGCACCAGTGCTTTTAAAAATATATATTTTTAACGTCATTTTTAGGTGAGTAAAGCAAGCAGGTCTTGGGTCGAGCTAGAAGGTGTTGCTTGCCCATTTGAAACCAAGCCACACCAAAATTCTTTGCATTGCCCCAGGACAGATGTGAGGGAAATTTCCTCCTCCCAGCTCCTATGAAGCCTGCAGAGAAACTCAGAGAAACAGGAATTCTGTGCATGGCACAAAAGATGCCAGGATACATGCTTAATCAAATGGGGCCAATCGCTGCTTCATCGCAAGCCCTGGTGCCTGCACACTAGTGCCTCTGAGCATGCAGGGAGTGCTGGGGATTTTTCTTATCAAAACATGCACAGGATCGCAGTGTGAAGCTCCAGTCTTAGGCACAGTTGCCTGGGAGTGACAAGGCTGAGCAGACACAAAGAAGCAGCAGTTTCATTTCAGCGAGGCAGTGCTTCTACCCTGGATTGCAGTCAGAGAAGAAATCCACAGTGCTGAACTAGGTCCAGCACTATGATAGCCCCTTAAAAGTTTGGCTGCCACCTGGGATGGATACACTGCCCCACTGACTGTGATTCCACCAGTTTCCACCATATAGGGCTGCCCCGCAAAGCATTTCACTCCACAGCCTTAAGGACTAGAAACATGGTCCTGTTGGGCTGAACGCTGAAGCAATATCCAAATGTTTGGCATAGGTTATCCACCAGTGCTAGGCGATCCAAGTTTTGGCCACACTCAGCCATGAAGCTCACTGGGTGACTTTGAGCCTATCACAGATTCTCAGCCCTACTTCACAGGGTTGTTGTTTTGAGGATAGAATGCAGGGGGGGGGAGAATTTTGTCAGTTGCCTGGGATTCCTTGCAAGAAGAAAGGTGGTGTATAAATCTAATGCAACAATAAAAGCAGCAATAATTCTGCTATGTGAAAGGCCTTATGTTGGAGGGAGGCAGCTTGTCAAAGGCCATCTAGCGAGTCCGTGGCAGAGGTGACATTCGAACTGAGAACCTTCCAATCTAGTGCGCAAAGAAATCTAGAGCTGCAATGTATTTCGAACTTAATGCTTCAATTGCCTCCTTCCCCGCCTCCCCAGGCATTTTCTTAAGCAAGCCAGAAAAACGATTTTTTGGGGGGCGAGGGCGGAATAGCTGGCATGCTATAAAAGTTGTGTCTGAATCCTGCCCAGCTTTGGAAATTTAACAATAGCCCTCTTTATGTTCCCATGGCAGAGATGACTGAGGAACTCGAACGGAAACTTCAAAAGCGGAGAGCCAGACTAGAAAACTGAGGCGCTGACCAAGAGCAAAACAAAGATGATTTAGGCAGCCTGTTGGAAAGCCGCCAGCCAAAACTTTACCTGGAATCCCTCCACCATTACTGCCAGCCAGCTTTCACTGCCCATTCCTCATGACACCATTACAACTTCATTTTTCAAAGGGCTCCTCTTCCCACATGTAGGACCAGCTCAAGATCTTTTGCTGCTGGAGATGAAGGATGAGATAGCGTGCTGCCCCCTGCCCATATCACGGAAGCCAGCTGTGTGTATAGTTTAGGGCACAGGCCGTGCTGCTGGTGCACCTCCCGGAGAAACAACTGGCAGGAGCTCAGAAGGAATCTTCCTTTGGGTGCCACTGCCACCCGCAGCATCTGCCACCTGAGGCTGGCACCTCACTCCCCTGCATGGTAGCACCAGCCCTTCCATTTTGTCTCCAGAATATCCCGCTTGCTCTTAACTGACTTGGGCCAGACTCATTAAAAGAACACAGTAGACAGAAACTGCCACAAACGGAAACCAAGCAGGAGGGCCCAGAGATGATAAATGGGGGTCCCCAGGCCTGGAATAGGGCATACCCAGGCGGACTGGGCAGGCCAGACTGAGCTAGGCTGGAGCAGAAGAAAGCTCTGTCAGGCTGAGCCTAAACTTTCAAGCGGAGCCTGGGCAGATGCCAAACTGGGACTAGAAAGCAGTCTCGCCATCTCTGCCGTGTGGACCTGATGTGAGAAGGAGATGCGCTCTGAGGCCTGGTGGAAGCGCAAAGTCCTTCGAACCCAGTGTCCAGTTCTGGGCACCACACTTTTTAAGAAGCAGGTCAAGTTCTATTTCTTCCAGCGATTCTATGACAAGTAGAGGACAACATGCTGAGAATCAGCACGGCTGGGCACCGGGCAAGGACCCACAACTGAACAGGGCCCCACTCACAATTGCTCCCGGAGCAGCTCCTGCTTCGCCCCATCACAGCAGGGCGGTTCCCCCATGCCTTGCTCTGATCCAGCGAAGCAGCGGCAGGAGATGTCGAGACTGGCGGAGCAAGCAAGCGCTAGTCAAGTGGAGGAAGAGCAGCGGGGGCAGCGGTGGGGACTCTGGAGGGGGCAATCCATTCTGGGGTCCTTCCCCTAGAGCCCTCCAAAACCAGGAAACAGCTCTGTGCTTACGTACCTTACTAATGCAAACATTTGAAGAAGAAAAAGAGAGATTTTGCAGGGTTGTGCTCACTGCCCTCGGTATCGGACTACGGAGTGGGAGAACTACCGGGTCCCCCGATGTGGATTGACGGACAAAAGACCTCTTGGGTGCATCCAGCCTGAAGGCAGGGGTGGGGGGTCAGTCCCCAGAGGTGTGGGAGAGGTTTGTTGAACCTGTTGAATTGAGGTTTGGAGCAGATGCGCCGCCTTGTCACACCACACGGCCTCCGGCACGTGCAACACATTTCCTTCTTTCCCCCTGCTTTTCAACCCTTCCAGTTCCACCATTTATTTCTGGCCCTTCTTTTGTGTTACAAAAACATTACTATACAGAGCTAATGAGCCAAGGCTAAAGCATTCACTGTAAATGGTTTAAGATGTAATATGCTAAACTGAACACATGGGAAGTGGCAGGAAATGCAGGACATGGAAGGTTTAGCATCTCGTGTCTTACACCATCCGCTGTGTAACTGGGGAGAGGGAGGGAGTTTTCTTGGATAGTTAAAAAAATATCAGAAATCCTTTAATGTTGTATGGCACTTTTCCTGAAGAATAGCAAGGCGGTTCCTAAGGTTCAACAGGTCGTATGATGAGTTTCTCAGTGTCCAAGATCGTTTCTTGAAGGCACGCCAAGGTCTTCAGCTTGTTAGGAGGAACACCAGAAACCATGGCCTTCCTCAACCATTTTGTAGAAAAGCACCACCTTGGCTGTGAGAACAAAGCCATGTAGCCCTCGCCCTACATCTCCCAGGAAGATGGAATTAGAGCCTTTGAACTGGGAACTCTGTGAAACCCATGCTGGAAGTCACTGTCATTTGTTCTCAATCCTGGCTGAGGAATGGATGTGCCCTCCACCCAGGCCACTTCGAACGCCCCCAGAGCATCCCCTGACCTATTCAGGGAACAAAAATGGACACCCACGGGGGAAGTGCAAGCTTTCTTTCAGACATTTATACCCTGCACCCCTTTTCTCATAGTATTCAATAAAGTGTACCCCATCTTTGACACAGCTGGTTTCATTTCTTCCTAGGCATCCTGGCTGAGCAGGGACTAGAACCCAGTTCTTCCGAGTTCCAGACCTGTGCTCTTAACCACACCACCCTGGCTCTCTTTCCAGAAGTGAGAAATAGCAAAGATCTGGTGGGGATATTAAGCCACTGGGAGGTGTGTTGCAACCGTTCTGATCAGGGACAGTGGGAAATGCACAAAAGCCAGGAACCCACTGAGCAATTGGTGGTTGGGGGAAAGGGGTGGAACCAAGGGAAGGGGGCGCAGCTGCTCTGAGGAGACCCGAAGGGCAAAAATTGGCCAGCTGGCTCCAAGAGCAGTATCCCTGTGGGGCTATCACCCCAAATTGAGGACAGACTTGTTCACCACTGCCCCAGAGGTAGTGATTCCCACAGTGCAAAAGTCAACCACACCCACATTCTCCAAATTCCATTTGAAAGCTCTTTCTGATTCTGGCCCGTATCAGATTATAAGTTTTGCCTTTCTTTCTTTCGAGTGAAATCTGCCAATTTTCATGTACCTTTCCCCAAATGTGCATCTTGGAAACACATGTATTCTTCTCCTCTTGATTAAAGCATGCACCTTTTTTCAAACTAGTCATGCCATAAAATCCCCTTTTTAAAATTTTGGTTTACTAGAAGCGTACCAGACCAGGACCACACATTTTATCTAGGTCTGTGTTCAGTCTGGAAATTTCAGACTAGGTAAATGCTGATCAAAACTGAACTGTCCTATATTTCTCCCTTCTCCCTCCGTAGCTCTCTTCCATTTCCCCTTCCTACCCCCAGCCTTGCTCCATCTCTCCGGCTCTTGCAGCCTCTCTCCACTCCTGGCCTGGAGCCTTGCTCCTTCTCTCGCACTCACCCGCTCTCCTCTTGCAGTTTGCTCTACTCCCAGCCTCAGGATTCCTCTCCCATCCCTGTGCCCAGTCATCTCCCTTCCCTCTCTCTGGCCCCATCTTCTAGCCTTGCTGTTTCTCTCATAGCCCTCTACTTTGTGTCCTGTGCCCAGTTGTGGTACTTAGTGGCCTAGTGTTTTTCAAATTTTTATGAAGACCTGTTTTGGGGTGTGTGTGGGGGTGGGGGGAGGAGAAGGGAACAAAGAACTGGAGCGGTCCAGGAGAGTCACCGGGGATTGGAATGGGAGTCACCATTCTGTACAAGAGGCAATTTTTGGATAGACTGGATGTGAGGCACTGCAACACCTTAATCCACCAACAGAGTTTTTATTTTAAGAGAGACATTTTCCTTCTCTAGGGCTGAGAAAGGTCCCACCTGATGGACCAAGAGCCAGACTAGGTGGTAGGGTCATATTCATTGTAAGAATCATGAGAACTGCAGTCTTGACTTTAATTTTAGGGGAAGGCCCGTCGTTCAATGGCTGAGCTTTGTATGCAGGTTCAGCCTCTGTAGCCTCCAGCAGGGCTGGGAAAGCCCTCTGGCTGAGATCCCTGGAGGGCTGCTGCCAGCCAAAGCAAGCAACATTGGAGTGGGTGTATGTGTCCTATTTAGGATCAGCCCACTGTATTATTATGCTTACGAGGGTTCTTTCTTTCCTTTGCAAGAAGCTCAAGGTTTCCAGTTTATCTTCACAACAACCCTATGAGGTAGGCCCAGCTGAGAGACAGAGACTGGCTTGAAGTCACCCAGTATGTTTTATAACCAAGAGGGGGCTAGGAAGCAGATCTACTGAATCCCAGTCCAGCACGCTGGTTCTCCAGACCTTGTTGTCAAGAAAGCTGGCTGCTACTGCTGGGCTCTGAGTCTGCAAAGGAAAAGGGGAAGAGCAAAGGGCTGACTGGGCGCTGGGGGCGTGCTGGGGGCGGTCATGAAGGGTCAGACAGTGCACTAATCCATCATGGGTGAAGCCACCCTACAACAAAGGTGGTTGTCAGGATTGCCCTCCAACCTGTGGGAGTCATTCTGGGTATGCACAACCTAGCAACCCATTGTGAGCAACAACCCAGTGGGGGTTGACCGGCTGTGAGAACCTAGGCGGTTCTGGGCTAGTTGGACTCATATCTGACATCTCTCCATTTGCTAATGGACCCTGTGAGGCCCACTTTTTCAAAGACTGGTAAAGCAAAATTGTAGCAGAGCGAATCAGCTCCTCCCTGACCAGGCAGGTGCGTCCAGTGGCCCCATCCATGGTGGCTGGCTGGTCCCGCTCCTCGCCCTTCTTGGGAATGCATTATGCAAAGTAGGAATTCGGGTGGAGAAGCTTTGCAGAAGACACGGGATCCTGCCTCCCTCACCCACAGAGCCCAAGACTACTCCGAAGAAGCTCCGGAGAGCTGCAGACCAGAAGTGAAGGCAAAAGGGACAAGCCTGAAAGCAAAATGGCTCATATTCCAGAAATGCAACCTATTGTACTTTACCTCTTTTACTGCCAAGAATTAAATTTTGGGAGAGGCATTTCATCCACTGAGAAAGGGAGGAATTGCACCATCAAGCAGGGTGGGAAAATTGGTTGGGAGGAAAGGCATGAGATCAGTGAAAAGGGGCAAAGCAACGATGGCAGCGTAAAAGGTTGGATCAGCACCCCGAGATTCAACATCCCTGAACGAGATATAATTTGAGCCAGACTGCAGTACAATTTGGAAAGCAACAGGAAAAAAGAAAAACAAATTTAGCACAGAATCTTTTGTACAGACACTCCTTTTCGGCTGCAGTTTTGCCCTGCTCAAGAGCAGCCTCCTCCCTTCTTTTGGAAGGCAAAAGCAAACAGGAAAGAACCTGTGATAGAATAATTGTTTTACAATCATAGACAAAGAAACAATCCAATACATTCATGGTGTGTATATGTGTGTGTGACGCAGCAATATCTAGCTTGCTGTAACCGGACCGTCTAGAGTTCTGACCTAAGAACTGGCAGGGTAGAAACATAATGATAAGAATAATAATTAAAAAAAAACACTGTAATGTGATGCGAGTCTGTTGCCTTGGAACAACGGGAGACCGGGCCTGTCCTGCAGCGAGAGGCGCCGACCCTGCCAAGTGGGGAGCACTGTGCTTCTAAGACAGGCTGGTGTTAGAGCTGCTCGTGGCGCTGCTGCGCTTCTGAAGGCATCTGATGGTGCTGGGGACTTGCAGCCCAGAGCAGACGTTGAAGCTGCCGCACCAAACCTAATGAGGTGGGGGAGAGAGAGAGCAGGTGGACAGGAGATTGGGGAGAAAAGGAACAAGAGGCAGTCTGATCCAGCATGCAGAGCCTCTTTCGGCCCATGGGCCAAGTCTGAGCACCAGGGTGCCCTCTGGGGCCACATTCTGGGGGTGCACAGGCCAAAGGCAAAGGGGAGTCATCCCAAAGAACCCAACTTATTGTGGTGCAAATCCATGGCCAAGCAGATGGGGCTGAAGGCAAGGGACTGGCTGGCCCATTGGGAGAACCCCAGAGGACAGATTAGGCTAGGTGGTACCCTCCCCCCACCGCTCTAAGCCAACCCTCTTTCCTCAAAGTTGCATCCCAGCACAAATCCTGACCTCGGTCCCAATCCATGCAACACAAGGCTCAAGTTTGTCTGGCAATCTTTTTGCACCCTGGGAAAAAACAAGGAAGCCCTTTTGCTTGACCTCGCTCTTGATTTCATCGCTTCTTAGCTCAGATCGGCTGAAAGGAGAGCCAAGCATCCCCGCGGAGTCAAAACCCCTCATCCCCCAGGATACTGTGCTGTTGGCTGCTTGATCCCTGGAAGGCCAGAATCAGCTCTGCAACTAATTTGAGGAGGAGGGGGAAATGGGCAATTCCAAAAACAGCAGAAGGGGAATAAGACAAATATGCACAAGTGTGTGCAGGGAATCGTGTCTCTCCCAAGGAAAAGAGTATTTTTGCACCACATACAAAACCAAAGCAAGCCGCACACCCTTGGTTTATTCCATTAGACCTGCAAGAGGGTGAAGGAGTCAGGAAGGGGCAGCTTTGAGCACAGGATGCCATGCTTGTAAGCCATCTTAATTCATCTGAAAAAAATATTTTTTTAGGCTGCCACAATACAGTCAAATTATATGCCTTAAGCAATCTTCAACAAGCATCTAAGTTCCTGCTCTCTTTGGCTTCTGAAATGTCCAGTTTACTTCTACCCTCATAAGGACTAGAAACTTTTTAAATGAAAGCTGCCATTCTTTGGGCTGCTGTATTCTTCAGCACAGACCATCAACACCCAAGCTCCCCTCCCCATTCTAAATCACTTACCATGAAAGCTGGAAGAACCGGTTGGGTAAATCTGGTCCGAAAAGTGTGGAGCAACTGCTTAGTTTTGGCATTGTAGAATGAGAGGTAACCTGGAAGTGGACAATATTGGAAGAGATGAGAGAGGTCCATTGGAGGTATAGGGGACAAGTCAGCAGCCAGAAATGTGGCAGCAGGAGGTAGTGAAAAGGTACAGCTAACAACTGTTTGCAGGTCCAGCCAAAGGATCGATCAAACCCAGTCTCATGTTTCCAAGAGGGGACAGCCAGATGTTTCTGGGAAGCCAAGAAGTAGAGCAGGTAGGCAGAGACAACATTTCTTATTAGTAGCTGCTCTCACTTGCCGTCACCTCTTCCTTTAATCCCGAATCACAAAACAAATGGCTCCATGTCATCACAGAGCAAAAATGGAATACCTCTGGCATGCAAAGGTAGACTGCCTCCAGATATGGAGGTTCCATTTACCAAGAATACAGCAAAGAGCCCTGCTAAGTTGGACAGAAAATCCATTCAGTCCAGCATGCAGTTTCTTCCTACAGAGAACTGGGAAACAGGGCACAGGCCCCTACCAAACATCACCCCACTGTCTGCCTCCAGCATCCCTTATTCACAGTCCCTCCAAACATCTATGCTCCACTGGCCACCAGGACAAAGAGCCCCCAGGGCTCTTTTTCTCTTCCATAAGAGTTATCCTGCCGGAAAGCATGGCTCTATGAGGCCTCCAGCCCCGAATTTATTCCACGTAAGGATGTCAGAGAAATCTGCAGCAAACTCAGATGTGTTTGGAATTTTGCATCCTACCAATTCCAAAATGAACCAACTTTCCACACTGGTCCTGCAGGGCTTGCAGACCGTTTTGACTCTTAATTTGTTCATTTTTGTGCAATGTGGTAGAGAAAAAAAAGCAGAATATGCGAAGATGCTGCATTCCACCTACCACCATGCTGCTGAAAAGGCAGAAAAGTTGGAAAATCCCAGTTTGCTATCAAAACCAACTAAGCTTTTGTAGCTGCTATGATTGCAGGAGGGGTGAGCTGGTTTGGCTCAAAGTACACCATTTCTGCATTCTAAGCACCTGGAGCTGCTCAGAGGCTTGGAACAGCGATCAAGCATTTGTTTTCAAGGCCAGTTTATCTGTCCTAAACTTCCTGCAGTAGTTTGCTGCCAAAAAGAAACTTTTAAAGTCTCCTTGCTTTCCTGCAAAGAATAACCCCCCGTAAAATAAATTAAATTTGTATCTGGCCCAAACCTGGGAAAGATAGATGCTGGAACGTGGGGAAGTGCTTTCTGTGCAGAACTGAGGACCTGGGTCTTCCCTTCAGACATTGTGCACTGGGTTCGCCTGATTCCCGGCCCCACTGAGGCTCTGAGCGCCATGCAGGACCAGGGAGAGGACAAGAGCACCGGGATGGGTGTTGCAGGGGCTCACCTTCGTGAAAATTGCAGTACACGCCAATCACGTCCGGGACGGGGACGTCTAAGACTTTGGCTTTGTTGTTATGCTTGGCCGTGAAGCTGACCTGCAACCAGCTGTTGAGGTGAATGCACCAGGAAGAGGATGTTTTGCCCAGCTGGTCAAACTTGCCCAGGGATCGGTGAGCCACCCCGGCGGCAAAGGCTTTGCTGTCCCGGTCGTAACGCACCTCCCAGTAGTGGTCTCCGGCATCGATCAGGGTGTCTCCTGCCGCCAGAGAGCAAAGGGACATCAAAGAAACTGAGGCCAGGGAGGCGAGTTCCCCTAAGTTCCCTTGCTTTGAATACCATGGACCATCAGAACTTGTACGCTCCTTGGGGCAGAGTCCAGCATCTTCATCCTCTGTGAAGCATCATGTACCTTATTTTTTTAAATTATATAATTATATTTATATCCCACCTTTCAAGAAACTCAAGGCAGCTTACATAATTCTCCTTCTCCTCTCAATTGTTTCCTCACAACAACCACCCTGTGAGGTAGGTTGGGAGGAGAGTCTGGGACTGGCCCAGAGTCACCCAGGGGGCTCCATGGCTCAGTGGGGACTAGACCCAGATTGCCTGAGTCCCAGTCCCTCTCTCTCAACCCCTACCCCACACTGGCTCCCCACCCAAACCTTGATGGTCTTATATGTCAAAAATGTATTAGTCTTGAATTGGATTGAATGCATTAAATGCTACATGGTATAAATTTCGACAGGCATTTTGCAATTTAACAATATCAGGTTGGATCTAGATTTGATTGCACCTCCAGTAGGAACACTGAAATCAGTGGGATGGGACTGAGATATGACCAGGGCTTTTTTTGTCATAGAATGCACCGGAACGGCATTCCGGCACCTATTTTCAATAGATTTTATGAAGTGATTTTGAACGGAGGAGCAGATCAGCAGCAAACATTGAGGTGCTATTGGCTGCTATTGTGTCTGCTATCTGATAGTGAGAGATGGCTGCTTAGGACGCTGCTCGGCTTGGGACTGGTGTGTGTGCTAACTGCCGGCGGGGGTGGGGGGGACGTGAGTTCCAGCACTTTTTTTTTTTACAAAAAAAGCACTGGATATGACTAACCAAAGTTCCATTTGTTCCAACTGGTCTGCTTACTCCATACTTCATCTTTGTTCTTCTTGTGCGAAACCTAAGGTCACCTACTTTAAGTCTGACTAGGCTTGGATCCAAGCGCACAGTCCTACCAGCCTTCAACATTTCTCCCACGAGGCTCCCAGCCTCCCTGGATTTTGTTTTATTTGAATTAAAAGCAACACTTTGGACCTGTAAAACCAGTTGCTGCTCTCTGGCACCATCTTTATTTGGGTTCAAAACAGTGACTTTGTGTTTTGGAGCTCAGAGGCCCATCTTGGCCTTGACTTTTGTACCTCAGGCAAGAGACTTTTCTTTCAGCCTTTTACAGAATGACTGGCAACCATTTTGTGAGAGTGCCCCCAACATTTCCCCCTCACTCTGCATGTGCCCACTGACCCACAAAACTTAGCATGGGGATCACTGGAGTATTTCTTGAACTGATATCAAAAAACCACTAGCCTTCCGAACTCTGCCACTACCCAACTCTCTTGCTTCCTCCAGAAAACTTTCTGACCTGGTTCTGCTTGTACTGGCCTGGCTGGACCTGTCCGGAGTGCAAAGTGGAAAGTATTTTTTTTTTTTTAAGTGATGGAAAGCCTTCCTGGAGAACCAACTTGGCTGCTTACCCAGCACCGTGTAGGATTCTGCAGTGAAACGGTCCCTCCCGCTACGGCCTGTGGGCATCCTTTTGGGAGACTGGACACACCTGCAGAAAGGAAAGGTGGGCAGAGATGGAGGAGGTGGGAAGGAATGTCAGAGCAGCTGAGGCTGGCGGGGAGAAATCCCCCAGTCTCCCCCACCCACCTCCTAAATATCACAGTGTTACATATGCACACAGAGCCTGCAAGTTCCTTGGGGCAGAGTCCTAACTTCTAATCCATTCTAAAAGGCCACACAGTCTGATGCTGTTTATATGGACAAATATAAACACAGCACATTTAAGTCAAACCGTGTTTTGCAAGTAAATAAATCCAACTTAGGAGGATTCCCATGAGAAACGGATTGAACAATTGATTGATCATGTGAGATTTTAAATGGTTAATCTATGGATTAAAATTGCATCTGGGCAAAAGAGTTTTGTACTGGTGGCTGCCACGTGAACTTTTGTTTTTTGTCAGTTTTTAAAAATTATTATCAAATGTTTGAAAGTAACAATGAACAATAACACATTTAAGTATTCCACACACGTCAATCTCCCAAGCTCTCTATTTGGTATCACGCATCTTCCTAAGAGTTCACAGCATGGAGTTCTATGGAGATTAGGAAATCTGATAAATAGATTCCATATTCTATTAAAAAACGTTCATTTCTATTTGAGCATCATCTTTATACCCACACAAACACAGCATTCAGATCTAATTATTTTTAAAGGACAAGCAGTACAGAAACCTTTCAAAATAGACATCTTTTGGTAATCTACCCTGCAGGGTTACTGTGGTGTCTGAATGCAGCCACACTAACCAATCTTGTGTGTTTATCACAGATAATCCTTGAAGAAAATTCATGGTTTGTTGGTGGTAAACTATGGGTTGTTTCTGGTTAACAAACCATAGTTTGTGAATTTTTCAACAAACCACTGTTCAACAGCAAGGCAAACTCAAACCATACTTAACCCTTGAATGTGAATTATCTTAACCCAACCATGCTAACAAAGCATGGTCTATTATTCATAATCAACCCATGAAAGGGACCCATGATATGTGAGGAATTGTAAACTATGGGTTGCTCACCATGGTTTGTTAGATGGGTTCATACAACACAATAACCCATGTATCAGCAACAACCTGTGGCTCATTAACAACACACATTCAGTAGCCTTAGCCCTGACTACACTGGTCTGAACCAACCCATTGAATTCCAGGCAATGTACTGCCAAGAAAGTGGGCCTTTAATTCTGACATTAGTGAATTCACCTAATCTGCCCCATTTACTGCACCTCAACTGCCCTTTTCCCTCCAGGCACTCTGGGGGGCTGACACCACTCTATATTTCTGCCCCCTTCATTCCTGCGTATCAGGATCTGAGACCCTGGGGACAAGCGGCACCAGTCTCTCCGCAAATACCAGCAAGGGCAGGAATGGGTCTGCAGCTGTAGGAAGGATCACAGCCCGCACCATCATGCTGAGCATCATTCATGGTGTTTTGGAAGGCTCTAGAAAGGTGTCTCAGCAACACAGCCATGGGCTTCTGACAAGGGAAGCATGAGGAATCAGGGTGCTCGGCCGCCTGAACTCCGACCGACTTTGCAGCCGCCCTGAACACGCCCAGCACTGGCAGGGCACTGGGCCGAGCCTGACACGCTGGCTCCCTGAGCATCTGCAGGCTTCCTCTTGGCTCAGCTCACTTTGCAAGCAGGAGAGCAAGTCAGTGGATGCCAGAGGGATGGATTTTTGGCTCTGCCTCGGGTCCTGCTACACCTTTGCCAGGTATCAAACCTTTGCCTGCTCCCATTTGCCTCTGGACCTTCTGTATTCCAGCGGCCTCCATCTTCTCGCTCTCCATCTCTTCTCCTGGCGGACACCTGCCACCTCCACCCAGACCTGACCTACTAGAACCCTCCCCCCCTGCATCCTCCCAGCTTTGCCACCCGCTCCTTGCAGTTTCTTTCCTCGGATCGGAAGAGCTGCAGCATCACAGCAAACAAATGTTGGAAAAAAGCATTACCTGGCTGGAGAGTTAACGGGAGAAGCGGTACGGCCCTTCCCATCCTTCCTGATGTCCTGCACCTTCCCGCCCATGGCATCCCATTCCACACTGAGGTCTTCCACCTTGAGATTCTGGTGGCTCGTGCTGGCATCCAGGCGGAACATGAAAGCTGACATTGAGGACAATTGTAACCACAACTCAGGAAGTAGCTCCGGTTGGGGCCTTTTATTTACCCCCCCACTCTTTACCCCCTATTCTTTTTTATTTAATCCCCCAGCAGGCTAAAAGTTCGACCTTCCTCTTTTAAAGCCCAGCGACTGGCTCCAGGTTGTGGAGGGCCCTCGAATGGGACACCCCAAGGAGACCCCCCTCAGGGAGCCAGCCTCCTCGCCCCCCGTATGCCCACTGCAACTGCTCCTCCTCCTCTTCCTCACTGCGTCTCTTGCAGGCTTGTTTGGAGGGCAGATCGCCAAGGAGCAGGGAGTCGCGGCGTTCCCTGCTCCTCTTTCACACCACCACCATTGCCTGGCCCAAGCAAGAGGCAGGGAAATGAGCAGGATGTGGCAGGAAAGAGGAGATGCAACTCCAAGGGCTCGGTTCAGCGGGCCCCCATGTGGTTGTGAGTCTGGTGTGCTCCAAATCAGGACCTGCTCTAAACAGCATGCGTTACCTCTCGTTTCCAAGGTGACCGGCTCTGAGAACTCTCCTGCAACAGCCTTGTTGCAAGCCTTGACACGGAAGTTCATATATTTCATGTCGAATTTCAGGCCTGTGGGGGCATTCCCCCCAAAAAGGAGAGACACGGTTGGCCAGACAAAATTTCAGGCACCCCTCTGCTTCCTGCTTTACAAAACCAGATTGTAAGCTAACTGCAGGGAGCCAGAGCAAAGCCCCCGCCCCTTGCGTTTGGCTAGCTTCTGATGCTCCAAGGTAGACTGCCCAAGAACAAGGAGATTCATTTTCACCCACAGAGAGAATATATCTCGTTTCAGCACATGGGGTGTTTTATCCAAGAGCTTTGAACGATTATTACCACTTCAACATTGTTAGAAAAAGGACAGCCATTCTCTAATGATGCTTCTTCGCTGTAACTTGCAGGGAAGACTGTACACAGACTGCTTCCATGACCCATTGGACCAGCCTTGCCCAGGCCATGGGCCACAGGCCTCTGGGTAGCTGTACCCCTTGGTTATGGGGTCGCTGAAAGCAGCTCCTGATTTAGGCTCTCTGTGTTTAAAAGCTGTAGATCAATTAATCAGTGAAAGCTTTACATGTCTGAGGCTACATATCAGTTAATCAGTTAGAAGCTAAATTAAGACACCCGGACTCTTGAAAAGTAACACCTTGCATAACCACTAATGTCAAGGGGAAGCAGTTATAGGAAACTGTCTCTAACTCTAACACAAACTAGGTCTGGGGGACTTCTAGCAAGACCCCAAATGCCACAATAAGCAATTCTTGGAAAATACCAACAAAACACTGAGCTACAAGCCCGCACTAATGACTCTCTAATGGTGCCATGACATTGGCTGATCTGGAACTTCTGGACATGCTTGCCAACCTGTAATCTACAAAGACCATGCCCAAACCTTTGCTTTTTGCCAGCCACGCTGCTGTCCTCTTTTGCAAGCAAACTAAACGGTTTGGTTTAAGTCTTTGCTGGGCATTGTTCCCCTTTTCCTGATGAGTGAGACCCTCTGGGAAAAGACCAAGAACAATTTGCACCAACAGCAGCCTTTCCCCAGTCCGGTGGCTCCCCGCTCCATCTCACCGGAAAGGGTGCACTCGGTTTGCTTGATTCCTTCGATGACCATCCAGGGCTGGTCTTCCTTAGCCCGGGGCGGCCCCTCGAAATTGGTCTTGCGGTACTCCAGCACATAGTGGTCAATCTTGCTGTCTTCCTCCGGCATCCGCCAGACGAGAGTCACGCAGTTGTCCGCCACCAGCGACTCAGCCATGTCGATCTCGGGCGCGCCGGGGACTGGGTTGGGATGCAGGAAAGCAGAGAGGCAGAAGCAGAGCCGGCAGCGGGGAGACCCACACGGGGCCTGTTCCCAGGCCCACCAGCCCCTCCCAGCCCGACTCACGCCCTCCTTTCCTCCACGGCTCGTGGTTCCTGCAGATCCACCCAGCCTGCCCACCTCGCGGCCCCTGATGTTGACCACAGCAGCCACCTGAAAAGTATTGGGCTACTTTTCAACTATGCTTCCTGGTAGTAGGCATATAGTGATGAATAAAGAACACTAATAAACATATAGTGGTAGTAAACTGTTTCAGTGCAGGGCAGCTGTAAATGTATTGCTGTATCTTGGAACTACTTGTCAACTACAAGTTAGTAGTTGTAAACATATAGTGATAAGCATAAACTAATAGTAAACATTTACTTCTAGTAAACTGCTTCATGTACAGTAGCCAGAAGCATATTAATATAACTTAGAACAACTAGTCAAGTACATTTTAGAAGTAAACACATAGTACTAGTAAGCTAGTACTAGGACCACACCAATATTAGTGTAGTAGTAATATACATTATTGTAACTTAGAACCATTTCTCACCTACATTTTAATAGAAGTAAATATATAGGAAGTAGAAATGTAGTAGAAAACTGGTACAGAAGTTGCAAACATGTTACTTTCTCTGGGAGCCTCTCATCAGTGTCTTTTTAGAAATACTACACGTGCAGCAGTAGCAAGTATACAGTATCAGTAAACTAAGAATAACTGTAGTAGCAGCAATCATATTATTCTGTCTTGCAACTACTCAGTAACTACATTTTATGAGAACTAAATACAGTACTAGTAGTGAACATAAATGGAGCAAATTATGCAGGGTTATGAGTCATATACGTAATACTGTACCTTAGATCTACATTCTATTATAGTTTTAGTAACCCTATATAGCATTTGTATCGAACTACAATGAGAAATTTATAAATATACAGCAGGCCTGCAACTACTCACTAAGTACACTGTAGCAGAATGTTGCAGTAGCAAAGAAAACCGAACCAGAATTTTCTCCCCAGATTGTACATTCTGTACAAGGAAGTAAGGCAGCGGACTAAAGAGAAGCTTAAGCGTTAAGGAAGTGTGTTTATCCTGCCACTTAGAAGGAACATTTCGCACCCATTCCTATTCCTTTCTGGTTTTTTTAACAAAAACCAATTGTGTTGTGTAATTTAGAAAGGAACAATTTGTCTGTCCCATTCTTTGATGCTTTAAAAAAACATAAAGAAATGCTGCTTATTGTTTATTGTGTAATTTAGAAGGAAGGTTTGTTTTTGTATTCTTTCCCCTTGGTAGCGCTCCCTGTCATTTTCTGTCATGATGTCAAATCGAGCCACATGCCCTGGAAGTTACACACGTATCTCGTTCACCTCAGGTGCCCGCCTAGCCTTTCCCCACAGAACTCAAAGCCGCGTTCATCCTCACAACAATCCTGCAAGGTAGGCAAGGCCAGGAAAGCGCTGGGGCTTAGGGCTGAGCAGCATCTGAACTGGGGTCTCTCCCCAGTCACTGGCCGCGGAGTTACCTGGTAGGAATTTCAGAGACTGAAGCATTTGCCGCTCCTGGGCGAAATCAACCATCAGGTGGCTCATGTTGTCGCTCACTTTCGCCTTGAGGGACAGCCGGAACGCGGGCGCCATGGTCACACTGCCGGGCAGGGGCCGATGGGAGTGGGAAGGGGAAGCATTAGAAAATGGTCCTCACCGTGCACCCCCCGTACCTCCTGGGTGGGCAAGGGGCTGGAGGAAAGATGGAAGAGCCAAGCAACATGCAAGGATCCCAGTATCTAGACTCTGAGAGAGATCAGCCCAGGAACAACAAAACTCAAAAGTAGGGGAGAAAAGGGAGGCTGGAAAGCATGAGCAAAGTGCTTCTCCCTTACTAGCAGGGGCCAAGGTTGACAGGTTAATTCCTCTCCTCTTAAACGGGGAGGTCTGAGTAGCTTCCAATCACGTGCAGAGTGCCATGGGGTTGCCATGGAACTACAACCACGTTTTTTAGGGAGGGAGGAAATCCTCGGTCCAAGGTGGTGTGATACACCAAGGAAGGCAAGTGTTCCCCTGCACATGTGCAGAGTATTTTTCCTCCTCTCTGCGCCAGGCGTGATCCTCACGGGCCTGGACTTGCATGTGCCATGGGTGCTTCAAGAGAACGTCACACCTCTCCTTCGTTTAGAGCTTAGACACAGCACGTTGGCCTCCTGCAGAACAGGGGCCAGGGCAGAGGCTTGGCAACTCCGGAACTCAGGACTGGTGGTGAGCCGTTGCCATAATGTGACGTCCCAGGGACTCCGCTTGCTATTGGCCCTGCTTTTCACGGAGCAGAAACCTGTGCAGTGAGATGCCTTTACCGGTGTGCAGCATACCTGTCCTTGATCTGTTTAGCAGCCTTGGAAGCAGTGCGAGGAAGACCGAGAAAAAGAGACAGAGAGAGGAAGGACAGACGGAAGGAAAGATGGAAAGAAGAAAGCAAGGGGAGGGGAAAAGAGCAGGAAAAGGGTCAATTTGAAATGGAGAGCATTGCAAGGAAGGCCGGTGACCCCATGCCAGTGGGGGGTCCCGATCCAATGCAGATTTGCTCTGAACTCTATAGGCACTACACATGGCCCTGGCCTCCATCCCCAAAGTATCACCATCATGGAGACCCATGGAAAGCAGCTATAAAGCTCAGAATAAAAGCTGCCACGGATCAGGACCCCCATGGACCCAGAGCCGCCGGCCTTCCTGAAGAGCTGCAGTGCAAACCTGTTGCCAAGAACAGTAGGTCTCCTCACAGCTAAGACAGAGTGAGGCTGCCATCCCTGTTCAGCAGGAAAGCACAAATTCGGCCCCCCAGGATCCCAGTCTGGCCCCCACAGTTTTCCCACAGGGCCTTGATGGTTTCCTTACCACCATGACGGTTCCCACCTTTCTAAAAACATTAACCCTTTTGCTGCTGCAGACCAGCATGTTGTTTGTACCACAACATGCTGGTCTGCAGTCTAATTTCGTCCCCAAACTCTCCCGCTTCCATCCAAACAGTCACCCCTGCCCCCAAGAGCTTCTCCAAAACCCAATTTGGTCCTCCACTGAAAAAGTTCCCCTCCCCCAGCCCATGCAAAGGTTTAATGCATATGCAAATCAAGTCTATGTGCACATTTGCATCTTTTGCCTAACTGAGTCTGCCTCCATGAAACCAAGAGGAAGGAATACGGGATGCTTCTCCCCTCTCCCAGCAGCTCCCCCAAAAAGGCACGTTCGAGCAGCCACCGAGTTTACCTGGTTGAAGTTGTCGTTCTCTGCGCCTTGAAGGGTCTGGTTGGCCGTTTCCAGCAGCTCTTCCGAGCTCTCCAAGGCTTTTGTGCATGTGGCCAGCTGACTCTGAGGCAGACAGGAAAATGCGTTGATCTTACGTATGTGCTCAGTTTCCCCCATGCGCCTTAGCGCTCTGGGCTACTGACAAAGTGATTTGGAATAGCAAAGCAAGAGAGGTGGTGCTGCAGTGGAGCTGCGCTTGCAGGGATGCAGTGCCCAGGTTTTTTAATGACCAAAGTCATCTGCCACCCCCTCTGAGTTTCCTGTTCACCGTGAACATTCCTAAAATCCTCCCAAAAACTAATGGGGCAGGGAATGAATTTTCCCAGCATTGATATATATTTTTCCTGTTGCAGTGCAAATAATTTTCAGGCTGCATCAGACTTGAATGAAGTCATGAAGGTGCAAGAGCTCTGCTCCTGGTGGAGATGAACGATGCTAGAACAAGTTGGATACGGCTTGATGCAGCGATCTTAACCTTCAGCTCAGGGATGTGGGCACAGCGATGGCTGCAGCAAGCTCTTGCATTTCCCAACGGGCCACTTTACTCCTGGGAGGGTGGGTTTAAAAAGAAGTTGCAAAATCATGGCCCACTCAAAAAGAGGAAATCTGTGTGTTGTCATGACCGCAGTGTGGGAAAAAGACTGGAATTCAGAAAGGCCAAGTAAGGCAAGGCGGAGAGCGCAAAGGTTACCTTGAAACTCAACATTAAGAAAACGAAGATCATGGCATCCGGTCCTCTCACTTCCTGGCAAATAGATGGGGAAGAAATGGAGGTAGTGACAGATTTTATTTTCCTGGGCTCCAAGATCAGTGCACATGGGGAGTGCAGCCAAGGAATTAAAAGACGCTTGCTCCTGGGGAGGACACCTATGGCAAATCTAGACAGCATACTAAAAAGCAGCGACATCACCCTGCCGACAAAAGTGCGTATAGTCAAGGCTATGGGTTTCCCAGTGGCAATGTATGGCTGTGAAAGTTGGACCATAAGAAGGCTGAGCGCCGAAGAATTGAGGCCTTTGAATTGTGGTGCTGGAGAAGATTCCTGGAAGTCCCTTGGACCGCAAGGCGATCAAACCTGTCAGTCCTAGAGGAGATCAACCCTGACTGCTCTTCAGAAGGCCAGATCCTGAAGATGAAACTCAAATACTTTGGCCACCTAGTGAGAAGGAAGGACTCCCTGGAGAAGACCCTGATGCTGGGAACAATTGACGGCAAGAGAAGAAGGGGACGGCAGAGGATGAGGTGGTTGGATGGAGTCACTGAAGAAGTTGGCGTGAGCTTGAGTGGACTCCGGGGGATGGTGGAGGACAGGAGGGCCTGAAGGAATGTTGTCCATGGGGTCGTGATGGGTCGGATGTGACTTCGTGACTAGCAGCAAGTGAGGCAAATCCATTGGATTCAATCCTCATGTATTTCCTCAGAAATTCATGGGGAGGTAGATTTAATGACCAATATGAGTTGGAAAGGTGCAATGGGGCCTCCATGTTGAAAGGCAGTCTATCTCTGGATAACAGGTGCTGAAGTCAAAAGATTGGGCAGGGAGTGAGTTTTGGTAGGCATGTCAGAGAAATCCACAGTGATTTGGATGGATCAGAGTCATGAATTTCCGCAGCAGACCAACCTTTTTCTGAGTCACAGGAACTTGTGGTTTGTTTTTCCCTTACTTCCCAGAACTGGGTGCACATTTAGTTGTGCAAACATGCATTTTAAAACAATACAACTAGAAATGTATATTTCCCCCATCAGCTGAAGCACGAAAATGTGGATTTGGAGGGATTTGGACAAATGGACATTATGGAAGGTGCCCGTTTGCATTTTGCACGTGAATGCAAGTTTGGGAAATTGAGAAAAATCACACCTGCCAGCAAGCAGATGGCAGAATGAAAGGCACCTGACAATCCATGAAACACACATGGGATGCACTTATCAAAATCTGCACATCCCTACTTTGGTGGCTTCCTGGGAAAACTAGATGTTGCACCTCAGGCTTGGATTCAGCCAAGAAATACTCCCATTTATACACAATGCCTACTTACCTGCAACTCATACGTCCGGCTGGCCCGATCCTGCTTAATTTTCATGAGCATCCCTTCCTTCACCTCCTCCAACAGGGTAAACAGCGACTGGAACTCAGCTTCAAGGTCTTGGTGCACCCGATCAGAATTGGCCTGGCAGGGTGAAATTGGCAATATTTTCTGCAGTAAGAGGGTGGGAGAACAGGGGCATACCCCCACGCACACTGAACTCACCCTGTGATTCCTTATCGGAGATGCAATCTATGAGAGGGGTTACCAAGGCGATGCATCTCTGTCCCCTCATTCTGTATGCTTCTTCAGAACTAAGCATATACAGAATTTTCTCCAACCATTGATGTGTGGGTGGGGGTGGGGAACTGGATAGGAAGGGGAATGCAATGGAATATGGTGAAGGGTCATGGCTGGCGGGAGGAATGGAATGGCATCTTGCAGGAGAGGGCTTGGCAGGCTGGCTAGCTAGCTGTTGAAGGGGAATGGAATGGAGCATGGCAGAAGATGACATACTGTGGTTACTTGAACACTGAACAGAAACTTTCCCACTGTCCTATTTTCCTGTAAGCCTCACTTGTCTTCTTGAAAATGCAAAGCAGTGGCACAGTTTGGGTTATGAGAATAGTGATTTAAATTCTCATAATGATCATTTGCTTGCAAAAATGGCTACATTTCAGCGGTCCCCTCTTCCAAATGGGTCTTTTAATGCTTGCTTTTTTTTTAAATGCTCAGAAGTAGAGGGGAGTTTTTTGGGTTTTTTACAGCACAAGCCTGGAACTGTTTACTCAGATATAAGTCCTGCTGAGCTCAGTGGGACTTATTCCATTTAGATTGGCAATTGTCTATCTTAGGCTGTGTTTGGTTCAGCTAAAACCTTTGTCTTGTGGGCCAATAGCAGCAGCTGAGGCCATGCCTCTTCTCTCACCCATCCCCTTTCCCAGGAAAATGCATCATGTGCTGGTTTCCTGCCCCACATTTCTGAAGCACAGAGCTGTCCTGAACTGCTAAGGTTCAATAGCTGCATAACACGTGAAGCTCGAATGCACTGGTTTCCCTTGGGTGCTTTTGCTGTGCTCCTCTCCCACTGCTTGAACAGGGCCCCAAATGCTTCTCCCCCATGGAATCCAGCCCTCAGGGTGAAAAAGCCCCCCCTTATTCAAAGGATGGAGGGGGCTGCCTAGCAAGGCATTCTTGCTCTCCTGCCTTTTGAGTTGTTTTTCATGCTCTTATATAGTTTTATACTCTGGGAAAATGTTATGGCATTTTATTGAATTATTTTTATTAATTCCACCCAGGGAGCTTTGGCTATTGGGTGGTATAGAATAATAATAGTAATAGTAATAATAGTCTGTCATTCTCTGAAGTTTGTTAGTTGACATGGTGTGAATTGCCTTCCAGCCAAAGTGGACATAACGCTACCTCCACATTTTGGAGCATCTGTTTGAGCACGTAGATGAAATTCTGGATTTCCTCATTCTTCACAGCAAGAGTGGTGATGATTTTCCTCAGGGCATCCTGTGGGGAAAGAAGCGGCATCTGGGGTCCAAGGTGCTTTCTTGCTTTCCCTGCCTGGATTCCAGGCTAGGGCTTGTCTCTTGGAAAGATGTGTGTACTCTGTGGAAACAAGGAGGGGAGGCTCCAGCCCCCAGTGGGGATGCTCCTTGCAGCCCTTCAGAATCAGGGGATTATGGGTATCTATGCTGAGCTGAATGAGTGCAGAAACCCCTCGGGTTTCCCAGACTCTATCCCCTGGAATAAATACCTCGTAAACCCCTTATCTGAGCAACTAGGAACTTGGAGAAGCAGCCACAGAGGGAGGGGCTCCCCAGATACCAAACTGGAGCTCTTTTCTGTCCAGATCAGAGCTCTTTTTTCAGATTCTGATTTTTCAGAATCTGAAAATCTCCAGTTCCTGCATGCCACCTTGGTGCCCTCAGATGGCTTTGCTAGAGAATCAGAATGACAACAGGCAACTATCAGTGCTCATAATTTTATTTTTTTGGGGGGGGTGCAGTGGGGGAACGCTGCCTTTCTACCAAAAAATGACCCTCCGGGTGGCTTCTGGAATTAATTAAACTTGCTCCAAAGCAATATTATTAATATACAATAAAGCCAGGGGAATATTATTAAAACAAGCACCTGCTCCACCACGCCCACTTTCAGGCCAGCGGCCTGCAGAGAGAAGGTTGTTAAGGACACAGCCTGGGCAGCCACCGGAAACTCCCTCTCCCAGGTCACCACCACACATGGCTCTGCAGGCAGCGATCCCCCAAGAAGGACCTCTCCAGAAGCACTGAAATGCCGGGAGGCTGGAGGGAAAAGGTTCCCTTTCAGGGGCCCAGGTTCCAAATTGTATAGGGCTTTACGGTATGGCCGACTGGTTGGTGCTGAACTGGGGCTCAGGTGATCTGGGCTTTAGTCCCTAAAGCTCACTGCATGATTTTGGGTCAGTTCCTCCTGCTCAGCCAGACCTGCCTAGCAGCTACTCCTCCGAAGAGAGGCATCTGCTTCTATTTCACCCGTGGCAAAGGGCTCCTTTGTCAACTAAGCTGGAACCCTGAATCAGCTTTCATTGTTGCACTTTGGACCCCCTTGAATACAGTAATAGAGAGCCTTTCTATGGTCATACACAGAGTACATGTCCTCACCTCCTCATCACTAAGTGCTAAGCACTGTTACCATTCTATCTCGGGCCATAAAGTATTGTTCCACCATTGCATTATAAGGTTCTAGTCCTCTTGGTTCTGAATAAAAGGCAGTTTTAAACAAGAGCACAGGAAGCTACTTTAGAACAAGCCAGGGGGTCTTATATATGGCCTATCATGATTAGCAGCAGCTGTTCAGGATTTCAAAGAAAGGTCTTGCCCAGTCGAGCCATTCTGCAAAGCACACAGGTTGTCTGCCATTCATTAAGTTGCTTCTAATTCTCCCTGGCCCTTCTATACCTTGGTACGACAGCTTGAGGCCTGCGGGCTTGTTTCCTCCCATAATCCCTGCACCTAGAAAAGTAGCACATCATGGAAATGTCTGGGACAAATATCTTCTCCCCTGCAGGAAAAGCTGCAGACAAGCAACAGAGCAGCTCCTCACACAAACAGCCTCTCAGGTTCACTCCCTGCTGACTCCGGCCAGGCTTGATTCAGTCCAGGGTGGCGCTGAATATTCTCAGCACAGGCTAGTTTTCTATCCCCAAGGCTGCCCTCTCTCCACCTCATCTCCCAGTGGCTCAAAAGCCCCGCCATTCCTTGAAAAAAAATCACCGGGGGGGGGGGGAATGCCAGCTCCTCATCCCCACCTGTGTCTGAGCTCAATCAAGAAGCACCTGAGCAAAGAGGCACAACTCAGCGGAGTGCTCACCCGTAGGGAATCTTCCACAACGCCCCACAGCCCCCACATGCACAGCCCCACTGCAAAGACGCTGACACACCGCTGCCCGCAGCGGTGGGAGGAGACGGGCCGCCGCCCTCTGAACACACCCTCCCCTCGAAGCACAGTGGCTTGGCTGAGACGCAAGCGAGGATGACAAAGCAGGGGCGAAGGAGCAGGGAGGGGCCGGAGGCATGGGGCTTGAGAAACGGAAGAGACCCACTGCAAAGCTGACCTTGCAGCGGGTGCTCTGGACCCTCTCCGGGACCAGGAAGGATGGAGATTTGGCCTTAGGAGCCTCTTTTTATCCCTTTGGTCCAGCGGCAGCAGCAGCATCCTTCCACCTCCTGCATCCCTCCTGCATCAGCATCATTTACCTTCTGGTCCCCCATCTTCGGATCTCCAGAGACAGCTGAGCTTTCACTGCCCTTCGCGGGGTTTGGAAAGGGAGCAGGTCCGGGGTCACCCGATCCCTCCCTCCGGTGGAATTAACAAAGCTGATGGAAAAAGGAGCTCAGGAGGAGAGCTCCTGAACTTGCTGCCCTTCCCCTCTGCGCAGCTGTAAAGGCATGCTGGGAAACGTAGTCCGGCAGAGAGCGAGAGAGACCACAATGGAAAAACGCAAGGTGACAAAAGAGGAAAGCTTGGAGAACAAAAGACCTGGTTGGCACTAGGACGACATTTCCGGCACTTTGCGCAGAAATTCTTCCAAAGCTGAACTGGATGAGGAAAGATTGCATTGTTCAGGGAAATAGGAGCCACAAATGAGGCAAGGGTGACTCTGACCATGGGTAGAGAGATTCCTTGCTGCCATTTGATAATCAGAACAATTGCAATGAAATTTCCACCGCTATCCTCAACCCTTGTGCTTTTACAAGTTTCCTGTGCAAAGGAGTAAATAAGAAATATGTATCATGATGACAGTAAAATCATACTACTGTATTATTTGAGCCACTGCATTATCCTAACTACTCTGACCACTACACCCCACAGTCCATCCAATAGAGGTTAAGTGTCAGGTTCTAGTCCCCACTCAGTGATGAAATACATTGAATGGCTTTGAACTAGTCGGTGACCCTCAGGGTTGTTGTGAGGATAAATGAAGAGGAGAATATGAACTGTTCTGGATTCTTCGCATGAGGGCAAAAAAGGCAGGATAGAAATATGATAAGAAAAAACAGTTTAAAAATTTGATGCAATCTCTGCTTTTATTGTGCATCATAATAATTTAGGATTTTGGAGCAAAGCCTTATTGGAGTGTTCAGAAGTGCATCCCCTCAGCAAACCTTACAAATATAGCAGGACCTTGGTTTATGCCAGAGCTTGTCTGTTCTGAAGGATACGAGCACTGCAGGTCCTCTGGAAGGAGAAAGCGTCTCTCCAGCAGAAAGGGGGACAGAACGGAGCTGCGGGTGTGCACGGGGGTGAGCTTCCTCGAATAACGCTTGGGAGCACCCGCACTTTGGACCAACAACAGCTTCTGAGCTGTCTTCAAAGGCAGGGCTTTGCAAATGTCTAGCCTGGAGGTTCCTTCAGCACCAGAAAAGACTGGTCTACAAGGAGAAAGCCTCAGAAATGAAAGTAGCTAAAGTTTACCAGAATTAGGTCACTAATAAAAGAAAATTAAGTCCCGAGTATTAATTGGCTCCAGTTTCCAAGACTGGGGGAATTGAGGGAACCATGCAAAAACAGCAGTCGCTGCTGTGGCTGGTGGCTCCCTCCATACCAGAGGGCCTGTGAAAGGCGTGGACTTTTTCTTCTTGCTTGTCCGATGACACAGATCAGTTGCACATGGAACACAGCAATAATTAGGGCCCAACTCTTGCCCTGGTCCCCCATTTTGCACCCAAAATACAGGTGGTCTGGCTTTTTTACCACTGCTGTCCTACTGCCCTTTTGAGGTGCAAATGTCACCTCGCCACAAATGTAGCACAAGTTCTCTGCGTTGTGTACACAGTTTCGAGGCATCTTGGCTTGTGAGGGAAAATATCACGCCATCGTTCCTTGGAAATGCTGGGCAATGACCCTTTCACAAGACACCGGATGAAACTGTACGAGGCATAGGTCTGACCAAGACAAATCTACCTTGCAATAAAAGAGCAATACATTAGAGTTAAGTAATGATCTATAGTCTCAAAGAGAAGATATATTTATGCACTTCCATGTGGTACCATTTTCACTGTTCTGCCGTACTTTGTCGAGAAGTTACGAGGCATCACGCGCATCAGGCACCTCCCTCCCTTGTAGGCAAATGTACTCGCCTGTGCATAAATCTTCGTGATGCAATATCTTGAACTGGGGTATAAATCTAACAAATAAGTAAATAGATGTGCATTAGACTATAGAGGGAGGGTAATGAACCGAATGGGTGATGCAAGCAGAGTTCCAGGGGCAGGTGTGAAGTGAGGTTCAGATCTGCCCCCCGGCGCACCTGAGTGGCTAAAGCAGGGCAGATGTGGGGCTGTGTAGTGCTCAAGGCTGGGACTTCTGCCCAGAGGGAAAGGGAGGGAGTCCATTTCACAGCAAGCCCAGCTCCACCACATCACTGATGCAGAGGCTGGGAGCATCTGCCCTCAGCCACAAATGGCTGTGCAGTTTTGCCCTTCCTGTGATTAGCCGGAGAAGCAACACTTGCAGTTTGCAGCCCCCAGGCCCAAATTCCTGCACCTGCACGATGCAGTGGGTGCGAAATTGGGAACCATCTGGCACTGAAGACCAGTGGCCACATGTGGCCTGCTGGCCACAGTTTGCCGATCGTGAGCAAAATCTCCCGGATATTAGTTGGGAGACTCACTCAGCGGTGACAGCCAGGTCACGTGGCTTCCTAGATGCTATAGAGGGAGCGTTTTCACACAGAGGGTCCGAGATGCGGGGTGGGGGGAAAACATCCTTGACTCGGTCTTGACCAATAAGGAGGAGCTGATAGATGAGGTACAGATTAGGGGAGCTCTGGATGCGAGTGATCCCTCCATCCTCTGCTTTGAGATCAGGGGACTGGGGACGTGCAGCAGGTCGAGCACTAGAAGCTGGGACTTCCAGAGGGCCAACTCTGGCCATTGAAGGCCAGACTGGGGAAAGTCTCCTGGGACAGGTTACTGGAAGGCAAGCGACTTGAGGCGGGGTGGCTGGCACTCAAAAGGGAGGTTTTGGAGGTGCAAGTCTTGACGATACCTCTAGTCAGTAAGGTGGGGAGGCGGAGGAGAGGCCGCCATGGATGCGAAAGGAGGTGGTTAGAGGGATTAGACAAAAAAGGAACCTCCGTAGGAAATGGGCGCTGGGGCAAATAGACAAAAGGGTATATGGGGAGGAGGAGGCCCGTTGCAGAAGGATTCTTCGCAAGGCTAAGGCTGATTACTTGCTGAGACTTGCCAAGAATGTCAAGAGCAACAAAAAGGGCTTCTTTCAGCATGTAAATAGCAAGAGGAAGGGAATCCAGTGACTGCTATGAGGGAACAGGCACAGATGCTTGATGACTATTTTGCCTCTGTGTTCTCCCCAAAGCAGGACGGGGGATATCCGCATAGGAGATTAGATGAGACCGGGGACCTAGGGGCACAGATTAGAGTCACTCCCCCTTGAAGTCAAGGGGCTCCTCAGGGCATTGGACATTACAAAGGCTCCAGGCCCTGACGGGTTACACCTCAGAGTACTTAGAGAGTTGGCAGGGGTTCTCTCACGCCCGCTGGCCTCCATTTTTGAAGCCTCGTGAAGAACGGGTGAAGTGTCAGAGGACCGGAGGGTGGCGTCAGTGGTCCCCATTTTCAAAAAGGGTAGTAGAAGGGACATGGGGAATTACAGACCAGTTAGCCTTACGTCCATTGTAGGAAAAACAATGGAAAGGCTCATAATAGAGGGAGATCTAGTGATGCTAGATAGGGAAGGGAGGCTGGCAGCCACACAACACGGCTTCCGCAAAAACAGGTCCTGACAGACAAAACTTGTGGAATTCTGTGACAAGGTTTCGAGATGGCTAGATGGAGGGGATGCAGTGGATGTGGTATACCTGGATTTCAGCAAGGCCTTTGACAAAGTGCCCCATGATATCCTGGTGGAGAAACTGAGGAGTTTGGGGATACACCAAAGCACTCTCCGGTGGATTAGGGCATGGCTGACAGACCAAAAGCAGAGGGTAACCATTAACGGGGAATCATCGGGATGGCGGCCAGTGACAAGCAGGGTCCCCCAGGGCTCTGTCCTGGGGCCGATCCTGTTTAAACTTTTCATTAACGACATGGAAGAAGGGGTGAACAGTCTGCTGATCAAATTTGCAGATGACACTAAAACTGGAGCAGTCGTCTCAACTGAGGAGCAGGTACTCCAGATCCAAAAGGATCTGGACAGACTATGGAAGTGGGCAGGAGACAACAGGATGGCATTCAATGTGGGTAAGTGCAAGGTCTTGCACTTGGGGCATAGGAATGGGTGTCATAAGTACAGGTTAGGGGACAAGTGGCTGGAGAAGCAGCACTTGTGAAAGGGACCTTGGGGTGCTGGTCAACTGCAGGCTGAACATGAGCCAGCCATGTGATGCGGTGGCCAAGAGGGCGAACACCACCCTTGGTTGCACAGCCAGAAGTGTGGCTTCTAGATTGAGAGACCCGTTACTACCACTCTATACGACTCTGGTGCACCTGCAACTGGAGTATTGTGCTCAGTTTTGGGCCCCTCATTACAGAAAGGATATAGCCAGGTTGGAGTCAGTGCAGTGTAGGGCCACAAGGTTGGTGGCCGGTTTGCAGGGGATGCCATATGAGGCGAGAGTGAGGGAACTGGGTCTCTTCAGCCTGGAGAAGAGACTCAGAGGGGATCTGTTGGCAACATGTATGTGAGGGGGTGTCACATGGAGGTGGGTAGAGACCTGTTCTCCCCTGCAGAGGAGGGCAGGGCGTGCTCCAACGGAGCAAAGCTCAGGGAACCCAGGTTCCATTTGGATGCCAGGAAGCATTTCCTGACAGTCAGGACCCCGAGGGTGTGGAATGGGCTTTCATGGGAGGTGGTTGAGGCCCCATTGGTGCGGGTGTTCAAAGATGGGCTGGACATGCACAAGGTGGGCATGTCGTGAGCGGAGCCGGCTGGAGCTGGGAGTCAGACTAGATGGCCTGGGAGACCCCTTCTGATTCGTTCTGTTTCTATGTTTCTAAGGCATAAGCCCTGCATTATGAAGGACTGCAGACTCAGAATGTTGCAACTGAAGCAAACAAATTTGTTCAGTGACACACAATGCAGGACCTGTCCATTTTTGTGCCACTGTTGACAGACAAAGGAAAGTCTATCAGTTTCCAGATTCCTCTGCAAACATGTGGAAACTACAACAGAATGTTGCAGTATGGGGGTACTTGATGTTGGCCAGCCATCCAGGCAGGTCTTTTCCCACAAAACTCCATCTCCCAGA